ACTGCAATTGATCAGTCTCTTGTTGATCTATATGCATCTTGTGTAAATTGCTTCGATATTGACTCAAGCACAAGCATTATAAGCAAAGATGGATTGTGGTTAGCAGTGAAACTCAGTACAGACGTTTCATTCCATTTGACACTCGTCAGCTCTAAATCCATCAAGTACACCCAGATGACGAGTGTCAAATAGGACGAAACGCGAGTCCTGCAGTCCACTGGTAGCCACCACCCATCTTTACTTATAATTAACATTATATATTTTAAATGAGATAACCATTTGTAAGTCTTTTCAAATCAATTCAATATTTTATTAAATTATTTTGACTACTTACTGGTAGAATAGATTTATCATAAAGAGGTTTCGTGGATATTATAGTATTTTAATGGTCTAATTCATAAGTCGATTTAGGCAAACCACAGTGAAAAACATAGAAGCACTAGACGGCTATTTCACCCTAATTTGAGACTGCTGAGAAGTGAGCATCCACGATCCCGCCTGAGGGTTCGAACCCAGGACCTATCAGTCTCACATGAGAACACTTAACCTCTAGACCACTTAGCCGGCTGGCATCCAACGATGTTAATGTCAAACGTAAACCGATCCATGAAATTACAACACCGTCCACCATTGCCTTCAATGAGTTACTGCCTCACAACAAACACGGTTGAACTCCATTGGTCATGGTGTGGTGTGGGTCACTTATATCCACATAATTAGTATAAGGTGAACGTCAGGCATAGAATATATTTGGGCAGAAGATCGATAAGCAAAGAACATAAACGAAGCGCAACCGGTATGAAAATGCATGAACAATGAAATCAGAGAAGATGGACTGATATTTGTAGAAGGAACAGTCAAGATTGAGAGAATTGATTGTTATTTTGCAAATTAACTGTTTACTGTATGGTTATCAGATTTTATTAGGATAGTCTGTAATTTGTGCCTACCCGTCTTTTGTTCACTACAATGGCTTCGAACTAGAACTTCAAGGAATACATCTTGAAGCCAGTCACTAGTTGGCACATGATGATTATTATTAGAAAGGGGGAAGTTGTGGATATTATAATAATTTAATAGTTGAATTCATGAGTCAATTGACAAAACAATCCTTCAATACGTCCAGGTTTTCCAACGTGATCCAGCTTCAATTGACTTATGAATTCACCTATCCTTTAAATGAAACTATTCGTATATTAAATTCATTTAGTATTATTTGCTTCAATTTTCCAACTGATGTTTAGGACTGCAACTGGTCAGTCTCTAATTGACATATGAGCATACTGTGCGTGTTGCCTCGATATAGCCTTGATTCACAAACATTGTAAGCAAAGATAAATAATGTCAAGCAGTGGAATCCAGGACGTGCGTTTCGTCCTATTTAAGACTCGTCAGCTGTATGTACCTATCAGGACTCAGTAGATGAGTGAATAACGCAATGGCGTTTGAAGCGAATGTTACTGGGTTCGAGTCCCAGAGTGAATATCAACTCAGAGATGTAGGTACATCCAGCTGACTCGTCTCAAAAATATGGACGAAACACGCGTCAAACTGGATTCCACTGCTACCTACTAACCATCTTTGCTTATTCATATATCCATTAACGCATATTAGTCTATATACATATAAAGTTAATTATTCATAAATAAAGAATTTAAGGTTTTTCACTTTAACATTCTTTTTTTTATAAACGTTTATATTATAGGCTTATATATTCTATTTATTTATATTTAAGTAAACATTATGTATATTAGTTGATTCATACAATGTAAACAATACAAGTGAAATTTCATTGATTAATCTAATTAGTGTAATTAATCATATTTGTTATGTAGTAGCAAAGACATAAGTACGGGTAACTTGCAGGACCTACTATTGGACTATCATTCTTATTGTATAACTATTCGGTAACTAGATTATCTAAGCTTTATTTTGACCTATTGATTATTACTATGTGATTTACTGTCCCTATGTTATGCTCAGTTTTATTGATTATTGTCTCTCACGCTTACAGCCTCATTTGGCCTGGTTTTGTACAAATATTATTTTCTATTTTATGGTATGATGTGGTCTGTCTACCTGATATATAAACAAAGCATGCTTGAAATAAACGATTCGCATTACAGCAGCTGCTATTGGTGTTCTGGACTCAAGTGGACGGGTTAGGAGGATAAGGACCAATAAGGACGCTAGATTACTCATATTAATCAAACGTCATTGTCACAGTGTGAAGGTCGTAGAAGGCGTATTCTATTGGTGGATAATTTACGCGGATTACGTCCTTGTTAAATTCGTAAGGTCATAACGAATCGGCGACGACCTTGATCAAGTCATAACAATTGGCTACAGTCTAGGTCAAAAACATAACAAATTGGCGACGGCTAGGTAAAGTCATAACAATATTGAAGGTTAAATTAGGATAATCTAATTGACTGAATTAAGTAAGATCATATATTAGAAAGGGGGTTTTGTGGAGATTTTATGGTAATTTTATATAGTTGAAATCATGAGTTAATTGAAGCTAGACCATCGTGGAAAACTTGGAAGCACTAGACGGCCGTTTCGTCCTATTGTGGGAAGCATACACAGTGCACATCCACTAGAGATCTAAAATAGCACGAAACGGCTGTTGAAATATGAAAATAATACATTGAATATATATATCATTTGTACATCTTCTTTGAACTAGTTCTTGTTATAACTTTATAAAACATAGGACGTATGCCGATCCGTTATGATTTTATGTCCGGCTTTTTATCATATGAAATATCCAACAATCGAAATACGACTTGTCTAATTTTAGTACTGTACCAAATAAATGATGTTCAACTGGTATGAGCAATATAGCGTCCTTATCGGTCGCCTGTCCGCCTAGCCCTTCCAATTAAGTCCAGAACACCAATTACACCTTCTGTTATACGAATCTATGCAAATAATCTATTTCAAGCATACTCGGTTTATATATCATACAGATAGACCGCATCACACCATAAAATAGGAAATAATATTTGTACAAGATCAAGCCAAATTTGGCTGTGAACGTGGGATACAATAATCAATAAACTGAGTATAATTTAGGAACAGTAAATCGTATGATAATAATCAATAGGTCAAAATGAAATTTATAATAAGATGAATATAGATAAACACAATCTAATTACTCAATAGTTAAACAATAAGAATATATATAGAATAATCGTCCAATAATGGGTCTCAGAAGTTACCCTTACCTACGTCTTCACTAAGATATAACACTTCTTATAAACTATATTAATTCTTGAATTCTTGTTGTTATTTGAATTGGTTAAACTTTTCTTTTTCTTATTCTTATATTCCTTTTCTGTTAGTAAAAATCTTAATTCCAATTCTTGATACTGATATACTTTATGCTATTACGAGTTCACCTTACTCAGTAAACGGAAAGAAAGTCAATGATACAGTGACACGATAGACTATTCTAATCCGTTTTGTCCTCGGCTATGCTAACTAGATCAACAAGTCTTGTTGAGGTGTAGAGAATGCATTCTATAAGCAACCACAAAATACGAGGTCACTAAGTACACAAATCAAGCTTATTTATACAAAAATAGAAACGCCATTGGGAGAGCCATAAAATGGTGTACCAAAAAAATCCATTAACCAATGACAGTCAAGGAATTGCGAGTGTGAAATGTAAGCTGTAGGTGAACTAAGTGTCTGTTGATGAGAAGACATAAAATTCAAATTTCCAGAATAAAGTTACAAAATTAGAACTTTTTCAGTTGAAATCTGAGGATCTAACATCTTCAACCGATAAATACTACTTTTATCAGCTCGTATAAGTAGTATACTGAAACACTAATTGAAAATGAATAATTCTATGGACAGTAATTTCATGAAATCATTGAATTGTTTGGATTACTAAATAAATATATGCAAAAATCTGTCAGATTGAAAGATTTTCAAATGGTAGAAATACTAGACATTCGGATTATGAAACTACAACTATGTGTACAAATGTAATACCTTCAACTGCTGCTCTTACCTTACCTAAGTTCATAATTAGTTAATTAATAGTAATCTTAACTACTAAATGACTTAATTTGACTAATATAATTACAGCCTTTCTAATCCTACTATAATTGTCTTTGGTTATTCTATTCACATATCTCTGTATTATTATAATTATTATCCTTATTATTATTGATTTATTATCGTTATTAATTTGACGAATACATACATAATTAGCATTCACTCCACTTTATTACTTCTTACTAATTTCATAGAACTTTACACAAAATAAGCAGAGATGGATGGTGGCTAACAGGGAAACCCAGGATGTGTGCTTCGCCCTATTTGGGACTCATCAGTTGGATGTACCTCAATCTGAGTTGATATTCACTCTGTGACTTTAACCCAGTACCGTTCACTTCAAATGACATCACGTTATGTAAGCAATCCTTAATTCATCTGGTGTGCAGCCTATGCTCCTTCACGAGGGGTAAGAGGCAAAAAATACAAGGTCACTAAGCACACAAATCAAGCTTATTTATATAATGAAAGAAACGCCATTGGGAGATCCACAATGTATGATTTATTTAAAAGGCTAGTATAACCCGTGTACTTTACGTCTGTTACGGGCTCTTTAGGAGCCAAAAACATCGAAAATAAATTCGGAGAGAATGAAATTAATTGTACATTAATGATGATTGCTTTCCTAGACAATTGTTTTCGAAATAATGTTAGCAAAATAACGAACTTCTTACAATATTAATTCATTTAGTGATTGACAATAAATATTCATTAACCTAATAAACTATTATACATCCTTACTGTGAAATTTCCTCGGTAACCTTTTGTTCATATCTCAATTTAAACCATTACCAAAATGTCTAGATATACTTCCTAATTTAAAATTTATGTTATCTTTTCCAAACTACTAACAAGTAGTTGCATGACCACTGTTAAAAATGTGAACATCTATGTGTAAAGATTTTTATTTTTGTATTTCTACATTATAGCTGATCCAGGTACTCTTGGTTATCCATTATTTATTAATGGTAGTCAATGTATGCCAAATTTTGTTCTTCAAAAACAATTTGTCAAATTGGAATCATCTACTGTTGTTGTCGTTGACTATTGTGTAGCTCCACATGGTTTTATTTATCAAAGGCATCATAATGCTATATACAATAAATTCAAACAATTCTGCTTATTTCTTGTTGGTAAAACAATGTATTGTCCAGCAGGTAAGAGTATCACGCGTAAATATATGTTTAATTGAAGCTAACTTGATAAAATTAACTAATTTTGTCAAAAAAATTCATAAGATTTGTAGGGGCTTTGCTTTGTTAATCAATCACCTTGATAACCGTTATTACATAAATCCCAACAGTGTTTGAAATCAAAAGGAAATAAGAAACTGCAACTACGGTCTGTTAGTGGATAGCACGGATCATAAGGCTACAAACAAATTGAGCGAGTTTGAAGCAGAAAGGCGAATATGTGTGTGCGATGAAATACAGAAACAAATTTATGGTTAAACGGAGTAAGGCACAGCTAGGCAAAGCAAAGATTAATAATAGGATTCATGTACATATATACATGGTGAAGAGAATTATGCACAGAACAATATTTAAGCTATATATATCACAGGTAGAATACTGTTAAACTTCAATATGATGTTGTGGAGATTTCCGTGCTTTTGATTAAGATGATGAACCGATTGAAGTTGGACAATCACTGAAAACCTGGAAGCACTGGACGTCTGTTTCCACCTAGTATGAGACTTCTTGGTAGTGCGCATTCACGACCCCACCCGCAGAATTCGAACCCAGGTCATTCGGTCTCACGAGCAAACGTTTAACTTCTAGAACAGTGAGCCGACCAGCATCCAACAGTGTTAACGTCTAACCTCAAACAATCCATGAAATTGCGTGACCATCTTCCATTATACTGAGGTATATACCTGTATCTACCTGACATGGATTCAGTTTAAAAATTAGAATTAGACAAAATATGAACAAATATGTCCTCTGTAAAAAAAATGTAACAAGTATCTTTTCAAAATACTATCAATATTTTAAGAAGTTTTGATCGTATCGTAAAATTAAAAAGAATGTTTTGAAAATTGGTATCATGATTTAGACTTTTGGTTATATGGTTATTTATTTACAACATATTACATTTCAATAGTTGAATTCATGAGTCTATCTAATCTAGACTACGATTGGAAATCTGTAAGCACTGTACGACTGTTTCGTCCTAGTATGGGACTCTTCGACAATGCACATCCTTAACCTTGCACAAGGGAATAGAACCCAGGACTCTCGGTTTCGCTCGCTTACGCTTAAACTCTAGACCAATGAGCAGGCATCTAACGGTGATGATGTATAAATTCAGTCGTTCCATGATTTTACGCAACCATTCATCCATTATTTGAGGTGAATAACTGCCTCCACACGACATGTATTGGACTCTACTGGTCACGGCTTCTCATTAGAACTCCGGGTGCTCACTAGTGAATAGCTTTAGGATGGATATTTTTTGAACAAAACGAATGGAACACTAGTTTTAATGGAAATTTGATTATAAATCACCTTCAAACAAACAATGTTCGCCTTATAAGCAAAGATGGATACTGACTAACAGCGAAATCCAGGACGCGCGTTTCGTTCTATATGAGACTCGTCAACTGGACGTACGTGCATCTCATAGTTGATGTTCACTCTAGTACTCGGACCCAGTACCTTTCGCTTCAAACGCCATCACGTTATCCACTCAGCTACTGAGGCCTGATAGCCACTTGCTTGTGCAATGGGGTGAAGAATCAAACAAACAATACCAAGTGAATTTAATATTCGCCTTGTTGACTCATTTTTCCTATTCTCTAGTTACTGTTCGGCATGTTATTCATGTCTCTACTTTTTTCTGTGTAATAGACTGTACTGTTTATTTGTATACTAACGTTGCTAATTTTGGTTTTTAGAAATAGATAAAGTTTATTAAGCCAAATAGCTTACTTGTTCTGACTTTGGCGAAACCAAGTCTCTGTATTCGACAGTCAAGAGAATAGCTTAGAGTTGAACCTGTAGGTAACTGCCTCGTACAAAAGTCGATCCATCGTAGATGCACATTGCTGAAGAGTCCCATACTAGGACAAAATGACCTTCCAGTTCTTCCACGTTTTCCATGGTGGTCTAGCTTTAATTGACCCATCGATTCGACTATTAAATTACTACAGTCTCTACTAAACCCTCTTCTTCTGATATTTAAATTTTAGTTAATGTATCATAGTTTGTTTTCATATACATTGAAATTATTGAATTGTTACATTAATAGGTTTTATACGTACTAGACGATTTCAGCCAAGTTTAGAATTTATTGGTCATCTTTCTGGTCCAACAGCATGGAGACCAACATTTGATAATATCTTACAAATAATTACTTGTTGTGTACAACCTGAATTTTGGACTAATTCTACACGAACTCCGTATATATCTATTGAGAAAGTTTCACAATACAAAGGAGACTATAGCACTAGTACCAGTAACAATAATAATAATGGTAAAGAAGCACAAGAGTTACGTAATATAGACACGACAATATCACCTTTTACAAATGAAGATGAAGATTGGTTTTATGTAAAACCACGGCGTAGAATAACAGTTGGTGATTTCTTTCCATTACGTCGTCGTAAATGGATAGCAAGATGGAAACGTTCTACTTTTGAAAATTATACAGATGATAATGTTGAGTCAGAAATAACAAAGTCTGATTCTTCTTCTTCTTCATCATCATCTATGACATCATTGTACACTTCAGAAACTTCATATACTCCACAATCTACAGTACTAGATCCACCGTTATTTGTTTCTATTTATCAATGTCCACCAGTCAAAGGAACAAATCGACTTGTTGCACCATTGTTTCGTAATGTTCTTCCTGATGAAACACTTAGTGATGTATTACAAAATTTATTTCCTGAAATAAGTTGTGAATATAGAGAAGCTAAATCAGAATTCATACCAAACGCTGAAACTCGAAGTAAGTATTATTACCATTATTTATGTTGTCACTTTAATGTTATTTCTCATCGAATTCAACGTTGACTTTTTGAGCAGTGAATTCATAAATATCTATCTTATTGATTGGATATGTTGTTCATTAATGATCATATATATTGAATAAATTGATTATAATTCCTAGTGTTTGTTACCGTATTGTAAACCGGCATCAAATTAACAGCAAACCAAGTTATCTGTTGAAATTATCAATAAAATAGGGATGGGTCGGTGAGGTGTGGTCTACTTATATCCATATAAGTAGTATATGTTGATGGTCAGACATAGAATGCATTTTGGCAGAAGACCGATAAGGAAAGAACTGAAATGAAACGCAATCGGTTGGAAAATGCACAAACAATGAAATTAAAGAAGATCGATTGATATGATGTCAGGATGACATCAAAACACTGAGAAACTAATCTGCAATGGCAGTAATAATAATAATAATAACTATCTTTTCAATAATAAACATGAACAATCATACTATCTGTTATGACGTGTGAGGACGTAATTATATGGACGTGCAATTGGAGAGGAATGAATTTATTGATCGGAGGCAAATGATACTTGAAATTTTACGAGCAGTCTTGATTGCGTATCGGCCCTGCTAACTGCCTAGCCCAGCCAGTTGTGTCCAGAACACAAATAACAGCCTCGGCAATGTGAATCATTATTCACAAGCATACTGGGTTTATATACTAACCAAACAGACCCCACATACCAAAAAATAGAAAAATAACATTTGTACAATAATTGGCCAATGTGGCTGTGGATAGGGGGAAAGTAATCAATAATAAAAGTTCAAAGGTCAAAATAAAGGTTACGATAAGAGGAACACGAATACGATTAGGTCAGTTATTTAACAACTATCCAATAGGGAATAGACATATTACATTTGTCCGTAAATAGACCTCAGATTTACCATTCATAATTCACCAGGGGATATAACACTATCTATGACTTACTACATTAAGTACGATAAATGGAATCTTTTGTTGTTCAGGTATTATAACATACATACAGTTCATTGAATACCATATGCAAACGGTTAAAATTCCAACACAATACACTCAACATTGAGAAATACTGCACATTGATTTAAAGAATCTAGTTAACATTAAATGATAAAAACAAATATGAGATAAACCATTGATCAATATCCAGACAATAAAAGGTTGAATCCACTTACTTCTTCTACTACTTAATATTGAGCTATATGATAGTAAAATTATTTCTTTGTTGATTGAAAACTGACTTATTGGAAAATAATACAGAATTCAGTACATTTATCAAGGACGTCCTTGATAAGGCACGGAGAACACTAACCTAGTCATACTTGATGGAGAAACTCTGGAAGAGGTGGAAACATACATGTACCTAGAAAACATCATTGATGAACAAGGAGGATCTGATTCAGACGTAAAAGCGAGGATTGGCAAAGCAAGGACGACATTTCTACAATTTAATAAAATATGGAACTCCAAACAACTCTCAACTAATTTCAAAATGAATATCTTCAATACAAACGTCAAGACAGTTCTACTGTATGGAGGTGAAACGTGGAGAACTACTACATCCATCGTCAAGAATGTACAAGTATTTATAAACAGTTGTTTACGCAAAATACTCAACATTGACTGACCGGATACTATCAGCAACAGCGTTTTATGGGAGAGGACAAACCAACTTTAAGCTGAAGAGGAAATTAGGAAAAGATGTTAGAAGTGGATAGGACATACATTAAAGAAATCACCAAACTGCATCACAAGGCAACCCCTAACTTGGAATCCGGAAGGGAAATGGAAAAGAGGAAGGCCAAAGCACATATTAAGCCGGGAGGTCGAAGCAGATATTAATAGGATGAATAATAGCTGAAAAGGATTTCCCAGAACAGAGTTGAATGGAGAATACTAGTGGGTGGTCTATACTCCTCAATGAGGGGTAACAGGCGTAATTCCTTGATAAGGAAGGATAGAAGTCGAAGTAGGGCACATTTTTTTAGGTGTAACATGGGCCAATCAGTGATGTGAATTAATTAATACGTTTTTTACAGTGATTTCTTGTAATTGAAAAGAATGTTCATCCTTGATACTGGAATGGAAATTGCGTTTTAACAAAAACTAACTGATGGTGAAAATTGCTAGTTATTGGATATTAAATTAGTGACTGATCAGCATCGTGTGCTCATCAATAAACATATAACTTTAGCAAAAGTATTATGAACTAAAGACCTTGGGCGACTTATCAGCCAATCAAGGGACGCTGCACAGAACTCATTTGGAAAATGTCCTAATTTTGTAATTTTATTCTCAAAATTTGAATTTTATGTTTTCGATCCAACAGATGTTTACTTCACTTACAGCTTACATTCCCCACTCACAATTCCTTGACTGTCATCGGTTAATGGATTTTTTTTATTACGCTATTTTGTGACTCTCACAAGGGTGTTTCTATCATTCTATAAATAAGATTGATTTTTGTGTTTATTGACCTCGTATTTTTTAGGTGCTTGTAGAATACATTCTCTACGCCTTATCAAGACTTGTTGATCTAGTTAGCATAGCCGAGGACAAAACGGATTAGAATAGTCTATCATGTCATTGACCTTCTTTCCGTTTATCGAATAAGGTGAACTCGTAATAACATCAAGCAAATCAGTTACAAAATCTCGATTAGATGTAGGACAGAAATAATGATATAGTAGGAGCTGGATAGTAATAAACAACCATCTTCTCAACTTGAATAAATCATAAAAACACATAATAAGGATATTATGAAATTAATCAGTTGTCTGAACTATTCTTTTTTTCTTTTACCATACGTTTTTTCATTATAATTTGTTATAACGGAAAAGAATATAGATTTCATCTGTCTTTTTCTATACTGTACATTAGATATTTATTACGTCCTTGATTTGTTTACCCACTTTTCAGGTCAAGGATAACTTGTTTAATGTAGATTAAGATCTTGACACGATAGACTGATTAGCTTAATCTTGAGGTTAGTGTGAATGAGTTCGAAGTGAGGTAGAGTGACGAAAACTATTCTATTACCTGATTGGCTGACAAGCACGCGCGAAAGAGAAGACAAGACAACTGGAACACTACTTGATTTATTCCAATTCCGATCTAGTATCCAAATTCTGATTAGTGTTAAAAGATACAGGAATAAATAGATGACTAGCCTGACCACAAAGTACAATAATTAGGAAAATACAATTATGTCCAAAACTGAGAAATTAAAGTAGAAAATAGGTTACAAACGATTAAGTCTAAATTACAATAGCTTTGGAACGAACAGAAAAGGCTATAGCAGTGAATCATACATCAATCGAAAGCTTATGATCTGTAGAATAAACTAGGAGCAAAATTAAATGTTACTGTTTTACAAGCTTTGAATTGAATGAAATAACATCTCCAAAAAATAGCTTCTATAGTTTTTCAAGGCTTCTTGCTTCTCTGTTCACATCAATATTACATAGTTAAATCATTATAACTAAGTAATAGACTAGCCTCTAGAATTATTGGATCATAATAATTGATCATATTATAGACTCGATCCGATTAGCCAATAAATTATTAAGTATTAATAATGGATCACAACAAGGACATATCAATAAACAGTACAACAAGTTCAACAATCAAGATTGTTATATCCTAGCGAAGACATGAGTACGGGTAACTACTTCCGGGACCTATTCATGGACGATTATTCCATATATATATTCTTATTCTTTAACAAACAATACTAATTTGAATTTAAACTTCACCCCATCGCACATGCAAGTGGCTATCAGGACTCAGTGGCCGAGTGGATAACGCGATGGCGTTTGAAGCGAGGGTACTGGGTTCGAGTCTCAGAGTGAACATCAACTCTGAGATGCAGGTACATCCAGCTGACGAGTTCCAAATAGAACGAAACGCTCGTCCTGGATTCCACTGCTAGCCACTATCCATCTCTGCTAACCATGCTTGTGAATTAAGGTATATCGAGGCAATACGCACAGTATGTACATATGCCAATTAGAGACTGACCAGTTGCAGTCCTAACAAATCGATGGGAAGATTCAAACAAATAATACTAAGTTGAATTTATTGAGTAATTAGATTGTGTTTATCTATATTCATCTTATTATAAGCTTCATTTTGACCTATGGATTATTATCATACGATTTACTGTTCCTAAATTATATCCAGTTAATTGATTACTGTCTCCCACGTTCACAGCCACATTTGGCTTGATCTTGTACAAATATTATTTCCTATTTTATGGTGTATTGAAATTTTTTTATTGCGGTATACAAACCGAACATGCTTGAAATAGATTATTTGCATAGATTCGTATAACAGAAGGTGTAATTGATGTTCTGGACTCAATTGTAAGGTCTCGGCGGACAAGGCAACCAATAAGGACGTTAGACTACTCGTACCAGTTGAACATCATTGATTTAGTACAGTGTTAAGATTAGACAAGTCATATTTTGATCGATGAATATTTCACATGATAAAAAGCCGGACATAAAATCACAACAAATTGATGACGGCCTTCTATAAAGTCAAAACAAAGACGAAATCGGTTTAACAAGTACATAGATCTTACTAATATTCAATAGATTCGTTTATATCTACCATTTGTTTGTTAATAAAACCATTTCTTCTTATTTATTGCATTATTAGTTAGCCAATTAGCTCTTCTTATTAATGAACCAACATGTCCAATTGGTTTTACTAAAACACAAATCTCACGACGTGTTGTATTCATACTTGGTACAAGTATTAGTTTATGTTGGTCAATGACAAATCGGTTTAAATTAGATAATACATCTTATAGAAATCAATTACCTATTGGAAATTATTGTTTAATCACAGATCATTCATTGAATCATATTAAATCAAATGTATTGCAAGAAAGTGATAAAGAGAAACTTTATAATTATAAATGTCCACAAGGTAATATCATATCTTTTTGTATCTTTGAGAAATTATGCACATTTAATCATAAACTGTTCAGATGAATAGTGACTAGCATTGGAATTTAGGATGAGCGTTTCGTCTTATTTGAGACTCTTCAGCAGTCTTAAACGTAAATGGAAAGATTCAAACAAATGATATCATGTGAAGTTGAACTTCACTCCATTACACAAGCAGGTGGCTATCAGAAGTTAGTAGCTGGGTGGATAACGTGATTGCGTTCGAAGTGAACAGTGCTGTGTTCGAGTTCCAGGCTAAATATCGGCTTTGAAATGCAGATACATCCAGCTGACGAGTCTCAAATAGGACGAAACGCACTTCCTGGATTTCACTGCTAGTCAGTATCCATCTTTGTTTATAAAGATTGTGGATTAAGGCTATATCGAGGCAATTTGCACAGGATGCAAATAAGTCAATAAGAGATTGATCAATTGTAGTACCGAACATCAATGAGAAGATTCAAATAAACAATATCTAGTGAAATTAAACATAAACTGTTCAGTTTAAATATTTTACAAGACAAATGCAAACATTTTCTACCAATGTGATATTTATTTTGTAAAATGGTTTGTATTTCTCCCTCTAATGTTATTTGGGACTTTAGCTTATTAATCCTTGTTGACGTATATACGTTTAGAGTGTATGCCCATATCATGTTGGTAAACAGGAATTATAGTACTTGTTTTGAATTTCCACAGCAATGGGATTAAGGTTTTACAGTTTGAGTCGTAGTATGAACATCAAATTTCAGATCCAGGTGTATTAAGCTGATAAACGTTATGTAAGAAAAAAAACGCGCATTTTAAATACCAATACTAATTGCAGTCTCCAAAAAAATCGGAACCCGATTCTGTAAGTGATATTAACATAGCTATTCAAGATTCATGCATATCAATAGAGGCTGAACTATCTACAATCACTATCTTATTTCAACATAATGCACGGAATATCGAGTCACCTAGAGTTATGGCAACATTACAACTTAATTGAGAGGATTCGATCTACAGTAAAAAGGACCTGATATACATGACATTGATCACCATTGAGTGATCAATCGATTGTAAAAGTCTTGAATGTCAACAATATAAACCCCTATATATCTATTTCATGGAGGAAATACTTTTGAATATTATCTTTAACATTATGATCTATTGAAAGAAATGATATTCACAACTTGAAAAGAATTTATTGTTCATTTCATATAGGATCATATTAATAGATAATAACGAATGGATATTCTAGATGTTAACCAATTAGTTAAAATATTAGTCTTATACTTTAATCATTGTATGAGGAAGAAGAGATTATTTATATCATTATTTATATAAACACATAAATATTGGTTCAAAGGGGCACCAGATACATATGCGCCACACAAATCTCATTTGATTTGTGTGACGGCTGTAATACTGCCCGGGTACCCTAACCGAAGCATGCGGTTTTCTTAGCGGGCCACACCCCAAGATCTGATCCAAAAAGTAGTGGAACATCGTAAGGATATGCAATCCTATGTTAGCCAGTCACCAACGATGGATTCATACACCATTTGTTCTCTCAGGATACTGAAGCCTATGTGTACCATTATTTTGGAATCAGGATTTTCCAACTCCCCTAGATGGATCCTCTGTATCAACCAACGAAATAAAGCTCTGGACATTCGCTTTTCATCCTTTCAATTTCGCAAACAACACCCCCGTCACAAGAAGACAGTGTGTATGACTATCCTGACAGTGATTATATACATGTGGCCATATGAAAGCCTAATGAGACGGGGAGTGAACTCTCACCACCCTCCGCCGTACCAGAGCATTTGATGTCCGCAAAGAACTCAGAAATAGGTTATATTATTTGATCATTTAAACCACAATCATTATGCAATGTAGTATTCTATACTTTTGTTAATTATAATTATCATTATCTTAATCTGATCTTTCATTAGGTTAACATTACCCATTTTGTCATTGTTTTATTAGGTTTACGACAAAATGAAATTCATTTTGTACAAGTTGGTTATCGTTTAAAATTGTGTTGTTCTGTTAATTTACCAACAAATTTTACTGATTATGAATATGAAAATAAATTAGATAAGATCAATTATCAAGCACCATTAGGAATTACATCACCATTTGCTATTATACAAAATGGTCCAATATGTCCAACATTTTATTCAGGCAATATTAAATTAACAGTAGTACAAGTAAGTGAAATGTAAATGAATTATTCTATCAATTATCAGAAAGGGGGGTAGTAGTAGTAGTAATTTAATAGTTGGATTGATGAGTCCATTACAGCTAGACAACCATGAGAAACCTGGAAGCATTAGACGGCCGTTTTTCTTAGCACGGAACTCTTCAACAGTACACATTCACGATCCCGCTTGAGGGATTCGAACCCAGGACCTGTTGATCTACGATTAACCTCTACACCACTGAACCGGATGGCATCCAACCATCCACCATTGTCGTCAATGAGTTAATGCCTCACAACAGAGTGTTGAACCTCACTGGTCACGACTTCGCACTAGAACTCCAGGAAATACATCTTGAAGTCAGTCACTAGATAGCACATGATGATTATTATGAGAAATTGGGGTTTTGTTTATATTATTATAGTAATTTAATAGTTGAGTTGATGAGTCGAGGAAAGCTAGACCACCTTGGACTTAATGGCCATCCAGTGTTTCCAGGTTTTTCAAGGTGGTCTAGCTTTAATTGACTCATGAATTCAACTGTTATATTAATCAATTAATTAGCGATTGATTTCGATAGGTAATTCAATGAGTTCAAGTGAGAGGTACTGACTAATGGAGTTCAAGCATGTTGATTATGATGCAGTTATCTACCGATGGCATTAGAAATTCGTTGTGCAATATCACGAGTTGATTGAAGTTAAAGATTTAGACTATTTAATTTTAATGCTGTTGTTTATTGGTAAAGTACTCACTCCCAAGAGCTCAATAACCTGAATTTGATCTCCAATAATCTCATAAATAAACATTGTTGAGGACTTCCATACTACGACGAAACAGCAGTCTAGTGCCTACTGGATTTTGATGATTATCAAACTACTCTCATTAACTATAGAAAACAGTTAAATCAATAAATAATCCCACTTGGGATTACGAAGACACTTAAACTCATAACCATCTGAACTTGTAACTAGTAACATCTTTGAATCTCTTGTAATCACGATTGATTCAATCTCTTAAAAAATTAATTTTTAAAAAAAGAGTGCGGACAGTATTTTGTACTTAGTGACCTTGTAATTTGTGATTGCTTGTAGAATACATTCTCTACGCCTCATCGAGACCTATTATTTGTTGACCTAGTTAGCAGTGCCGAGGACAAAACAGATTAGAATAGTCTATCATGTCACTGTGTCGTTGACCAATTCTTTCCGTTTACCGAGTAAGGTGAACTTGTAATATCATTAAGCATATCACTATTCTGACGACTATTATTTATCATTGTACATTGATCATTATTGAGCTTTTACACTAAACTATTCGTATTTCACTAAAAGAAAATAGTAAGTTTCAATTTTAAATGGCTATAACGAAAAGGATAGGAATTCTGTGTAATGACTAGGAAATGGCATTTGTGAGTTGATCCGACCTTCTTTTGAATGGATCTATAAAAGTACACCATTTTACTTACTGAAAACTATAAAAATCTTTAATGTTTTGAATGTCTTCACAGTGATCAATTCAAAGTTGTTAATATTTTACACATATTTTCTTACGAAAATCATTCACTGAAACACTAAGATCCAATCTTGATACTTTTCCATTTGAAAAGGTCCCAGGTTTGCTTGGTTGGCTTTTGGTTATTGAGTAAAATACTTTTGTAATTTATTCTAAATTATAGTACAATCGTCCAATTCCTCGCCCATATGGTGATCAAATTGAATTAATTGGACCAGATAATCCAGTCAAATTAGATGGAATACCAAACATAATCATTTGTCAGTATTTAAATCAAGAAAGTAAGTAATCTGAAAATCATCGTTTCGTTAAGATACCGATTATAATTTTATTGAATTTCATTGTGTTTGCATTACAAGCTGAGTCAAGTTTGACAACCATTGAAAACTAGAAAGCTTTTTCACTTTATCATATTATCTACAACCCCACTTAGGATTTAACTCAGGATCTCTTGGACCCATGGCTTGAATGTTAAAACTAGAAAGCAGTAAACAGATGTTTTTTTCCCCTTATTAGACTGCTTAGTAGTACTTAACCATGAATTAAAGTACTGAAAATAATCACTAGTGGGAGTGTACTGCATTTTGTGAATGGATATGCAAAACAGGGTTTGTTTAATAATGACTGGGTCTCAATAGTTTTGATACGTCCAGATAGAATGACTTGTTATTGGTCAAAGAATGAAAACAGAAATGACCAGCTACATCAAATATAATGTTGTCTTATGAAATGTGTTTCACTTTGATTCAAATAACAACTTGCTCCGTACTAGCGTTAATAAACTATTATTCTGATCGCATCCGATTTTTCATCGTTGGTTGAATAATTGAGTTATGGTGTGTAACGGATGACGAAGTATCGTCATGTCATGAATTGACTGAAGTTAGACATAAACACCGTTGAATCTCAACCCAGTAGTCTAAAAATTATGTGTTCACGAGCGACACCAGAGTTCCTGGGTTTGATTTCTACATGGGGGTTTGTGTATGCCTATTCTAAGGAGTATCGTACTTGGACAAAATGGCCGGACAGTGCTTATAGGATCCAAGTGGTGGTCTAATTTACATTGGTTCATGATTTCAATGAAACATTATTTTAATAAATAGAATCTCATTTACTAACATGAGAATTTAGTTTAAATATTTAACTTTAATTCGTTCCACATTATGGACCGTGGCTTTGCCTAACAAACTATTGACATCTAGAAAATACTGAATATATGTTTCGTTCTTGTATAGAACTCTTTCAACTATATGTATCAAGAATCTCATTATGGATCAATCTTAACTATAATTCAATTGATAAAATGGACGGAATTTAACTTTTTTTGTCAAATAAATACATTCATTGACTGAGATTACATAATTGGGAATAAATGTCTTCAAACTCTTATCTACCCTTCGGCCTAAGATGTCATATGAACACAGGAACTTGATCTGTTTACGTTTAAACTGACCTTCATATACTACTTTTAAGAAACACTAAACACTACTACACCAACTGAAGCATATTTCCACATACTGTGGTGTTGTCTACTTATATCTATATAAGTAGTATATGGTGTGGGTCAGACATAGAATGTACTTTCGCAGATGACCGATAAGGAAAGAACTGAAATGAAGCGCAATCGTTTGGAAAATGCATGAGCAATGGAATAAGAGAAGAAACAGTGAAGATTGAAACAAATTGTCGTTAATTTGCAAATTGACTGTTCATTGTTTGGTAATCAGAATTTACTGAGATAGTCTGTAATGTTTGCTAAAATACATTCGATTGTCCCCAACCAGTGTTCTGTACACTACAATACTACCTAACAGCTGATAATAAGTTAAACACTTAATGAATTAAAAAAGCAACCAGTTTTCGCAAACATCTGTCCTAGTCAATTTTATTGAATTACTAGCCACTTATCTCTTGATTCACTACCATACTATAGTAGAAGAGCATTTTTAAATCCATCTACTTGATGATTGAAACGAAATCTAGCTCTTCAACAAGTACCACCTCTCTTTTGATGGATAAAGTTTTATCTACTGAATGCGTTTGTTAGTAGTAAATAACTCATTGATTAAATTTTCTTTTTCTGTAGTTAAATTAGGCGTGAAATCACTTCGTTATGATTGTGATGGTTTGGGACATCGAGAAGTCATGAGCTATGGTGGAGCTACGTGTGGATTTGAAGTGAACTCTACAGTAGTTTTCCCACCTGGGAAATATTGTTTCTTACAATTATCCTCCACATGCCCTACAGGTATTCTTAGTTTTATTTGTTTATCTGATTTCTTAAATTATGCTGTATCAACATATTTAGTCATGAACTCAATTCTAACAATATTTACCTCTTATTCAATACGATATTTGGGGATTTCTGCAGCAAACAACTATCTAATATGGTAATAATTAATGTGACTAAATTCTATCATTAATTAGTACATTTCACAGATGGAAAATGTCATGTCCTTATGGCATGTTGATTATCACGTGATAAGATCACCAACTGCAACGCTGACTTGTTAACCAGATCAATGATGCATAAACCAGTACGAACAGCCTACAGTTAACTCTGAGTTCTTATTGGTCCTCTGATATAGCAGCTGCACACCTAACTCAGTCGGTTCAGTCCAGAACACCAATATCAGTCTGCGTTATATGAATCATGTATTTTAGACATACTTAGTTTACATACAAGCAAATCAGACCTCATCATACCATAACAGAAAATAACAATTATACAAGATTAGGCCCAAAAGTGTCTGTAAATGTGACAGGCTGTAACTAATAAATTGGGAATCACTTAAGAATAGTAAATCGTATAATAGTAGTCAATAAGCCAAATGAAAGCTTACAATAAAAAGAATATGAATATACATATAAGACGGTTACTAAGATTATATATAATAAAATCCCATAAATAGATTCTAGCAGTTACTATTCACTTATTCTTCGTCCGGATATAACAGAAAACATTATTAATTATGACGGGAAAAGTGTCGGTATTAGTAATGGTAGTGTGGTGAGGATTACTGATATCCACATTAGTAGTATACGGTGATGGTCGGGCATTGAATTTATTTCAGTAGAAGATCGATAAGGAGAGAACGGAAACGGCACACAATGAGTACGAAAATGAATGAACAATTATAATCGGAGACTATGGATGGATATTTGCAGAAGTAACAGTCAAATTGAGACAATTGATTGTTATCTTGCAAATTAACCGTTCACTATATGGTTCTCATATTTTAATAAGATATTCTCTAATGTTATGCTAAAATACATTTGATTGTCCCCACTCGTGTTCTTGTTCACTACAGTAGTATCAGTATAAGTAGTGTTAGTAATAGTATTAATGGTGATGGTCAATGAAATTAAATTACTTGGTTAGCTAGTAAATGTACATAACTAGCTTTTCAATGAAATAGATCTTTGAATAAAGCCCGAGGATTTTTGGAATGATTTAAGGGCTGTACTGAATAATTTAAACTTTTATCAAGTTGGAGGGCCATTCAAAAATTTATTTTTAGGCTACCAATATTCAAACAGTTAACTATTAAACTCATTTAGTATTGTTTGTTAGAGACTGACCAGTAGCAGTCCTAATACATCGATGGGAAGATTCAAACAAACAATACTAAATGATTTTAAACATTACCCCATCGTACAAGCAATTGGCTATCACGACTCAGTGGCCAAGTGGATAACGCGATGGCATTTGAAGTGAGGGTACTGGGTTTGAGTCCCAGAGTGAACATCAACTCTGAGATGCTCGTACATCCAGCTGACGGGTCCGAAATAGGACGAAACTCGCGTCCCGTATTCTACTTCTAGCCACTATCCATCTTTGCTTACAGTTAACTATTAAGATCAGCTTTTATAATGTCGAATGCCTAGAGCTGTTCATGTAGTTTGAGCTCACATTTCTTGGTTCAAATGGTTTGTAGTTATTTCATCCTGCTGTATGTATAAAATAATATGAAAACGATATTTCATTTGAATAATAGATCGATTACCACAAAGTTCTTGATCATTGATGGATTATATTGAACCCGTCCACTTCATTCAATCACTTACTGACACCATACGTTTAACATCTTTGAAATTAGTCACTAACGACTTCTTTTTAGAGTTAAAAATTTCCTTGAAGCTAGAAGACAGTGAATGCATGATTATGATAAGAGCGAAAGGCTTTTAAAAATCATTTTCACTTAACATTTGTTAATCATTCATACATATGAAAACATTTTTAAAAAATCTAGGATTCACATCAAGAAATGGTGTTGATCGATTCGGTTTCAGTTTACAAAGTCTTGGTAGTACATGTTGTCGTACTGAAGAATCGATTGGAGCAATTAAATTACCAATTAATTTAGAAGCCCCGTTTAAGCTGCCTGCAGTTTATCAACCATGTCAAGCAATAGAGAATTTCAATGTTGATGCCGAATTACATCATTGTGTTTATTACCCGAAAGGAAGTAAGTTTATATTGTTTATGAACAGTGAAAACTAGAGACTAAGTAATTCATTTACAAGTAACTATTTTACTTGGCACAATGCACCAGCCATTTGGGTTTGGTGAAGCCTCATTTGGTGTAGCTTAGGGGCTTTCCTGGCAGGAAGACAGTCTTTTTAAAGCTTGTCTTTTTAGGGAACAGACCTGTTTTTATTTTGGTTTAAGCTTCGTTTTTGACATAGGGCAAACTATCTTGGATCATATTAGGTGAGGTATACCCTTTGTATGTACCTATTTACATAAATTTCACAAGCCAAAACTTATATATATATATATATTCACAGTGGGCAGCATTTTACAATTCTAGTGCCTCTAAGTTAGGTCTCTATTTGATGCAAGTTACAGTAGAGTGCTAGAGTAGTCCGATATTTGCCGACCGTCCAAGATGGCTAATGAGGTAACCACTTTTATTCAGCAGCGCCGCGTGGATACCTTAGGTTATTTTGGTTGCGAATTTCACATTCATTAAAGTGTCCTTTTTTGTCTCGTGATAAACTACACGTTGTCAAGTAATCTAAGTGTATCGTAGCCAGCAATTATGGTTATTAATTATAGAAGGGGTTTTGTGGAGATTTAGTATTTATCATAGTTGAAAGCGTGAGTCAATTGAAGCTAGACCACCATGGAAAACCTGGTTTTCCATGGTGGTCCTTTTTATCTGGTGCAATGGTAACAAATATTTTTTTGTTGATTTGCCTAACAACAAGTGGACTAGCTGATAGAGTCTAATGATGATTACTTTGATATGTCACAGAATAATCTCATTTACGATAAAATTGAAAACTAGAGATCACTGAAAACCTGTTTCATTCTAGTATTGGGATTCTTGAGTGGCGGTTATCCACAACCTCACTAGGAATCGGACTAAAGCCTTATTCATCAGGAACCAGGGATAGATCACTCACAAATGCAAACTACAATTTGAATAGCCAACTGGTAATCGGTTCGAAAGAAATGAAGAAGTTATGTAAAACGGTCAGTTAAAAAAAGATATTGTCGACAACATAAATAAAAAATTCACATTTGACAAAGTTTGAAATGTGCTGATAAACGCTCAAACTTAAGCAAGGAGCCCTATATTGACTACTACTGGCTAAATATAATACCTTATAATGATTAGTAATTTAACCTATTAGTTGGTAGATTGGTTATGTATAAGCATATAATGTATTTGTGTTCATATGTCGTCTCCAAACACGCTCATTGAAGATTTTGACTTTTCCATTAAACCGTGTCCCAATCTACATGACATTGTCTAAATCAAGAAGAGGAAAGTTTATATACCAATAATCTGGGTACTTATTTATTCGTTTTTTTTCAATTACAGAATCCTAGCCGCTTCCATGTCTTCTCACTTACGTAGTAGATAGTAACATTATGCAGACTGAGTTCATTGAAAGAAAGATTTCAGTTATCGATCAACGTCTGCATTTAACTAATTCATGTACAATATTTCTTCCCAAAACAGAATGAACTATGAGTATCGTGCGCTTCAGACAATATATAATAAACAATGAAAGCTTCAGGATTAAACCACTCCAGTTCAGGGAATGAAATCTTAGGAGTAATTTTGTTTACTCTTGGCAGTTAACGTATGGATTAGGGAGATAAACACATCACTAACTCTAATATTCATTTTCAAATCACACTTTATGCATGAAGCTCAGCAACACTGTCAAACCGGGTCCTACATTGTGTCGGACCGAATGATCTAGTCATCGTATACAAATTGGTAGAGATTGAAATTAGGATCCTGTGTACTGCAGACGTTCATTCCAAATCAATTGAACTTATCAGTTTTCTTCGATATTTTTTCATAATTATCATGAATCACATTTTGTCTTCTTGGCTTTTTTTCTCTTAAATAGATAGATCACATATAATGTTGGTATGGCCACGTGTTGTTTCCAACTTAAATGACACTATAAACGGGAGTGATAATAATAAAACTTCTGTGCCAAAGTACTGTTCAAAGTTACCTGGAAAAAGTAAGTCCAATAGTCATAACAGTAATTCTTTTCACTGAAATCACGTACCGACCAAAGTTAGATAACATCTGAAAACCTGACAGTATTTGACAGCTGTTTCATTTTAGTATAGGATTCCTCAGTGGTGTTCATCCTTAACCCTCCACTTGTGAGTCGATTCCATGACCTGTAGTCCAGAGTGCGAACACTTAACTTCTAAACCATTGATCTGGAATGCAATGGTACATAGGTCTAAGTTAAAACACGTTAACCTTAGGCTGATTGATTTCATAGAAAGAAGGTTAACACAAGTTCTTGAGTTTTTGTTAATTCTGTCTTTGTGTAGTAGAAACTAAACTGAATGAATGATCAGAATCTTATATCAACTTGTTTAATTTGAAATGCTCAAAGTTAACAATATTCTACCCTTTTTTACATTCTATCCTTGTTGATAACCATCAATAAGATATATCTATGACTTCAGATACTGATATCTTGTACATAGTTAAGAACTTGTGAGACTCTGTGTTTTAACTTTCTAAGAACATGATTTTTCTAATTCAAATGAAGCACCTCTATATAGCTAAGTTATGATAAATCATATGTCAGATATGTCCAGATATTCTACCTACCAGTTCTCGCATACCACATTATAGTCAGACGGTATGTGGGTAATGATAAACAAGGTATACTATTTAAGAAAGTCGAGTCAGTACACTGACTCATGAATGTATGTATACCTGTGTTTTGTGTACTTAATGATTACGTTTATCACTGAAGGCTTCCTGATCATTTCTCAACATCCCTACTATCATTTGTATTTGAGAAAATTTATAAGAAGTGTATATTTCAACCGGACTATCCTATTAGATCACAATAAACTCAAGTATAATCTTCATATTTTAACTGATGATGAAAACAATTTTAGAATTGTCAACATCATTCTTTAATGTATTACTATGCTTTATTTTTTTTAATGATCAAATTAAAGGGGTCGGATTTCGAAGAAGTCAATTGGGTCGTTTATCTGCATTATTCTTTAATATAAGTAAGTTATTTAATATGTGATTAATTGTAATAAAGAGATTGAATTACATCAATTGAATGAATGGCAAAACTTGTTACCCTCCTCTACCAATTATCTCTCACCTTTCAACTTTCTATGTAGAATAGAGATACAAAAATCTAAATATATACCCATGTTTTCATATATAGTTGAAATCATGAGTCCATTGAAGCTAAATCACCATGGTGGTCTTAAAATCTCCACGAACAATCACCTTATTATATGCTCACTAGTGACTGGCTCCATGAGGTATTTCCTGGAGTTCTAGTGAGAAGCAGTAACCAGTGAACTTCAACCATATCTGTTAGGAGACATCAACTGACTGAAGACATTGGTAAAATGATTGATTGACATCGTGGATTGGTTGAAGTTAGACATTAACACCGTTGGATGCCAGTTCAGTAGTCCATCTGTTAAGTGCTCGTGTGCGAGACTGGTAGGTCTTGGTTTCGAATCTCGAGAGGTAGGATCGTGGATACACATTGTTGAGGAGTCCCACAATAGGTTGAAACGGTTGTCCAGTGCTTCCAGGTTTTCCATGGTAGTCTAGCTTCAATTGACTCATGATTTCAACTATATATACAAATTACTAAAAACCTCCACAAACAACCCCCTTATATATCCATGTCTTACAACTGTTCAGAATTGTTATTACAATCAGTTAGTGAAAATACTACTGATTAGTCTAACAGTAGCATTAATAATTGTAGAAAAATAAATTTTCTGATTAATCAGTAGGAAATTCTACTTCATTAGTCTTTAAATTGAAATAGTGAATGTTAGTCTAGTTCTTTTTTATCAATTATCCTTATGCATAATCATTCCATTCATATCATAGAGTAGTAGTGTTTTGATTGAGAAAACCAGTGGGGACAATCAAATGTCTCAGACTTTGTTGTTCTTTCGTTTCTATATCAATCACTCTCTGTTCTCGTTCTCTTCTCTTTGATTTTCTCAACCTTCTGTCGCCACATGTTCCGCTCTCGACTGGTGATACATACTACTTATTGTTATGACTTTATAAAAAATACGACATATGCTAATTTGTTGTAACTCTTAAAAGAAGGCCGTATCCAATTCCTTATGATTTTATGTCCGGCTTTTTATCCTGTGAAATATCCAACAATCGAAATACGACTTTTCCGATCTTAACATTGTACCAAATCTATGACGTTCAACTGGTATGAGCAGTCTAGCGTCCTTATTGATCCCTTGTCCGCTTAGCCCTTCCAATTGAGCCCAGAACACCGAATGCACCTTCTGCTATGCGAATCTATGCGAATAATCTATTTCAAGCATACTCTGTTTATATACCAGACAGACAGACAGCATCACACCATAAAATAGAAAATAATATTTTTACAAGATCAAGCCAAATGTGGCTGTGAACATGGGAGACAGCAATCAATAAACTAAGTATAATTAAGGAATAGTAAATCGTATAATAATAATTCATAGGTCAACAGGAAGCTTATAATAAGGTGAATATAAATATGCACAATCTAATTACTCAATAGTTAAACAATAAGAATATATATATAGAATAATCTTCCTTTAATAGATCCTGGAAGTTACCTGTCCTTACGTCTTCACTAGGATATAACACTTATATCTGTCGACATCAGTAGCACACACTATAGTAGTAGTAGTAGTAGTATGTGCCATAATAATGTGTTTTTTTATTTATTTGAGGAGTCGGAATTTCTAAAAGGTGATGAAACTTTCATTGAGTTATATAAATATCTATGACAACATCACTATTCTCTATTCCACCGTAATTTCGCTAAACGTTACTGTTCATTTGTTATTAAAAATTTTGTCACTGAGATATAGTCTTCCTTGAAATAGAAATGAGTATTAAAATTTTTAAATTAAATGATTTCTGATGAGAAATAACTTTTTATCAAATAGTCTTTTCAAACTACCTATCTGAACGATATCTCTTTCCTTACCATGGAATAACTTCTGAAAATAAGTCTAGTTAAAAGTTATGGCTAATAAAGTTAAAATATATCCAAAGAGGGAATGGAATGAATAATGATGTTTCTTGATAACTGGTTAATAGAAAATCTTGTATCTAAGTATCTTGTTAGTTGAAACTCATCATTCCAAAGTATCTACATCCTAGAAATGATTAATGCTCCCTTTTTGGTGAGGATGTATTGTGGCTAGCATTGAAATCTAAGAATCACGTTTCATCATGTTTAAGATTCCTCAATTACATGTATCCAGATCCAAGTGTTTATGATCATCATGATACTTGAATTTGGAACTTTAAACAACAACACATTAACCGCTGAGCTAATGAATTCAGATAGCTTACAACTTTCTTATCGGGTACAAAAACATTTTAAATGAAGGCGATCTCTAGGTGATTTCATCAAGGATCCAAGTATACCAACAGACTGGTCATATTTATTCTATGAGTTCATCAGTAGAAAAATTCAAAACATGAGATATTTATATGTACCATTTCCTATAAATCATTATAACTTCAATTAACCAAGTGTTATAACCCTAAACATTATCACTACTTACTTACTTACTTAAGCCTGGAGTATAGGCCGCCAAACAGCGTTCTCCAACCCATTCTGTCCTGGGTCTACCTTTCTAGTTCTATCCATTTGTTGTTCATTCTTCTCATGTCCGTCTCCATTTCTCGGCAATAATGTGTTCCTTTGTCTTGAGGATTCCATGTGAGGGCTTGTCTTGTAACACAGTTGGATGAAACATTATCACTAAGCTCTTTATAATAAATTTAATAATAACAATATTTCATCAGTGAGTTGATATCTCCCAACAGACCTGGTTGAACTTCTCTGGTTACTGCTTCTCACTAGAACTCCGGAAAATACCTCTTGGAGCCAGTCACTTATGAGCATACGATCATTATTAGAAGGGGGTTCGGATCTCGCGAGGCGGGATCGTGGATGCGCATTGCTGAGGAGTCCCACAATAGGACGAAACAGCCATCCAGTGCTTCCGAGTTTTCCATGGTGGTCTGTAGCGTCGTGCTCGTACGGCGAGGCCTCCAATTCTGTTGCGTCGTGCTCGCTCGGCGAGGCCTCCAATTCTGTGGTGCCGCAATTCGTTAATCGTTTACTTCGATAACCGTTATAATTCTTAACTTAACGGCGCGTAAAATCAGAAGACAAAGGATAGCAGCAACTACAGTTTATTGTCGAATGATTAACGAATTGCGGCACTACAGTCTAGCTTCAATTGACTCATGATCTCAACTACGTAAAATACCAATATTAATTAATTAATTAATTTTTAATTTATACTTAATTTCAGTGCAAGATCAATGGTTAACATATAAACGACCACGTTGGACAACACGTATAAGTGATTCAACTGATATATGTTTCAATGAATTGAATTTAGAAAATATTCCTGTATTAACTCAACCGTCGACTGGATATTGTATATCGGTATTTGGTAATTGTCCATATAAATGTAAGAAAATTATGTAATGAATAATTGATGATTTATATTTACCATAGATAAACGTTATTTAGAGTGTTACTGTGAATTAGATAACAATGAATATTTGTTTCATCCTAGTATTGTGGTGTGTGTTACTGATATCGACAGATATAAGTAGTATGTATCATCAATTGAACGTGAAATATCTGTAGGCAGAATGTTAAGAAGATCAAAGAAAGAGATAATGTTACGTCTGTCTACCCACTTTCGTGCCGAAGATGACCTGTCTAATGTAGATTAAGACCTTGACGCGATATATTGACTGGCTTAACCTTGAGGCTAATATGTGTGAGTTCGAAGTCGGGTAGAGAGACGAAAACTATTCCATCCCCTGATTGACTGACAAGCACTCGCGTGACAGAAGACAAGACAAATGGAACACTACTTGGTTTATTCCAATTCCGATATGGTACTCGATTTCCATTAGTGTCAAAAGATACATGAATAAAGAGATGACTAACCCGATTACAACGTACAACAATCAGGAAAGTAGGATTATGTCCAAAACTGGGAAGTTAGAGTAGAAAATAGGATACAAAGGATTACGTCTAAATTACAATAGCTTTGGAAAAGAAAAGGCTATGGCAGTGAATCACACATCATACGAAAGTTTATGATCTGTAGAATAGACTAGGGGCAAAAGTAAATGCTACTGTTTTACAAGCTTTGAAATAAATAAAATAACGTGCCCAAAAATAACTTCTGTATTTTGCCAAGACTTCTTCTTTCTCTGTTCACATCAAATGAGAACAGAGAATGTTTGGTATGAAAACGAAAGAACAATGAAGTCTGAGACAACTGACCGGCCTTTTTTTCAAATGAAGTATTTACTATATAGTTCTCTGACTTTATTAAGAGATTCCACAAGTTTGTGTTCAACTGCATTCGATTGTCCCCGCTTGTGAATATTTAGACTTCTTAGTGAACGATTGATCAGTGGAATTACTGAGTCAATCTTTAGTAATATGATTCCAATTTCAATAAATTTTTATTTTCATTTAAATGATAAAGTCGTTTGATATTTCAATTGACAAACCATTCAAAAATAGCATCTACTAGCCTTTATCTTAGTGGTAAGGGATTAATACAAATTGAAGTTATGAAATAACTATGTGGTACATTAGATGTTCAATTGATTGATCACTGGTTGATGATCAATGTCATATATGTAACGTCCTTCGTAGTGTAGATTGAATCCCACCGATCAAGTTGTAATTTGGTCACTAGTCTATGTGACTTGACATTGCGTGCATTATGTTGAGATAAGATGGTGGTTGTAGGTAGTTAACAGGAAACCCTAGACCTACGCTTTGTGCTATTTGGCATTCGCTAGCAATATTGAGGGAATTGATGCTCCCTGACGGATTCGATGCTATTGTAGTGAACAAAACACTAGTTGGGGACAATCGAATGTATTTAAGCAAACATTACAGACTATCTCAGTAAATTCTGATAACCAAACAATGAACAGTCAATTTGCAAATTAACAACCAATTGTTTCAATCTTCACTGTTTCTTCTCTAATTCCACTGCTCATGCATTTTCCTTCCGATTGCGCTTCATTTCAGTTCTTTGCTCATCGGTCTTCTGCGAAAATACATTCTATGTCTGACCCACACCATATACTACTTATATAGATATAAGTAGACCACACCACACTCGTCCCCCCTTTAAAGCATTCGACCATGCGGTGGTTCTGCTCGCCATGCCACTATCTTCTTTCACTGCAGTCTGTGCCAAACTCTCCGTCAGAATGTCGAGTCTGCGGCGCGCTGACCTCCATAGCTCCGTCGACTTGCCGGGGCACCAACATCCGCATCCACCCGGCACCTGGGACGTTCAACACCCGTACTCCACCGGCCTGCTGAGCCATCTACATCCGATGTCCGCCCAGCAGCCGCACGTCCCACTGCTCCTCTCCGTCGACAGCACCCGCTACAGCCAACGCCGCACCGCCAGAACACTCCACTCGACGCCAACTCTCCTCACCAGACTGCCCCAACTAGCACCTCAACTCCAAACCCGCAGTGGCGTCCGCAGAACAGCACCCTTCCTCCTCCTGGTTGGCAGCGACACCAAATGTCGTGAACAGAACACTAGTTGGGGACAATCGAATGTATTTAAGCAAACATTACAGACTATCTCAGTAAATTCTGATAACCAAACAATGAACAGTCAATTTGCAAATTAACAACCAATTGTTTCAATCTTCACTGTTTCTTCTCTAATTCCACTGCTCATGCATTTTCCTTCCGATTGCGCTTCATTTCAGTTCTTTGCTCATCGGTCTTCTGCGAAAATACATTCTATGTCTGACCCACACCATATACTACTTATATAGATATAAGTAGACCACACCACACTATGTCACCCAGCTTCACAAACAGAAACGTTACAACTGAGGTATCCGGGTCACGACGGATCTCCTGTAGGACTGATCTTTCACTAGTTCATGAAATGACATTTTTTTATGATGAAATTATGCACCGAAATATAAATTTGTTTTCTTAGTTTATTAATTTCTAGTCATAAATAGTCTTAAATTGTTGACAGCTTAAACTTTAGAATACTGGACAAACGTCTAATGTTTCATACCGCTAAATTCAAATAATTAGCAATATCGTACAACCATCTGTAGATAACTGTTCCATTCATTCATTATGATACTAGTCTAGATCATGATCCCAATAACTTTTGAAAAAACCCCACTATTCAGTTAATTAAATTAGCTAAGTTCGAACAAATTGAAGCCATCAATTACGATTTAATTTATTATCAATTACCAGTTACAAGTTGTAACTTGTTATTCCAACAAGTGGTTACTCTTATTGCAGGAGGTTTATGGAGGCTGTTGAATTTCACCGTTTATATTATGAATATATTTCAGTTAGATAACTACTGGAAACCATAAAGTATAGAAAAGCTGTTCCGTTGAACGTATCCAACCCCGTGCGGACATGTAAACCATTAGATATAGGCTCAGTGGAGGGAAGATTATGTTCTCATCAAGAAACCTGAAGATTTTGGGTAGAATCACCAATACTGTTACGCACTTTTGAGTAGTCAGTCTTTTTTAGGTCAAAACAGCTGTCCAGTGCTCTTTGGTTTCAAATGACTAATTAACTAAGGTCAGTTTATGACGTAAATTATGCAAGCAATTACTTTGTTGTTCACAAAATCTTGATGTTACTCTGTTATTGATTTCTGTGCTACAGTCTTTAGAGAAGTTGGAGCTGCACCATATATGAATACAGTTATTTGTTGCCTTATTAAAGAATATATTCCGGAAGTGGATAGATTAAATCAGACATCATCATCATCAACAACGTCGACGAGCTCATTAAGAGTTCGTTCATTTGTTACTTTGGGTTGGCCAACAAAAGATGACAAGAAGGAATTAAAGAATTTCACCGGTACCAAAGTGTTAACTACGTATGAACAAACTAATTCACAAAAGTATTTAAAAGATTTAAATTACTGCCCTCAATTTCGTGATATACAATTAAAACGACGTGTTGTTGAAAGTATGTACATACCAGAGAATGTCTCATTATCATCACGCCTACAAAATAAACAATTATTTGGACAGTATAAAAATTTACATACATTGTTCAATGTCTCCAAATCGAATGGCTTACATTTTGAAAGCCAAACTGGTATATGGTCAGAAAATGATATTGTACATGTGATATATTGTGAATATGGTACAGGTAAAACACCTGGTACAGATGATCATCGAAGTAAGTTTGAAATTATTTTTTTCTAATCGTTTATGCTACTTATAATGAATTTAAACAGTTTAAAACAGTGAGCTAAAATTATAAACATGGCAATACGTTAAGTCTTGATGAATGCTAAAATAAACAAGTGTGGTGATATGAAGATTCAATCAAGATTTTGAAATGAATAGAATGAATAATATGTTGGTGCTACTTGTCATGGGATGATTTCATTTGACACTTCAATGGAAAGGGGTTAAGACTGGACAACATTTTGATCATAGTTTGGAACTAACTGATCGGCAATAGGCATTCATGATCTCGTCAAAGACTGAACACAAAACCTTTAGATCTCGTGGAGAGTGTTAAGCCATTAGACCCCTTGATTAAGATTCCCTGATACATATCTTAAACTTTTATTGATTTAGGATATGGCGTTAAGATTACTCAATATGATTGGTAATGAATATTTCAATCAAGATTTTTATTTATTTATTTAAACACATAAATATTGGTACAATGAAGCACCAAATACATATGCGCCACAGAAATCTCATTTGGTTTGTGTGAGGGCTGTGATACTGTTCAGGTGCCCAAAGTGAAGCAGCTACTTTTCGTAGGTGGCCACATCCGGAGCCTTAGACCTAAAGATCTGATCCACAAGGCAGTGGAGCATCGTGAGGAGATGCAGTTCCATGTGTCCACTGACCCGGTTAAAGCTGCGGACATTCGCTTTTCGTCCTATCAATTTCGTAAACAATGCCCCCGCCACGAGAATTTAGTGAGTAGGACTTCCTTGGCAGAGGGTATATACGCGTGGCCATGTTAGAGCATTGTAGTCAAGATTACAAGTACACCCTTCTGAAGAGTGCCAAATAGCACGAAACCTTGGTCTAAGGTTTCCTGTTGACTACCTGTGACCATCACATTTTCACTTCAGACATGTATGAGCTCATTCAGTAATGATTTTCTTCTAAAATTTCAAGAACTTATTCAAAATATCACCAACAAATTAATATACTCTCCAAAAATCCATTTCCATGGAAATGATTATTCAACAAATGTAAAACTTCACTTCAGGATTCGAAATCTCCAATAAAACGGCCATGATAAGTCTATAAAAGACTGAAGCAGACCAAATCTTTCGTCCTATAATTTTAGACGATGCTTCTCTTAATAATCAGAAATAGATAGAGAATTCTCTAACTGTTCTCTAAGTGAGAACTCATCAATGATATACACTAGTGAAGCACATATACATATTCACAGAGACATTTCTAAGCACAGCTTATTTACATGTTTCATATTGTTATATTTATTGAATCTGTGACATTTCAAGAATAACATTCAATTCTATCCGATAATATATGTTTCATACTCAAAATAATGAAGCTTCAACAATAACCACTTCTTATTACATCGTCATTGGTGAACAACGTTTATAGAATTGAGATCATGAGTGAATTGAAGCTAGACCACCATCGAAAACCCGGAAGCACTGGACGGCCGTTTCGTCCTATTATGGGACTCCTCAGCAGTGCATATCCACTATGTAAAAAATTAAAAAATTAAAAATTACTAAAATCTCCACCAAACCCCTTCGAATAAGGTTTATGGTGAAAAAAAGTAGATCTGAATAGAATCACTTCTACATACTCTACATTCTATTCTATTCTGAGATTATATTTTTGTAATTATTTCAGTATACGTTCTTTCTTCCTTCGTACTTTATAGATTGGCCCGTATCAAACTATGCTATACCAAAATCATTAAATGATTGTCCAAAAGGTTCTGTAAAAGCAACAATGAGACATCAACAAGACAGATATGGATTTCATTATTCTCAAGTAAATATTACTGGTATTTTATTTTGTTTTATAATCATTATTTATTGACTGCTTGGTAATTGACTTCGTTAAGCTTACTTACTTGCTTACTTAGGCCTGTTACTCCCAATGGAGCATAGGCTACTGACCAGCATTCTCCAACCCATTCTGTCCTGGGCATTCCTTTCTAGTTCTATCCAATTTTTGTTCATTCTTCTCATGTCTGTCTCCATTTCTCGGCGTAATGTTTTCTTTGGTCTTCCTCTTCTCCTTCGGTTTTCAGGATTCCATGTGAGGGCTTGTCTTGTCACACAGTTGGGTACCTTCCTCAATGTGTGTCGTTAAGCTTACAGTTATCAATTCAGTCTTGACAATCTTGTCAGGCTACAACTTACCTAAAAATGATAGGAGATAAAAGTGTCAAACATATGATACTGACAGTGATTTGAAGGCTAAATACTCTCTATGAATTCTAAACGTCCTGGATTCGATCTATTGTGAAATCGTGAATGTACACAGTTGACGAGTATCACATAAGAATAAAGTAAATTTCCAGTACCATCAGTTTTTAGATAGTTTTCCAGCTAAAATCAATCTGTTATGTGAAATCTCAAATTTAACAACCTCTATAAACCCTCTATACTAACAATTAAATGATTCATGCTTAAGTACACACAAATAGCAGAGAATAGTTATATGTTTGAGGATAAGAAATTTATAGAGCAGTCTGAACAAATCGAATCGTTCCGATTACTAGCAATCAACACTGGATCACGATACTTTATCTCCTGATACACACAATAACTTAGTTATTCAACCAACGATCAAGAATCGAATATGAACAGAATAAGACTATATTACCTTAAGTACGAAGCAGGTTATTATTTGAACCACACATTTCATAATATAAGATAACCTCATTTCAGATGTAGCTGACCACATTTGTCTTCATTAACTGACTAATCACAACTCATTCTAGTTATATATATCACAACAGAAATTACACTTTGAGATTCATCTTTTAAAAGGGGCTAAACAGAAAAAAATATTTAGTTTGAAGCTCCGTATGAAGAATTGACTACCACCAGAGACATTAATACTTTTCAATGTAAAAAACTTATTTTCAAAACGATCGAACTTCATTAGCAGCCTTCATCAAACTAAATTAGATCATCATTTTAAAAATAAGACTATCGAATCACTAAGCAGAGAAACATTTACTATGTACTCGGTGGTTCCCGTCATCCAGTAACGGTAAATTTGTATAGGCTGCTATTATGTCAAGCCCACATAGGTTATTCTAGCCTCTGGACACATCAATCTTTCCATTCTTCTCAAGCCACATTTTTACCCTGTCACTTATTCACTTATTAATCCTAACTGTTTTTTATATGATCATACGTGTGTTAATTACTTACCCTATTCATCATGCGTCTGTAGCTTATTTTTGTTCGACTATAAATATCGATTCACTCTTGGCTAAATGATATTGGCTCAATTGCCTTCTTCATTGAACACCATTTTGTTTCGCTTCGCTTTCCGATCAACGATTGTACCAAATATACGTATTCAAAAATCCATACTCGTATTTAACTAATTTAATCCCGTTATTCACTAACGGTAGTTAAGTCGATGATTATATACGAGGGTAGCTAGGATGTATATTTCGACAGCAATCATTCGACAATGACCATTTGTCCTATCTAACTGGAGTCAGATCTTGGGCCACAAAACACACATGATTAATATAATCTATTATACAAGTTCTTATGACCACTATATATTAATGCACGATAGTATTTACTTCAAGCGTGAAATCTTATGCTCTTCATCATTTCACTAAACAGAAACTTTGATTAAAAATGAATTGAATCCTCTACTTTTTTAGTGGAAAAACTTTTTAAACTGTGAAGACGTTGCATGTACAGTTTGTTACCACATAAGATCACCATGTTGTGATAGAAAAGATTTATAGCCCAAGAAAATGAATTTCAATGCAATTCTCCTTCTTCAACTAGATCGTTTTACTATAAATTTTTATCAGAAAAGGTTTTGTGGAGATTTAGTATTTTCATAGTTGAAAGCGTGAGTCAACTGAAGCTAGACCACCATAGAAAACCTGGAAGCACTGGACGGTCGTTTCATCCTATTGTGAGACTCCTCAGCAGTGCTCATCCACGACCTCGCCTCGCGAGATTCGAGTTAGTTATCCTTATAAATTATATTATTAGAACAAATGTAATCGGAAATTTCTCCCTCATAAAAAACAATAGATACCATAACTCATTAATTGTATAGTTGACAACTGAGGAACAAATAAAGTTTATGATTGACTGATCACTTAATAGTGACTATTGGCTTATTTATCAAAGGATTCAATACTGAGTTAGTTATGATATCACTACTATCCTAATTTATTCGGTATCATCTTTACTACATAAGATGTTAGGTAATTTGAGGTAATCAGCATGAAATGTCTCACACTGTGAAGTTAATTGACAAGGGTTTGAAAAATTACAAGGAATATCATTCCCCTCAAGATTGCAGGTAGGCTCCGTTGATGGCTATTAACTAATACATCAAGTAGGCTTTCCTGTTGACTGCCGTCAATCACCTAACTAATATAATTAACAGTTAAGTGAATAAAATCTACAAAAACCTTAAAATGATCTGCATTCATATACTTCTAATATAAATTTAAAATATCCTTCCTACTGATCATTTCCTCTTGTTTAAAATACCATTAAATAGCCAATTCATTTGGATGGAGTTTATTTTAAGCGTAAAAAAGATATACTATTGGACTATTGTGTATTTACTGATGATCAAACTGCACATCGTACAGGAAACTATGGTGGTGAAGAATCTCTCCCAGCTGGTCATTACTGTGTACTACGCGTCAATGGTAATTGTCCAGCAGGTAACTTGTTTTATTGTTTTAATTCTTCTATTAATAATAATGACAATCATAATAATAACAATAATACTGGCACTAATCAATTTCCAAATGTTTGATTACAGTAAAGTATTTATGAGAGACTAGACCAATTAGATATACCAGTTCAAGGTCAAATAATAGGTGGAGTGCTGATCGATGCATGCCATTGGTCAAGATATGGCTTAACTTTCTGGAAGGACAGATATACCCTGTTAGTTAAGAATCCGGGTTTCCTTTTTTACGAGGAACAGATATACAATAATGAATGATTTTGTTCATTTAACTTCGTTCAGTTTAGCCAGTGAATGCTAACTCCTAAACTTAGCTTTTTGGACAAAGTAGCTGGTTGGGATCTTATATTTTGAGGCGTACATATCGGTAGTAAACTCAAATGCCCGCCCAATACAACAATTTTCAGTGAAAAAATTCCAATTACATCCTTAGTCTATTAGTATATTACTTATTAATATTACAAAAAAATTGGCATGAAAAATATTTTAGATAGTGACTAGCTGTCATTCATAGTCAGATGCATGTTTACAATCGAGCTATCTCCCAAGGCATCTCTGGACATCTTTGAATATATCTAATGCATGGGTTCTGTATTTATCAACCATTCGTTGTGTTAGTTCACGAATTCCTCGGTAATTAAATTTATGTTGCGTTATGCACATTTTGTGAAAACGCTTAAATAATCGTAGTTAACGGACATAATTAGTTAATTGGAATAAATCCCTAGCAGAATAGTCTTGGCAATAAACACATGTTTTAAAAGGTGGTGCTCCAAAAATTCGAGTAGACTACCGCCTAGTTTACACTTTAGTTTACTTCACATCCCAAGAACTTAATTCATTTACATCTGAAAATAAGAGCAATTTTTATCATTGAAAGCGTGAGATCAAAAAGCAGCTAATTAATACTATTATGACCCCGGGAGGCTCGGAACCCAGGAATCTATTATCAGTAATGTTTAGCTTTGAATGAATGGAAACAGTCATCGTTAGTGACTTTGAGTTACCATCGCACGACATCTTGAACTAGCTGAATTTAGATTTATGGACCAAAGATATAAATGTATGTTATCCAATTAATATGAAAATGAAGGTCACAAAAACTTCATTTTACAAAACTTAGGGTAACTAGATCTCCACTCCAGATCACACTCACTAGTCATTAGATCCTCTACTCTGAGACGTTTTTCATTCTTCAAATACAAAATGATCATAATAGCTCGGCACCGGAACGATTTGAAGACATTAAAACATAAAACAATGAGCAACCAAGAAGCCTGGAATGTGAAGACCTCTAGGGACAATTGGAACAATGAAAATGGAGATGGAACGAAAGCATTTATAATACTTTGAAATGGATAAAATTTAATTGCTTTAAGGGTTGCAAAATAAGCGTTGATGGCTCAGTAAGTGTATTTATTAAACGTACTAGAAAAAATATATATATCCATGTTCCCAACTCATGTATATTTTTGTACATGTTTTTACACTATTTTTCAGATTTCAGTGAAGGATTGTTAAGTATACTTGAAGGACCGGAAAAACTGACACGTTCCAAAGACACCTCAGATTCATCCATAAACCGAAATATAGACTTACTACAACAAACAACAACTTCTACACCAGATATTATTCGTGTAAGAGCACATATGAAAGAGAGTACATCAAAAATTGATCGATTAAATTATCATTTCTGTTGTCGAACTGATTCACCAAGTGTTGACAGTCCAATTGATGGTTTCCCTGCCGAAACTGGTCCTTTTTATTTGTACAGGTAATTTATATAAATGTTTTTGTCTACCAATGGTTAATGTAATGCATCACGTTTGTAAGGTTTAATATGTGTGCGGTATAACCAAGCAACTTGATCAAGTTGTCATTATAAGGAGGTTTTAAATTTGAAGCGACTTCCATAAAAACCATTATTATTATTATTATTTACTTAGGGTTGGAGATAAATGTCAACAAATTACTGGAATGCATGTTACTGAAGAATATATTTGTGTAGATGCACCTAATCGAGGTGATCCAAACTGGTGGTCAATTGATCAAAATCATACTTGGTCACCATATAATGTGAAAGGTTTAACACCGGCACGTGTACCATATCATGATTTTTGTGATGTGGAAATTAATTTATGCTATTATGAACAAGGTAAGTAACATTAACAACAATTTAATTTTTTATCAAAAAGGGGGTATCGTAGAGATTGTAGTAATTTAATAGTTGAGTATATGAATCAATTAAAGTTGGACCATTATGGAAAACCTGGAGGCATTGGATAGCCGTTTCACCCTAATATGGGACTCCCCAATAGTGCACACCCAAGGCTCTGCACACGGGACTCGAAAGCAGACACTTCGGTCTCGCACGCGAACACTTAACCTCTAGGCCACCGAGCCAAACGTTGTTAATGTCTAACTTCAACCAATCAACGAAATTTCACTACCATCCACCATTGTCTTCAGTGAGTTACTGCATCACTGGTCATTGCTTCTCACTACAACTTCAGGAAATACCTCTTGAAGTCAGTCATTAGTGAGCATATGATGATTATTATGAGAAAAGAGGATTTTGAGAATATTACAGTAATTTAATAGTTGAATTGATGAGTCAAGTAAAGCTAGATCACCATGGAAATTTATTTTTTATTTCAATTCATTTATTACTTTTAATCTCCATGTAAATATTTTAGTCATTAATGATGGTAATTTGATGGTAATTTTAGTACATTGAATTTGTATGCTGAAACATTCACATATTACTGTTCTAATAGAACAACACAGTTTATAATATCAATATATATGACTTTGAAGCACAACAACTAAAATCATAGACAACAACCAATCAGATAACAGTGAAAGTTAGTGAGGGAAATATAACTTGGAAAGAAGTTACCACAGGCTTCTTTACACTACAGAATTACCTTCTTTCAATGGAAAACAATTAGATGATTTGAGACCTATTGGATAAAATAACAGTTATTCATAGATTTAACGATTAGTAATTTGATCACAATCATTATACATTTACATCAATTTTATATTTTAGCTGCTCCCGTCTCAGAAAATGAAGTAACAGAAAGTAAGTCATCGTATAAGTTTACATTTTGATAATCACTTTAATTGATTAGATAACGTAAAGTCAATCACGTGAGTATCTCAAATCTATTTCACTCAAAAAAGTGATTAGAATAAATGGATTAGATATTTGTAGGGTTTATACAAAAGAAGATATTACATACAGTTACTATGTATATATGTTCAGTCAATATATTCACCAAGGTCATCGGGTTTGAAATCAATAATGATAAAATAGAAAAGTACAATTTTCTTAATCGATTAGAATTAAACTGGATCCTTTATCTAATTCTCCCACTACCGTTATTTAAAACTACCGATTTCGTTTGTTGTGTTTTTAAGATATATACTGATATCGAATAGGCAATTAAGAACCATGACTTATACTTTTATACACAATAAGCAAGTTATTCATAGCATGAACTCATTAGCTCTAAAGGATAAGATATTTGAATTTGAAGCTAAAAACACTTGGTTCAAGCTTCAGTGCAAATATCAACACTAAGATAAGGGTAATTGCATTTGATGAGTTTCAGATAAGATGAAACATTTATCATGAATTATATTGTTGATCTCATACAAAGTATACTGAAATCAGATGATATATTTCAAAAAGAACCTAACTATTCATTATAATCAGAAGGGGTTTTGTGGAGATTTCAGTATTTTCATAATTGAAAGCGTGAGTCGATTGAAGCTAGACCAAGGAAAACCTGGAAGCACTGGACGGTTGTTTCGTCCTGCTGTAGGACTCCTCAGCAGTGCGCACCCACGACGTCACCTCGTCCAGTGCTTCCAGGTTTTCCTTGGTGGTCTAGCTTCAATCGACTCATGCTATCAACTATTCATTATAAACATGTTTAAAAGGTAACATACACAAAGAAAGATAATTTTGCCATAGTAAAACAAAATATCAAAATAGAATGAAGAAGATATAAGCAAACAATTTCAAAGATCAAAATGATCAATTTTTAAAAACTATTATACGGACTTGAAGTTAGTCACTAGTTAGTACCTAGTGAGAAACCACTTGTAAATAAATCAATACTACAGAAAGTTCATTCGGATCTTGAAAAGCTCAATGATATTATTGAAGATTAAAGATAAATGATTTGGATTCGAACCCTATATGGAGCATCAGTTCCGTAAACACTTTAGATATATATCTTGTTAACGAGTGTAAAATCATAAAAAAGCTTAGATCAAATAAGGTTTCTTGATAACAATCTTCAAACACCCAACATATATTCGTAGTTGAAAGCTTGAGTTTATTGAAGCTAGACTACCGTGGGAAACCTGGAAGCACTGGACGATCGTTTCGTCCTATTGTGGGACTCCTCAGCAGTGCTCATCCACAACCTCGTCCCGCGAGATTCAAACCCATGACCTGACAGTCTCACGCCAAATCACTTAACCGATAGACTACTGAGCCGAGATCCTAATGGTGTTTTTGTCTAACTCTCGACATATATATTTTGTATCTTTGATATCTTCAATGAACTCTACAATCTTTCTCTTTTGTTTCTTTCTCTTAAATTATTTACTGTATAGGTTATTATTTTCAAACTGAATGGCCATTAGGTCAATATGCCTTACCAAATGTACATAGAAATGATTTAGATAAAGCATGTCCACCTGGATTTACACAACATTATTATTCATTAATTAATAATCAAGCAGCATTTTTTGAATTAGAATTAATGCCAATGAGTTTAGGTCCATATTTTTTAGAATTAATGGGACATAATTATAGTGCATTAAATGTACATTATTGTGAAAGAAATAATATAAATACAAATGATGAATTCAACAATGAAACAGGAGAAGTTATAATTGAAGGCAATAATGAAGAAGAAGAAATAGTTCGGTCTTCTTCTTCATCGTCATCATCGGGATTATTAAATGATGATAAAAAACTTCCTGAGTCTCAATGGCCTAAAGGTGATTATTGTGTAATATCTACAGCTGAAAATCATCAATGTCCACCAGGTTAGTCAAGTATCTTAGACAGATTATTTTATTTTATTTAAATACATAAATATTTGTACAAATGGGCACCAGATATATATGCGCCGTACAAATCTCATTTGATTTGTTTAAGGGCTGTGATACTGCCCATGTGCCCAAACTGAAACAGGTGGTTTTCTTAAGGTGCCACACCTGGAACCTTTGACTTAAAGGTCTGACCCACAAGGCAGTAGAGCATCGTGAGAAGATGCAGTCTCATGGTAGACGGTGATCAACGATTGATTCATACACCATTTGTCCCCTCAGGATACTGAAGCCCATGTACACCATTGGTTTTGAATCAGGGTTTTCCATCTCCCCTAGGTGGACCCTCCGTGTCCACCAAACCAGTCAAAGCGCCGGATGTTTGTAAATATTTTACTACTATGCTTAACAAATCTATTAATTAATAAATACGATTGTACATCTTTCTCAAAGGAAATACATTTATTAACATTTTTTTTCAGGTCTTCATAGACATGCCCGAGCATTCTCTGAACTTTGTTGTCGAACTGATAATATTAAAGATCCTAAACCTGTAAACTGGCCATTTATCGAAGATTTCTTCTTATTTGGTGGTGAAAAATGTTTACCGATAAAAGATACCCATGTAAGTATTCCCAATGTAACGGATCAATATTTATGACAATCAAAATTTTGTGAATAATCCCATTTATCTTTATTAATTCAAACGGAGTCGAAGAGAAAAACTTAGCGATGTTTAGGTAATAGACTGGATCAGTATATAGAAATTAAGATCTGTCCTTATATTCTCTCTCTCTCTCAGTGTCAAAGGGTAAGTGAAAAATTATAAATGAAATACACAATAAAAGGAATTGACATGATACACACTCGAGGTCATAGCTTACATGTTCTTTTCTGGGTCGGAAGAATGATTGTATGTATACTTATAACTTACGTATAGTATAATTTTGTATGATTCTCAGTCTTATCTTTTCCATAGTGAGTTTAGTATACCATAGGAAGTGTATATCGTGGGTGTATCAAGCCGTCGAGCACAATATAAATGCTTTTAGAAAACTGCTAATCTTTAAGGTACTGTATATACAAATATAGATGGAACAGTTAATTACCGACTGTCAAATATGATATTTGTCGTTATGAACCATACCGAATACATTTGATTCAGGACGAATCCAAATGGCTGATAAATAATCAACGTAACACAGAACGAGATCGGAAAAAAAAACAATAAAAGCAAATGATTGTATATAGCCAAACTAAGACAAGTGAATAAATATTTATTAATCTCATCACCATCTACATGGTTCTTACAGTGATTCACGGCTGGTCTAATGAAGTGCTTAATGGATAACTCCAGACTTATATCAACAACATATGAAGATAAAAAGTTATGCCTAGCTTGGGTAAATATAGGTTAGATGAGACCTAAAATCATCCAAAGGAAGATGTTACATCAGTCCATGAGTACAAGGACTGTTAAATGAATGATGTTGGCAAGTAGAAAACTCCTGGTTTAAGCCCACATGATTATAGTAACCAATGGATGGAGATGCTGACTGCCATAATTCAGACTCATTAACAGTCCCCAAGATGCATTCACTTTTTATCTTCCTTAAGGTACTAATTTTAAAAATTATTTTATACCCTTTTTGTCGAATCACGTTTATGACCAAACATTTATGTCACCAACCATATTATTACCATTACTATTATTACTACTACTGCTGTTGCTCTGATACTCATCTTTATAATTTCATCTAGCTGTATTGATGTTATGTGACAGCTTGGATTGATACACGTATGTGAAAGGTTCTATATCCGTTATGACTGACTAAATGCCATGACCAATGAGAATAGTAGGGTATTCCAATGAAATTGAAAATAGGTCTTTAGACTCATCAGATCATTAATATAAAAAAATTAGGCTAATTATTGGTTAAAACTATTAAATAGTCAAATGAATAGTTTCATATCACCTAGATGTTCAATCAGTTGCTGAACTTTTGGCAGAATGATTTTAAAAATTTTTCTTTTAAGAGGCCAGAAACTGATAATTAGTTTACCTTATTTACTATTTAGAATGATAAGTCACTTTATTCCTTATTTAGTTGGTCCTCAATTCAAAATTAAATCAATAATAAGTAGCATAGTACTTGTTGAACCTCATCATCAAGTGAAGGACTAGATGATGAGAATAAACATTATTTTAACTGAATTTCTATATACTGTCTAGATGAACAGTGATTTTTTGTATTTGTCTATCCCCAGTCAATCTATTTTATGACAATGTAAATTCATATTCATCATGAAAGTAGGATTTCTTAAATTCTTTTGAATGTAGATCCGTGAATGAATACTTACTTAGAGATTCAAACAATAATATAACACCATATAAATCATGAACCAGTGCAAATTAGACTAACATTGAAAACAAGCAAACACTGAACTACCGTTTCGTCCTAGTTTGGGACATTAACACCATAGAATATCAGCTTAGTGGTCTAGAGTTTGAGCGTTTGTACGTGAGGTTGAAAGTCCTGAGTTTGGATCTCGCTCAAGGCGTTGTGGGTGCACACTGTCGAGGAGCTCTATGCTTGTATGAAATGGTCGTTCAGTCCTTCCAGATTTCCAACGGTAATCTAACTTAGATCAGTTCATGATTTCAATGAAATTCAACAATCTCCACATACCCGTACTGAAAATAACCAGTAAATGAAGTTGTCTAATGCACACTTTTCAATAATTCACTGAATTCACTTGTATTTATGGCTTATATGTATTTTTAATAATAAAATACTCTCAGGTGGAACGTTATCTCGTACGATTGGTTTCTGGTTCAGAAGGTAAACATGAACCTCAGTGGGATGTTCTATGTCATTATTTACCGATTTCATGGATGAACGACACCATAGAATGGCCAGCTGGTGAATATATGCTTCCTATAGGAAGACGTAGTGGCTTGCGTACATCGTATGTGACAACAGTTGCTGCAGACAATGATCAGATTAATACAACAGCAACATCTACAAATGTTCAAGATGGTAAAAATTCTATCAGTGGTAGTAAATATCAATGTCCAGAAACATTTGAACGTAAACGTTTTATATTTGCAAGCAGTGAAACTGAACAACAATTAATGAGCAATCCGAACACCAATACAGAGACTATATTCAACATAACCGCCTACGTTACCATGGAATTTTGTGTACATACTAATGAACAGAATAGTAGTAGTGGTACTACAAGTGAATTTTCATCATGGCCTGCTGGTGATTACTGTATATTTACCATGAATACACATTGCCCGATTGGAATGAGTATGTAATAAGTAATTTACGTCCATGTATTTCTCTATACAATTTTTAGTGTTTACAATCAGCTAACCTATAAGGTCAACTCCAAAAGTTAACAAACTTTTTAAAAATATGTTATAACTTGGTTTCTCATGGAATCATTAGCACACTTATGTCGTTGTTGAAGTTATATATGACATTAATTGTACAGAAACAATTTATAGACCATGAGTTAAAACCGTACTGTTTACATGATTGGTTAGCTTTTAAAACAATTCACTATGTTTACATATTCATCCAATAGGATAAAAGTCAGATGGCAAAACACAATAATCAAAATTTATTGAGATCGCTAACCGATCTACGTTAAAAATAAACCATCAGAAACCAGAAAGAATTGAACAGCTGTTTCGACTCAGTATGGGAGTCCTCAAGGGTGATCTCCAACGACCCTACCGAAGATAGAACACAGGATCTCATGCAGATCTCATGCATGAACACTTAGTCTTTATTTAAATCAATAAACCTCAATCCAATAGTGTATATTTTTTACATCCATCAATCTGTTATATTGAGTGACCGTGTCTCATTGTCTTCAACAACAATAATCTTCTTCACACACGATACAGCCGAACTCTGCGAGCCATGGCCTCTTACTAGAACTCTAGAAATTTCCTCTTGAAATTAATCACCAGTGTGCATAATATCCTTACAACCGAAATTCTGAAAATCATACGTTAATTTGTCTGTCATAATACATTGAAATATTACACCATTAAAGTACAATGCTAAGCTATCTGTTTTTCAATTATTCAAAATTTATTCTGTTAAGTTTAAGAATAAAGTGAATTGTTAAGTAATAGTATCATGATACTGCGCTATCATTTTCCACATTCTTCGGTGAATAACTGTCTCAATAACATTTAATAATCATCTCAAACCTCTGTACTAATAATCCCATATATATCTTTCTTATTACTGGTTAGATTCCGCGTTTTATGGTGAAACACATAGAAAAAGTGAAAATTCAATAAAAAGCGACAAACAGGTTATAGTCACTCAGTATTGTTTGTTTGAATCTTCTCATTGATGTTTAGGACTGAAACTGATCAATCTCTTATTGGCATATGTGCATACTATGAGTATTGCCTCGATATGGCCTTAATTCACAAACATTATAAACAAAGATGGATAAAGGCTAGCAGTGGAATCCAGTTTGACTCACGTTTCGTCCTATTTAGGACTCGTCAGCTGGATGTACCTGCATCTCAGATACGAAACGCGTGTCCTTCATTCCACTGCTAGAAACTATCCATCTTTGCTTATAAGTCTATAGTCACGTTACTATTATTCCCAAATATTTCATTTTACTGATAGCTTTAAGTGTTGACTTTTTTTCTCATCATCTTCAATGTTCTATAAGTGCTTTGTATCCAGCGATTTTGACCATTCTTGTAAATAAATGATACATATGTAAGTGTAGTTTCCATTTAAGGATTCATTTGAAGTGCCAACTTTCAGTATATCTGTATTTTTCATCCGATCTATTGAACTGTGTTATATTGAGATGTTCATTAAGTACAGTTTCAAATAACTCCAGATTCTTGTAAATGAAATTTTTAATGAAAATTCAATTCCAATAAGTAGTATCACTCAGTAAGTAAACGAAGAAAAAATGGCCGAAAATTCTAAATCTAACACATATACTATACAACAAAGATGTGATCGTCATAAAAATGTTAGTACTGTGGTGTGGTCTACTTATATCCATATAAGTAGTATATGGTGATGGTTAGACGTAGAATGTATTTTGGCAGAAGACCGATAAGGAAAGAACTGAAATGAAGCGCAATCGGTAGGAAAATGCACAAACAATGAAACTAGAGAAGATGGATTGATATTTACAGAAGGAACAGTGAAGATTGAGACCATTGATTGTTAATCTGCAAATTAACTGTTTGCTATATGGTTATCAGAATTTTTATTTATTTATTTATTTAAACACATAAATATTGGTACAAGGAAGCACCAAATAAATATGCGCCTCACAAATCTCATTCGATTTATGTGAGGGCTGTGATACTGCCCAGGTGCCCAGACTGAAGCAGGTGGTTTTCTGAGGAGGCCACACCCGGAGCCTTTGACCTGAATGTCTGATCCACAAGGCAGTGGAGCATCGTGAGGAGATGCAGTCCCATGGTATCCGGTGATCAACGGTTGATTCGTTCTCCATTTGTTCCCTCAGGATACTGGAGCCCATGTGCACCACTGGTTTGGAATCAGGGTTTTCCAACTCCCCTAGGTGAACTTTCCATGTCCACCCACCCGGTTAAGGCTCCGGACATTCGCTTTTCATCCTCTCACTTTCGTAAACAACACCGGTGCCACGAGAAGGCAGTGAGTAGGACTTCCCTGGCAGAGGCTATATATTCGCTGGCCATATGAGAGCATTTGGAGAGGGAGAGGTGACTCTCCCTACTCTCGGTCGTACCAGGGCATTTGGGGGCTATCAGAATTTGGTGAGATAGTCTGTAATTTTTGCTTAAATGCATCCGATGTCCCAACCGGTGTTCTGTTCACTGCAGTACCTTTATTATATAATTTTAATTTTGAACTATTTCTTCTTTTAAATATTCATGATAAATCATTAATTGATATTGTATCTGATTTGTCTTCTAGAAGCTTCCAGAGAATTTCCATTGAAAATTCCACGTTTCATTTTAAAAAGTATTCATTCTATATCATCAGATGGTGAAATAATTCCTAATAGTCATTGGCATGAAGATGTTGAAAATCATGTTGTTTATTTTATGCAATGTTGTCGTGAAGATAAAACTCTATTGTTACGTGTACCACCATCAAAAGATGGTTTTTATTTAGCTAGTAGTTCTGGTTTATGTTCTAGTGTACCAGGGACTGTATTGGATAGAGAGAAAATTACTACCTATCTTACATCACCATTACATAGTAATAGTAATGCTATGAATAATAATCGTAAATCAACTGTATTAAGTGAAAAAGATATGTTATTATATCGTGAAACACTTGCTCAACGTGAAGGTCTTCTCTATTTATGCTATTATCATCCAGCCAAAGGAATTGATTATACTACATCAATACTTGGTACACGTTATTCTATAAGTCAAAATATTTCTGAAAAAGATATTGATGAAATAGCTAGTAAGTAGTAATATGTGCCAGTTTTGATTCGATTTATTTTTTTTTTGTCATTTATTCGGCCATAAATAGAATACAATATGGCGATAAGTATGGATCGGTTCGAGTTGTCATATCAAATAAGCACAGAAAGATGAAATTATTAAGACAAATACAAAGTATCAGAAAGGGGTTTTGTGGAGATTTTAGTCATTTGATATAGTTGAAATCATCAGTCAATTGAAGCTAGACCACCATGGAAAACCTGGAAGCAATGGACGGTCGTTTCGTCCTAGTATGGGGCTCCTCAGCAGTGCGCATCCACTATCCCGTCTCGCCAGATTCGAACTCAGGACCTATCAGTAGTAGTAGAAAAGATTAGTCTAAGAAAACATCAATCGAGAAGGAATAATGAATTTCCAAAATATCAATGACTAAAAGTGAACGTATCTGGGCTATTGTGATCAATTTTGAGCTACGCCACCTAATATAGTCAACCAATGATTGCGTTAATCGTATCAACCCACACCAAATAGTCTTCATCTACTTGTATAGCTTAGTTCAACAATCAATCGCTTTGTGAGCTGATATCACGTCTTGATATAACCTTTCCTAGCTCTCTTCTAACTAACTTTAACACCAGTAACAATCACATGTCAAGTTCGGTGATGGTCACGATTGTGTATTAAACAGTAAATTTCTGTGAATAAGATTGTAAATTGAATTGTATTGTTCACTAATCTTCGTTTTTGCTCTCTTTAAAATTATGAAACTGTTAATTTTCAGGTCTCCAAAACTGAGTTGCATAATTCATATGACCTTGTAATTATAGGATCATTGGACTACTAAATGCAGCCAATAAGATGATGGAAAAATCTTAGTAACTTGATTGGTTAATTTAATCTATTTATAGTGTTAACCTTGAAATTTCACATCTAGGACTGATTGCGATTGGACAACTGTTATGATGAAATGTATTGCTCAAATATATTACATAATTCTAATAACCTTTGTCGTCTCATTTCATTATCGAAATGTTATGATGAAACCAGAAAGCACTTTACTCTTGTTTTATCTAACTTGAAGTATAATTATTCAATAGAAAGTTAATTGGCAAACCAAATTATGATTTCCACCAATCATTGGTAAATATATGATTTAGTTGGCTTTGTAACTCTGATTGAGTACATAATCAACATCTTTTACTAGGTTGCCTCGGTGTTTTGATATCTTGCTTACCGCCTGATCTTCAGAATAGGCATCAAGATAGGCACGTACTATATCCATACTCACCAGATTATCACCCCTTCTTTCCGAAAACATGTCTTACCCGTGATTTTCACCAATATGAATTACATGAAGGGAGATCATAACTTTATTCACACTAGTTAATGTAATCCCTAAAAAATTACTGTATTTTATATATTACATTTCAACTATTGCATTATGTATGCCATTCTACATACATTGATTCTTTTTTTCCTTTTTTTGTCGATTTATGTGTTCATTATTCAATTGTGAAAAGGACTATGTGGTTGTGCACCGAATGCATTTTGTTTATTAAATAAACAAGCTGAATGTATTTGTAAACCAGGTTATTACGGTGATGGACGTTACGTATGTGCACCAATTACCCCGCTAACAGATGAATGTGCTGACTTATGTGACCCATCAGCAGTATGCGCTGAACATTTGGGTGTTAGTTTAAAGAAAAAGCAGGTATTATTATCATTATTTTAGTACATTAAATCTGTGGATATTGTTAGATTTTCATAGATTACATCACGTACTGACGTTAGTTAGATAATCACTAAAAGCCAGGAAGCACAGAACATCCTTTTGGTCATAGTATGAACCACCTCGGCAGAGCGCATCCAAAACTCCATCGAGGATTAAACCTTGAATCTTCAGGTCTCACGATTGAGCTGTTGACCTCTAGACCATTTAGCCGGAATGTAGTGGTGCGCGATCACCTTTTAATGACTTCACTAATTACAGCTTCTCACTGCAACTCCTGAAACTGTATCTTGAATTTAATCACTAGTTTACTTTCTTTCCTGGATATTTAATGATCATTCTTCTTTTCTTCTGCTTTTAAAAATATTTTTTTAGTATTATTATTGTTATTATCACTAACGTCATTATTTATATATATAAATATGAATTCATCAAACTATGAACGTTTCGACTGAACAGTTGCTCTTAACAACGTCATGATAATCAGACTCTATAGCCTCAGATGCATAAGTTTTGTACTAAAGTGACCGAAACAGGTGAATTAGATAATATTATATATCAAAATAGTGAATGTCTACATCGATTAATCCTTAAACATTTAGTATTGTTTGTTTGAATCTTCCCATTAATGTTTAGAACTGCAACTGATCAATCTCTTATTGGCATATGTGCATACTGTGCGTATTGCCTCGATATAGCCTAAATTCACAAGCATTATAAACAAAGATGGATAGTGGTTAACAGTGGAATCCAGGACGCGCGTTTCGTCCTATTTGGGATTCGTCAGCTGGATGTACCTGCATCTCAGAGTTGATGTTCACTCTGGGACTCGTTTCAAACGCCATCACGTTATCCACTTAGCTACTGAGTCCTGATAGCCACTTGCTTGTGCAATGGGGTGAATCAAAAGGTACTTGGTTGAAGTTCCAGAGTGAACATCAACTCTGAGATGCATGCACACCCAGCTGACGAGTCCCAAATAGGACGAAAAGCGCGTAATGGATTCCACTGCTAGCCACTACCCATATTTGCTTATAATCCTTAAACATATTTAAAACTTATCATTTGTAAATTTGAAAGGTCATTTGAGGAAGTGAAGAATAAAATTTCTTGTAAGGTGTCGAGTTATAGCCAGTACAATTCAGAGCTTTAGAAATCAATGGGTTAAATGTCACTTTACTAGATAACTATCTATCTTGTTACTGATTTCAGTGTTTCCAGAAGCTTCTAAAATGTTAAGGTCAAACAGAAATCTAAACACATCCATGCTTTCTATTCCAAAATTAACTATGAAAACAACGTTTCTCTTTAAAGATACTACCGACTGAAACATAACTGTAGATTTTTGAAGGATTGTGAATTGTCCATAAAGTTGTTATTAAGTATTCAACTACCAAACATTTAAATAAAACAGTTTTAATCAGATCTCAAATGACGTAACTAAGTGTAACTCATTCCCTGAAAATAATTCTGTAATTTATATATTAAAACTATTCAGTTCAATATTGTTGTTTGATCACCCTGTTTTATTTTTGTTTTCGTCTAGTTACTCAGTCATATGTGTATTTGTCGTCCAGGATTTGTTGGTGATGGTTTTTCATGTAAATCAGATTGTGTTGCACGAGAATGTCAACCATTCAGTAGATGTATACATAATATCCCAAGAGGTAAATTAACATAGTTGTATTTTGGCTTTTTTTTTTTAGTTTGCCTTTTTCACTGTTGATAAAACTGTGTAAAATTTAGAGGTAAATTTGTGGTATTGTAGTTGACGTTGTTTTTTTTAACTGATATGTCCGACTAAAGCAAGCCGTGAATGGCTAGTTAGTATATGTTACATATATAACACTTATTCATTTATTTAAACACATAAATATTGGTACAAGGAAGCAGCGGATTTGTGAGGTCTGGGATACTGCCCAGATGCCCAAACTAAAGCAGGTGGTTTTCTGAGGAGGCCACAACCAGAGCCTTTGACCTAAAGGTCTGATCCACAAGGCAGTGGAGGGTCGTAAGGAGATAAAGTCCCATGGTAGTTGGTGACCAACGATTGGTTCATACGCCATTTGTTCCCTCAGGATATTGGAGCCCATGTTCACCATTGGTTTGGAATCAGGATTTTCCAACTATCCGTGTCCACCAACCCGGTTAAAGCTCCGGACATTCTCTTTTCGTCCTCGCAATTTCGTAAACAACACCTTAGTAGGACTTCCCTGTCAGAGGCTATATATGCGTGGTCATATGCGAGCATTTCGAGAGGGAGGGTGAACTCTCCTCACTCTCAGCCGTACCAGGACATTTGGGGGCCTTATATAGCAGACTATTTTACATGTTACACTACTTCTCCAACGGTCCTTACTCGATATTTGTGTCAATAATAATAGCATAGCAATGAATGATATTATTTCTATTTAGTCCTTGACTAAACAGTACGAATTTAAATGTCTAATTTCATGTGATTTAATCAACCTTAAGTAATAGGTTTCTTAGTATTAAACGAGTTTGTATGATAATGATGTTCTCCTGTTAAAAATAAAATTAAAAAATTGTGGAGAAAGTAGTCAAGTATAATATTTATTTACACCTGTCAATAAGTGACTCCAGTAAACTTGATTAAAAATATTACTGTCTTGAAGAGATTCGACATTTCATTCTGAATGTTGACCTCTAAGCCCTCTGGGTCACAGCAGATACAAGATATTATCTTGTGTGATGCTTTGAGATGCCTACTAATCCTGACTTTATATGTTCAAGGGAAATGTACTCGCAACTTGTTATTATCCATGATACGATAGGCCACCTAATATAAACTTGTGACAGCACTCCTTGTTCCAATTATAAATGATTTGATCTTTTGGCATTACTCCACTAATAACTGACTAAAGGATCTGCTATTTAAACCCTGATTGACTTCCCAGATATCTAATTCTGCGCGAAACAATGATTAAGAGATAAGAAGATAGTAAGACAAACCTTGAAAACTAAAGGCACAACATACTCCAAAAGCTGCATGATCAAATACATAGACAGATACACTAGGAAACACAATAATTTAAAACATACTATATATGAACTTCACTTTATATTGTTTTTTTGAATCTTCTCATTGGTGTTTAGGACTGTAACTGATCAGTCTCTTATTGGCACATGTGCATCCTGTACGGATTGCCTCGATATTGCCTTAAGTCATAAGCATTAGAAGCCCAGATGGATGGTGGCTAGCAGTTGTACATTCAACCGATGAGTCCCAAGTAGAACGAAGCACGCGTCCTGGATTCCACTGCTAACCACTATCCATCTTTGCCTAGAATATATTGCCAAAAGCTAGGTATTCAAAGTAACAGTAGTCAGAGCAACAAATTCTTTATTAAAATTACGTAAATTGTCGACGGAAGGGTTAGGAAAATCATGAAACCACATGACCTAACTGTTAACAACTGCATATTTAACAATAAAGGTAACTATATCCAGAAAAGAAGTAGGCTACATGATTTCTAATCTCTTTAATACTTCTCGCTATAACATCTAACTTGTCATCCAGTGGTTCATACACCTAACTAATTCTGTCTGATTAAGTGTGAAATTCGAATACCTTGAAAAAGTTCAACATATCATACAGATTGTGTTTCATTATGTTTATGACTATACTTTATAGTATAGTTAAGTTTTTTGTTAGCTTGTTTCCGTTAACTTTCTAAATATCTAACTTGAAGAACATCGACACATGATGTTATATCGCCTGGCTCAATGACCACCATGGAAAACCAGGAAGCATTGGACGGCCATTTCGTCCTATTATGGGACTCCCCAGAAATGCACATTCACGATCCCGCCTCACGAGCTTCTTGCGCACAAGTGCTTAACCACTAGACCATTGAGCCGGCATCCAACGATGAAGAGTCTTACAATCGGATGAAACGGCCGTCCAATGCTTCCAGGTTTTCCATGGTGGTCTAGCTTAAATTGACTAACGATTTCAACTATATAAAATTACTAAAATCTCCACAAAAACCTCCTTCTGAAAATAGTAATTAATTCAGCAGATAATAGATAAGAACTTAAGTTTCATTTTAAAAGCCCATTCTTCTTTATCTTAACCTAAAAAAGGTGTTTGATCAATAAGTGGATATGATTATTTATTTATGTATCCCTAAATCACAAAATTCTGACTCTATACTGTATGTTTTTAGGTATCACTGAATGTGTTTGTATTGAAGGAACAATACTATCTGGTACACGTTGTCACTTGGATGTATATAAAACATTGGAACAAGAAAAAGATTTACCTCAATTCATTATAGATCATGATCATTGTCTTTCATCAGAAACACAATTAGCTTTAAGAACATTGAATCCACCAAAATATTTTTATATATTTGTCCCATCCAGTGTAAGTAATGTTCACTGGTACTATCCTTGTTATTACTATTATTATTATTATTAATATTTACTATTCACGTCAATTGTGATTTTTATCCCTTCACATGTCCAATTAACTGAATTACGAGATATAGAGTTCACTAATTACGAGTAAATCTGATATCTGTCAGACTATTAACCTTCTCTTTAGCCCATAACAATGACATCAAAATCTTAAATCCTATTGGTCTGACGACCTACTCTTCCCTTCCTCAATATCCCAATCGAGAAACGAATACATCAAGTCAGTAAACCAAATATTAAAACTCATAATTTCATTAAAATATACACGTTGATTACATAATCACATATCATTATTAATAAGAAATTATAATTTCTACATAACTGGATGATAAGAATGATACCAAATATAGTAACAGGTAAATGATCAATTAAGTATACATCTAATTGAAGACGTCTTACCTTTTTCGAATATCCACTCCAGTTTAACAATATCATTGTATTGATTCATTTATGTCAGATGATAACCATTAAGTGATTACCAGACAGATTATCATATATTGACAAATTTTAACTGTTAGAATTAAACTCACTGGATGATTATTAGTATTATATCCATCACATCATAGTTGAAAGATCTTCCGTTCAATCTACAATTGAGTTCATGCTGAGGACAACTGAATTTTCTAAATCTAATAGGAAATAACTTTCACAAGGATTCATGGTTTATAACACTTCATACTTACATGGTGGAGAAGATTTGTAGATCAGGTGGATGATTTTGATGGAGTTTTGTTCTCTGAGCTGGATGGTTTGGTCGTGGAGCTTTCATTGTCCTTCTGAACGACATCATCAGCACAAACTTCGGGTAGAAGTGATGTGCTTGAATTCCTCCACATGCGATTCACAGCTTGTCCAGTACACTTCGATGTTGATCGGTTCATTCTTACCTTTGATGTCAATCTTAGACAAAATCTAATTTTAAAGCTATGAATTTACACTTAATAGTTTTCTATCATTGATCAATTGAATTACTGAGAATTTACAAAGCTCAAGTCATCAACTATTCGATTAGGTAATACATCTAAAAATGAGAAAAGCCGAAGTTCTGATAAAAAAGTTAAGGATTTGCATGCTGAATAGGGCTAAATGAAGAGAGGAACAACCCTCAACTGGTTTATTTATGTTTCTATGATCCTCATGATCACATTTCATCTCAATTTCAACATTTTATCATGCTGAGCCATCCCTTCTCAATGATATTTTCCTTATCCATCTTCATGATGAATATTTAATCCCTTAACAATCAAGCTACTATTAGTTTCCCTGTCTAAAAGAAGTTTTAAATACCTTTCTTCATTCTACCTCACTGTCATCATGTGTCTAATAGAAGTTTATTATAATTATTATTGTAATTATTATGATCCTGGGAAAATAAGTATATGTATATCACAATTGTACAGAACTGAAAATGAATTCGTCTGAAAGATTACTCTTCGTTGAACTAATCTTTCTTATTTAATTTCTTAATTGATGAATTGCGTTTATTGAATACTAAATGACAACACTATTGATGCCATTTCGTATGGTACAGATCAATATAAATAATTGAATACTACTCAAACTACTGATCAGTAATAAGTAGTAATACCCATTGAACAAAAGTAATATACCATACGTAGCACAAATGTTAATAACAAGCTTGAATTCCATCATTTTTTTGGCAGATAATTACAAGTTGCACAGATGTTAAAGAGCATATAGTTGTACGATCAAAACCTTTAACTATGAATGAACTTAAATATGCTACAGTTCAATCACCTATTAAATTAATCACTGAAAATAATACTCTGATTGAAGTTTATCCCAAGGTAAGTGACATAATGTCTTTGATATATATATGCAAATCTGATTTGCATGCTAAATAATATCAGAAGGGGTTTTTGTGGATATTTTGATCTTTTGGTTAATAATATAGAAATTTTTTATTTCATTTTTTATTCATTCTGTTGCGACACCAAACCTAATGTATTGAACCATCTATTCTGTAAAGATGGATGGTGGCCAGCAGTGGAATCCAGGATGCGAGTTTCGTTCTATTTGGGACTCATCAGATGGATGTACCTGCATCTCAGAGTTGATGTTCACTCTGAGACTCGAACCCAGTACCGTTCGCTTCAAACGTCATCGCACTGTCCACTTGGATACTGAGTCTTGATAGCCACCTGCTTGTGCAATGGGGTGAAGTTTAAATTCACTTAGTATTGCTTGTTTGAATCTTCCCATTGATGCTTACGACTGCAATTGATCGGTCTCTTATTGGCATATGCATGCCACTATCCATCTTGTTTATAATACTTGTGAATTAAAGCCATATCGAGGCAATACGCACAGTATGCATATATGCCAATTAGAGACTGACCAGTTGCAGTCCTAAACATCAATGTGAATATTCAACCAAACAATATCAAGTGAATTCATAGAGAACTTTGTTCACTAACAACCAGTGACAGTATATCAACGAACTTGATTGTATTGACTTATATTATTGGTTGAAACATTTATATAAGTTGTTTGCTTTCCTTGTTTGATTCCCAGTGATTCATTCAATATGAATCCCAAATAATCATATTTCAGCCTATTTATTTACTGAAATTGGCGTACATTAAAAGGAAGTTTGGGTTAAAACGATCTTATGTAAACTGGTTGATCTCGATATTTGGTTATATTGATTCAATGTCATACACACATACTGAATGAACTATATATTATCAACACTAAAACACTGTTAAGGATAACTCGATGAAATAATATTATAATCCCACTCTTCAGAAAGCCTGTTTTAGTCTAATCCGTATTCCAAATACCACTGGTTTATATGAATGATCCGTTTTTTTTCATATTAACTTATTAGACCATATGACAACCTTGAAGGATTGATTGAACGACAAATGTCGTGCGTATCAGAGTGTTAATTAGTTCTTCATTACCAAAGAGTTGAGTTAATTAATTAATTGACAAAAACTTCTTGTATGACTTATACGAAACTTTGTTTCTGTCGACCGCAGTTCTTTTTTTAGGTCAGTTAGATAAATACATTAATTATGTTCACCTAGTTACTAATGTTTTTCATTTTCTGAATCAAACAAATGCATAAAAATATGTCTATTTCATGAAACTACTCATAAGTAGTTAAATGATTTAGTAAAAAATATCTTTTTTATAACAGAATGGTACACTTATGATTGATGGTCACCTAGCTCAATTTGAAACTGTGAAATTTGTCAATGGCCAATTATACTATTTATCCAATCCATTAAAACGTACAGTGGTAAGTTCAAAATGTAGAATTTTGTATACTGTATGTTAGAAAAGAAACAGAATTGATTTGAAAAATGGAATGACTTCCGGTTTTGATTAAATATAACGAAGACGTTGTATCTTGTGAACTCTTCTATGACTGAACACACAGTAAATTTCATTTGAGATATCAGTATTTACAGAGAATGGATCTACCAAACATTAATGGAGAATAAGAACTAATTCTGATCATGCCCCAACATAATGTACGTAATAGTATGAAAAATACTGTTTGACTTCGATATAACTTAGAATATAGCGTAACAGTCTACTCAAAGAACGAAATATATTGAAAGAATTTAATAATGGTAAATGATTTGATAGGGAAACATATTTAAACTAACCGAGTAAATTTTTAAAGTGAGCATATGTATCAATGACAATAATCCCACTTTTCGGTTATATAAACCGTAAGTTCAAATGATTAAAATTTAATGGTTGGATTCATGAGTCAATTAAAGGTAGATCACTATTGAAAACCTGGAAGAACTGGGCGGCCGTTTTGTCTTAGTAATGGACTCCTCAGTAGTGCGTATCCACAACCCCTCCCTAGGAATTCGAACCCGGAACCTATCAGTCTTGCGCGCAAACGAAAGAACTATCCAGTACTTCCAAGTTTTCCATGGTGGTCTAGTTTTAACTGACTACTGAATTCAACCACTAAATTACTATAATATCCACGAAATCCCTTTTCTAATTAAAATTTATTTTATATGTGACCCAGTTTCATACTCAATAAATTGTTGGGAATTTTCACCGATTGCTCACTTTCCATTGTTTCTAGTGATAAATCTCTAATTACCTCTACGTTTACGAAAAGCATTCGCCATAAAAGTTTACTATAATAACGACCAGTCAGTCAAGAAACACTGTTCAGTTATAAAGCAATCAATGATAAAACACAGTGAAAATTACAATGGAATGATGATTTTGTCATGATTAATTAACCAATACATGTTTAGTGCATTAGATTTACATATTGGGAATTGGGCTAGTGTTATAAGTTAGGGTTCTCGTGACTAGTTGGTATCAGTTATATTGCTTAAATGTATGGGTTAAGTAAAAGAAGTAATAGTCATGTGTTGGAATTACAAATTAAGGCTGAAGGTTTCATCATGAATTGATGTTAACTATGCTATACCACATTTGTATTTACATAGGGTTATTATTTAGAGTCAAGAGTTAAAGTGAGAGAATACAGCATTGATTATACATAGATTCAAAAATGGTCTGGTACGGCCAGGCGTATATAATAACTGTCAAGAACGTCCTACTCACTGCCTTCTCGCGTTAGGGGTGTTGTTTACAAACTAAAGAGGACAAAAACCGAATTTCTGGGACTTGAAGTGGGTTAGTGGGTATGGAACATTCACTTAGGGTTCTTGCGAAACTGTGATTGCAAACCAGTGATGAACATAGGCTCTTGGATCCTGAGAAAACAAACAGTGTATGAGCCTATTGTTGGTCATTGACTACCATGAGAGCACATCTCCAAACTTTTCCCCACCATTTTGTGGATTAGATCTCTTGGTCAAAGGCTCGGGGAGTGACCTCCTAATAAAACCACTTACTTTGCTTCAGGCAACCAGGCACTATCCCAACCCACACAAAAATCTTTCGTAGTGCATATATAATTCTGTGCCCCTTGGTAACAATGTTTTTGTTGAAATAAATAAATACAGACTTTAACACTATCTACATCAACAATAGATATTTCATATAATTTGACTTGAACACCATGTCATATTCACTGTTTGGTTGCGTAGTATGTAATTAAAGAAACCAATTTCAAACATGGTTAGAAGAGATGGATAGTGGCTAGCAGTGGAGTCCTATTTGGGACTCGTCAGCTGGATGTACCTGCATCTCAGAGTTGATGTTCACTCTGGGACTCGAACCCAGTACCCTCGCTTCAAACGCCATCGCGTTATCCACTCGACCACTGAGTCCTAATAGCCACTTGCTTGTGCGAAGTTTAAATTCTTACCATGTTTGTGAATTTAGGCTATATCGAGGCAATACGCACAGTATGCCCATATGCCAATTAGAGACTGACCAGTTGCAGTCCTAACAAATCGATGGGAAGATTCAAACAAACAATACTAAGTTGAATTCAATTTCAAACAGTTTTGGAAATGAATATCACAAGTTTTCACTTCGTTAACAATAGCTCACAAGCAATATTGCACTGTGTTATCTGTGTCCTGTGAACATTGACAAAGCACAATCTTAATTGGGATTGGTTAACTCAAGCCCATCAGTTTAGTATACTTTTATCGTGTTTCCTTATGAAATAAATGAAATACGTTATTCCTAAGATAATCTAGTTCACGCTGATTAACAACTGAGTAGTATTAAATGCAATATTTTCTAGTCTTTAGTGCTGATCGACTTTTCTTGATCAAATTAAAATGATGATAGCCTTTTTTTATGTACAACTGGTTGTATTCGATCAGTGGAAGAAATCCTTGATCTAAGTTTTACACTAACTAGATAATAACTACAATCTTCAAAATAATAATGACCACAACTAGAATGTGAATTAATCACCGTAAATGCCTCAACCCTACAGGATAAAATATTTTTGAAGACTGAGGCAGTGAATGAAATGAAATCGAATGGCACGGAGATAAACTTTTCCAAAAATACTACAGATAAATCAACGAGATAATTGGTAAACTTAGATCCATGACTTCCTGTTAGTGGAAATGAACCAAATAAGATTTAGTTTGTATACGGCTAAATCTGTTATGTACATACTACTAAACGTGTGCCTATTTATATCATGATCAGTAAGTGTTTGAATTATCCTATTGTTCATAATTAGAACTGGATTTTGATCAATCACTCTTGATATGTGCTCAACCTGTACGGATTGTGTTGATATTGTCATTTTATCTTATGATTTTAGAATGAATGAATTATGGCTATCAAAAGAATTCAGGATCTCCGTTTCGTCTCATTTGAGACTCGTCAGCTTTTACGCATATACCTCTAGCTTATGAATCACATGTAGGATGAAATGGGGGTCCTAAATTCCACTGATAGCTATAGTCCATGGTCCTATCTTTTGAATCCTATATTCCGTTGAATATTAATAATAAACATAGTTATAATAATTTGAATAGAGAATAGAATTAAAACTCTTCAATATAATAACTAACACCATTCTTTCTTTCTTTCTATCGTTAATATTTTCATTTCAGTATATTTACAAACTGAACAGTTACGTTTTTATATTGATAACTATATCCATTTTAATTATATGCGGACTTACATCATTGGCTTTATATAAAGGCATACAATGGTATAGAACTGCAAGTATGAGACAATTCCATCGTGTAAGTTTTTATCAGTATTGTTATTATCATCTATAGTAATTATAATGATGAAGTCTTATACAGGTTCAGTTCGTTCGTAATTTATCTGACTTAGAGTAACACTAAAAGTTAGCAATCACTGAACATCTTGTTTCATCCTACTATGGGATTCCACGATAGTGAATACTAATGACCACTTCTAGGATCAAACCGGGATTATTTAAGTTCTATCAATAAAATTGTAATAACCAGCTTACTAGCCGTGTTTTCGAAAATCTAATGGAAGTCGTGACAGATATAGTTCAAACATTTAGAAAGTAAAATAGTCATCATTGAATAATCGTCTTACTTTACCACAGATTGGTTGAACCATTAATTCTAATAGCTAAGTGTTTGCCGAGAAATTTAAAAATCTTGTGTTCATTTTTTCTGAAGGAGTCAAATTATATACGCTGCTCAAGATTCTCGTAGTAGATCAAAGCAATCACTTATTACTCTTTGAGTTTTATTAGTAACCCAACTAAGGTAAGTCTGTAACCGATACAAATTACGAATTAAACTACACAAAACTCATTCAAGCTAACTTTTTATAACTGTTGTTACTTATCTATGTAGATGATTAGTATATAATGAAATTATTTAGATCAATGTTCAGAGCTGATTATCAATTTTAAACTAATAAAAAGAGGAATACTTTGCGTGACTGTGTCAGTATATGACTTATTAGCCATGTACATATGTATTCACTGACTTATCTTGGAGCTATCCATTTTTTGAGTGACATGTAGTAAAACTACCTACATTTTCCAGTCAAAAATACTTTGAAGCATAAGTTATAAAATAGTCAATGATTTTAATAACCTACTGACATGTTTTATTTTCATTTCTTTTCCCATTCCAACATTTTGATTTTCCTCAGCTTCCTAGACAAGTTTTTATACATCGAGCATTTTGGAAACAACAAACTGATGATATCCTTGTAGAAGAAACTGAAGATCATTCCAGTTCATAGGATTCACACAAAAAATTACACGAGGAATCATGATTACACCATCACCACTAGTAATAATACTAACATCTATAGTCAGTACTATATAAAGTGTATGACAGCATAAGTCGTCGGTTTCTTGAAAACTTGATATATATATTCATTGTGTGTTTTTTTACTTATCACCAAAAAAGTATAATTATTGTCCAACTCCTGTTCCCCATTTGTTTTCATAAATAAATTTCAAATAATTTTTAGAGTTTTCAAAATTAGTAGGCTGACTAAATCTAATTTATGAGCATAAGCAATGTGTCTAACTGAAAGCAAACTTTAAAGTCGATATTATAATACAACACTAATGATACTTTTTGCTCAATCTGTTAAATATAAGATCAGTACGGGACGTTAGCTATGAAGTCTAACGATATGTATAAACCATCATTGTGCGCACCAGCGATTAACTTCAAGAGATAATCCTGGTAATTCTAGTGAGAAACCGTTAAATATGGGGTTAGAATGCGTCGGGAATGGGACAGATATTACCAGTGGCAGTGGATAACGATTTACGAATACTGCGAATTAATTGAAGTTAGGAATACAAACTATTGTATGTAAGCTCAGTGGTCTGAAGTTCAAGTGCTCACTTCGAGATCTGTAACTCCTGAGTTAGATCTCGGATAGAGTTGTGGATGCGTACCACTAACTAGTCCCGTGATAGAACGGGACAGCTGCCTAATGCTTCTTGACTTCAATAGTCGTTAGGCCATATGACAGGTAATATACGCGTCCAAAATACAATGGCGAACAACATCAAAACAAGAACGGAGACTTATCAAATAAAACAAACGTTCACTGAGTACATTAAAATTGAAAACAACTATTGCAAACTTTAATGAAATACAACAACAATAATAAGTAAATCGAATATAACAAGTTAGCGTAAATTCTAAGCTTACTGTTAACATACACATGTCACTCAAGGTAACTAGAATTAAAACTGCTTACTGAATATTAGTAAGTAATATCAGATAATGCACATAAGAAAATTGGACAAGGAAACAGGGGGCGAAAATTGCAAGCACTTAACAAACGATGGTATAGCAAACAAATATTTAAAGCGGACAAGTTGATTTACTGTATTTCGTAAAGAAAACTGTCATTAGACACTACATCCGAAATGCAGGACATGTTGAAAGGAAACACAAACATTTCGACAATATACTTCTGTATATTGAATTACTTCATATTCTTGTAAATGGTTGGGTAATAAGTGATTTATGATTAGAAACTTTCCCTATATATTAGATAAATGAATGGAAAATATATAAACTGAAAAACTCATCAGATTCCAAAATTTACAAATTTAAAGAAACGAAAAATACTAGAATAGTTCATTTCATTTAAAACGATTCTTCGAATCTTCCCGTTGTTGATGATAAAAACTACAATTACTGGGGTACTTTTTCAAACTGCTGGATTCTGAGGATTATCTCGAAATTCCTACCTAATCATCAGCGACTTTCAGCAAAGTGGATGATTCTTTGAGTGTCTGAAACGAAATGTACAGGGTTTGAGTCTCAAATTGAAAATAAATATTGGGGGTTACTGCTGATCCCAAGCCTGGATAAAGGAGGAGGGTTTGACATGGGATTAGTGACCCCATCCTCATGGTGAAAGCCGAGGTCCTTCGGAAGTCACGAGGCCGATGCACCTTCTTACAACCAGAGCAACAATTTTTAAAGGTACATGGAATGTCCGGACAATGTGGGAGACCGGAAGAGTCTTCCAAATTGCTTCAGAAATGAGGAAATACAACCTGGAGGTTCTTGGGGTCAGTGAAACATATTGGACGCAGGTTGGACAACAACAAATATCTTCGGGGGAGCTTCTGTTATACTCCAGCCATGAAGAAGAAAATGCCCCACATACACAAGGAATGGCATTGATGCTGTCCAGAAAACCACAAAATGCACCTATTGGATGGGAACCTCATGGACTAAGGATCATCAAAGCCTCCTTCAAAACAAAGAGGGAGGGCATTACAATGAACGTCATCCAATGCTATGCGCCTACCAACGACTACGATGTAGACGTTAAAGACCAATTCTACGATAGGCTGCAGTCGATCGTCGAGAAGTGCCCAACAAAGGACCTGACCATTCTGATGGGAGATTTAAGTGCCAAGGTTGGAATGGACAACACTGGATACGAAGACGTCATGGGACGACATGGACTGGGAGAAAGGAATGAAAATGGTGAGAGATTTGCAAACCTATGTGCCTTCAATAAACTGGTCATCGGCGGCTCTCTATTCCCACACAAACGCATTCACTTAACCACATAGACTTCACCGGATCATACTATGCAGAACCAACTTGACCATATCTGCATCAACAAACATTTCAGGAGGACGATGGATGATGTGAGATCCAGGAGAGGAGCTGATATAGCATCAGGTCATCACTTGCTAGATGAAAATAAAGCTTCTTATTACTAGGTTTCTAATGCTCATGCTTCCATGACAACGATGTTTGATAATGCTCATCTAACATTTGCACACTTTGATATAGCATTGAGTGCTATGCGATCTTCGACAGACATCGATATAGTACGACTTAATAGGTCTTTAAAATCTGTTGCGTATATTCGTTCAAACATCCCCTTTTTCCTCCTTAACTGAGATGGGGTTAAGTACACGGTTGCTCTTACGAGATTTCTTATAGGGCCCAAACAGCGTCAAACCCAATAGAGTCCTTACAACGTACGGCCCATTCCCTTTTCCAGTCCCTATCTCTTTCGTCTCGTATACGTCTGCTGCGTCACACCAATTGGCAGCTTAACACTTACGTCTCCTACTCTTAGAAAATTCGTATCTTTTAAGTAGGACCAGGACGCTATCTGATGTGCAGTTGGCACAGTTCTGAACATTGATAGTAGACTTTTGGCCGTCAACACTTTCTGGATCTCAACAGACGATGAAAAATCTAACAAATGAAGTTCTCCATCAACCTCTTTGCATGCCAACGATGAGTATTATTAAGTCTTCAAATATATTATCTTAGGTTTTTCGTCGAGGCCTAGCTCATTGGTCAGATCATCTACAATGAGAGAAGTGTCTGCTCCATTATCTAAAAAGGCACAGGTCTGAATGACCTCGCCGTGATTAAATAATACAGGAATTATAGCTAACGTGACTCCTTCCTGGGCGTATCTTTGCGCTTTTCAGCTCCGTTGATTTCATCACCACCTTTCGTTTCTCTAGATTGATAAGCAATGACACGGATGTCCTCAACATTGTCCATCTTTCCCTCCCAGTTCATGTGAAGCAGAGTATGGTTCCGCCAACCGCACCCTGCAACCAAGTATGCTCTTGGTGACCAACAATATTTTTCTACATAGTTCGCCCTCAAACAAACGTTACACAACATGTGCTTAGGAACAAATTCTTTCCTTTCACCAACATCCTTATCTTTAAACTTCTGGCACTGATCTAAAGAATAATTCTCTGAGCACTCCAAACAAAATGAACTATGGTACCCATATCTGTCATGTTAGGGGACATCTTCATCACCAGTGTTTGCATAGGATATTCTTGCTGTATTGTAATCCGCAGCAAATTTCTCCTTTACAACACCAACATCTCTATTGCCACTATTACTACTACGGTTAACAATATTTGGTGTTAGTCATATCAACTTGTTCCCTAGCAAACTCAGTAAGATATCCAAACAAAGGCTCTCAACATCCCTTAATAATCTTATGAGCTTCCCTGAGCCACTCTTTTTGAACATAAGTTAATAATTTCAGAACCGTAGTTTTAATAGTTGTCAATAAATGTGCGTGCTACATGTTTTTGACCGAACGTTTCCTCTAAATGCTTTAATGCTTGACGATAACCTACTTCCGGTCCTAGCATAGCACGATGAAGGATAGCGGCTATCGCTCCTCCGTCACAATACTAGATTAAGTAATTCAACTTAGCTCTAAATTCAATATTCTCACTAACGATGTATTCTTTGAAGTTTTTTAGTAAAATCCCAGTAATTTATTGGTGTACCATCGAATCTTAAGATTTCTCTCTTCGGTAAATACAAAATTTTTAAAATTGCATCCTCACTGCTGCTTACTGATAGACCGAAGCCTTCACTTCCCTAGCAACGTAACTTTTCTAGTTCAATTTTTTCTCCAACTGGGTCACATGTAAGTTGGCTAACTCTAATTCTGTCAGGCGATTGGTTTTAAGTTAATCCCTTTCAAATCGGTCTTCGTCATAATCTCCCAAATGAAGAAGTGACAACCGCAGAATCTCACCGGAATTATAGTACCTATTGAAAGTCGTGTCATTAGGTATATCGATTTTACCATTCGAAATTTTCTAGGAAGTAATTTCCTAAGACGCATTTCTAAACTATTCCCCAGACTGTCGAACACCCAGTTTTAGCTTAACCGAAGCCAGAACAAGTAAGCTATCTGGCTTGATAAACTTTATCTGTCTCTAAAACGTAAATTAATAGTTAGTATACAGAATTATTTCAGTTTACTAAACAGGAGCGAAGAGACATAATTGTCAACAAACTTAGTATCGTTATGACAAACGAAATTTATTTTTGGTGAATAAACAAGGAATTGTCATGCTAGGTCATAGGTCTATGTGGTGGTGGATGTCTAATGTTGTCATTGGTGGGTTCTTTTATCGATCACACCTTACGGTGTCTACGTACTACAGTATATTCTAATTATGTGTACAAAATCGAATATACAGACTCAAAAACACCCTTACTCCCTGTATACTTAACTGTTTTTGTGTTATGAGGTATGGTTAGTGTGAACTATAAGAAAAATTGATAAATAAATATCGAAAGTTGTCAAATACTCATTCATTCTAGAAAATTTAGTGTTTATTGGAAATGTGTATTAAGATATATTCTATTGACAACGTCTACTGAAGCAATGGACACAGTTCCGAAGATTGTCGAGGTCTACCATAGTATGTATGCACAGGATTGTACTTAAGATTCTCAGAGGTTATCTATATTGCTTAGATAAGTTTGTTTGAATAATGTGTACTTTAAAAGACTAGATTATCCACGTTGTACATTCCTCCTTCCAGCCATAGGAACATGGTGAAGCTTAGTAGGCCCTTCTGGAGAAGAGTGCTATATCGAAGCATGGCACAACTACCGGGGCGGAATAGCTGCTTTTGAACTGCTTACGCAGAACCATTACATAACACTCTCATTCGGCTTTTTGTTTGTTTGTTTTTGGGCAGACTCATTATTTTGCCATCCTTGTGAATCCTCAATAGTTATGCAATGACTCTTTGTAGCATTCGTAATCGTTTGAGGGTACAGGTAGAGTGGTTGATTAGGTCGATCTCTACCACCAACATTACCGCTCACATTAGTACATGTGATGGTTGCCATGATCCAGGAGGCACGACAAGGACGTTTGAGTCGGACTTTGCCACATGCCACAACAATAATTGTAATGTATCAAACATGGGTCTACAAATGACTAAAATATATTTTGTTGTATTCTTTTATACTTCTGAAATAATGTTTAAGTACATTTGCAGCATTGTTAACAATTTCCAGAAATTAGTGGTCATTACTTAATGGTAGAACATAACTTATTTCCACATCTAAGGGATCGAGATTTTCAAGAATGTTTAGATTTCTGGCCTGAAAAACAAGAAAATAATAAGGTATTCGAGAAATTATCATTTAAAATTAAAATTGTTTATTGAATGATGATACGAGAATCAGCTGAATGATAAAATAGTCAGAGAGGGTTTTTGTGAAGATTTCAGTAATTTTATAGTTGAGTCAGTTGGAGCTAGACCACCATGGAAAATCTGGAGGCACTAGACGCCTTTTTGTTCTATTGTGGGACTCCTCAGCAAAGCGCATTCAACGATCCCACCTCGCGAGATTCGCGTGCGAGTGCCTAACCACTAGACCACTGAGCTGGCATCCAACGGTGTCAGTGTCTAACTTCAACCAATCCACGAAATCGAGCAACCGTTCACCATTGTCTTCAGTGAGTTGACATTTCACAACAGACCTTGGTTGAACTCCACTGGTCACTGCTTCTCACTCGAACTCCAAGAAATATTTCTTAAAGCCAGTCTTCAATACTGATTTGAATAAACAAACAACAAATCTACAAAACTACATTATCACTGGTGAACTAATCAATATCATGTAAGCGGCTTTTATTTTTCTGTATGAGCGTCGAAGTCCAGTTTCTGATAGTATTCACCTTATGAAGAGTTTTGTAGAAGCTAAATCGTACCCAGATTATTGGAGATTTATATGATTCCGAATTGTGTGATAAAATGCCGTGAAAATGAGACTCTTTGAAGGTAAAGAAACCATATAAAACCTCTAATCTTGTCGATAGTGATTTCGTTCGAAACATAACTAAATTAGGATTTGTTGACTGGATGAATGTTAGGATATAGAGCTCTTGTGTTCTTATGTCATCTCAAGGTCACCTGGTAGATGATAAATTATGAGCTGAGTGTTCTAATAGAAGAATCCTCAGCTTGTATGTCCTTGTCTGAGTGAGAAGGACAATTCTTTACTAATCAACGATTTATATTACATCAAAATAGGGGATCTTGATAACGATTCATGAACCTAGGAGTTGGGTAAAATGCCCATGTTTATGTATAAGTTTCATTATGTTTGTAGGGAAAATCTTGAGGAATTTTATACATTTAGTTCTCTTCATTATTTTGAATAGAGCAAGTATGTAGAGTTAAGCAGAACGATATGAAATCATTTTAATTTGTAAGCTTCTCATCAGCTGCTTACAACGTATAATATTTTAAATATTAAAAGTTATTGTAAAGTTTGCATACAACTTGGTCTTTAACACCTGATAGACTGAAATCTTTCAGCATTATCAGTTGACAGTCAAATTCCATTCTTCTGAAATTCACCGAAGCCATTTCCATCAAACGACTGAATCCGGACTTATGTAACCGAAAGGAAACAGTAGCAAATCTCTCTTTCCATGGTGATTTCATCGTCAGTTTACCATATCCTTCTTGCAATTTTCCTCACTTTCTCTCCCTCTTATTTGAATTGTATCACTTCTGTTGAATCCATGATCTTGTTTCCGACTGACTGATCTCAATTCATGTTATTCTTGATTGTTATTAGTTTGTGTTCAGCCACTTCATTATATAATTAGTTAATTATTTGTTAACTCCGCCTGTAGCTCTTCTAGAGTTACTGCCGGTCCCAAGCCCGGGTAAAGGAGGAGGGTTGGGCATGGGGTTAGCGACCCCATCCCGTAGAAAAGCTAACTCGCTAAAAAAACGCTAACCAGAAAAAATAATTTAAACCATTTAAACTCTGCCCTGGGAGTTGAAGGAATAATGACGTCTCATGATGAAAGCCGAAATTCTTCGGAAGTCACGAGGCCGATGCACCTTCTAACAACCAGAGCAACACTCTTTATAGGTACATGGAACGTCCGGACAATGTGGGAGACAGGAAAGACCAGCCAAATAGCAATGGAAATGAGGAGATACAAATTGGCAGTACTCGGAATCAGTGAAACCCATTGGACACAAACTGGACAACAAAGGCTAGGTACAGGAGAGATGCTGCTGTACTCCGGTCACGAAGGGGAAAATGCTCCACACACTCAGGGAGTTGCTCTAATGCTGTCCAAAGAAGCACAAAATGCACTTGTGGGATGGGAATCTCATGGACCCAGGATAATCAAAGCATCATTCAGAACAAAGAAGGAGGGGATCACAATGAACGTTATCCAATGTTATGCACCCACCAATGATAGCAACGACGATGATAAAGATCAGTTCTATGAAAGGCTGCAATCAATTATAGCAAAGTGCTCACGAAAGGACCTCACCATCCATATGGGGGATCTAAATGCTAAAGTTGGAGTGGACAACACAGGATATGAAGATATAATTGGACGACATGGACTAGGAGAGAGAAATGAAAATGGGGAGAGACTTGCAAACCTATGTGCTTTCAACAAATTGGTTATAGGCGGCACAATATTCCCACACAAACGCATACACAAAGCTACATGGATTTCACCGGACCACACCACAGAGAATCAGATCGATCACATCTGTATCAACAAAAAATTCCGAAGATCAATGGAAGATGTGAGAACCCGGAGAGGAGTTGACATAGCTTCAGATCACCACCTGGTTGTGGCCAAGATGAGACTGAAGCTTAAGAAAGACTGGACAACTGGACAAACAGCACTACAAAGGTTTAATACAGCCTTCCTTCGAGATACTGACAAGCTCCATGAATTCAAGATAACTCTCAACAACAGGTTCCAAGCTCTACAGAATCTACTGAACGAACAAGAAACTACTTTGGAGGACAACTGGAAAGGGATAAAAGAAGCACTAACTTCAACGTGTCAGGAGGTTCTTGGTCCTAAGAAGCATCATCACAAGGAATGGATCTCTATGGGAACCCTGGACAAAATTCAAAAAAGGAAGAACAAGAAACTAGCAATTAACAGCAGCCGGACACGAGCAGAGAAAGTCAAAGCACAAGCAGACTACGCAGTAGCAAACAGGGAAGTGAAGAAAAGCATTAAAGCCGACAAGCAGAACTACATGGGAGAACTAGCAACGACGGCGGAAAAAGCTGCAAGGGAAGGAAATATGAAACAACTATATGATACAACGAAGAAATTGGCAGGGAGATATAGCAAACCAGAGAGACCAGTCAAAGACAAAGAAGGAAAAACAATCACTGAGATTCAAGAACAGAGGAAAAGATGGGCAGAATACTTCGAGGAACTGCTGAATAGACCAGCCCCATTGAATCCACCGAACATAGAAGCAGCAAACACTGACCTTCCTATAGATGTCACTCCACCAACGATCAAAGAAGTCAAGATGGCCATCAGACAAATCAAAAGTTGGAAGGCGGCAGGACCTGACAATATACCAGCTGAAGCACTGAAGTCAGACATTGAAATAACTGCAAATATGCTTCACCTTCTATTCAAGAAGATTTGGGAAGAGGAACAAGTGCCAATGGACTGGAAAGAAGGATATCTCATCAAGATACCAAAGAAAGGAGATCTGAGCAAATGTGAGAACTACAGAGGTATCAGTTTGTTATCAGTACCAGGAAAAGTTTTCAACAGAGTGCTGCTGAATCGGATGAGAGACGCAGTAGACGCCGAACTGAGGGATCATCAGGCTGGATTCCGTAAGGACCGGTCGTGCACAGACCAGATTGCGACACTACGGATCATCGTCGAACAATCAGTTGAGTGGAACTCATCACTATACGTCAACTTTATTGACTATGAGAAGGCGTTTGACAGCGTGGACAGGAGAACATTATGGAAACTTCTTCGACACTATGGAGTTCCTGAGAAGATCTTCAACATTATCCAAAACTCATACGATGGACTACAGTGCAAAGTGGTGCATGGAGGACAGCTGACAGATGCATTTCCAGTAAGGACCGGAGTCAGACAAGGCTGTCTACTCTCCCCATTCCTCTTCCTTCTAGTGATTGACTGGATTATGAAGAATTCGACATCTGAAGGGAAATACGGAATACAATGGACTTCTCAGAATCAATTAGATGATTTGGACTTCGCAGATGACCTAGCCCTCCTCTCTCATACACACGAACAAATGCAGATGAAGACAGCAAATGTAGCAGTAGCCTCTACATCAATAGGCCTCCACATTCACAAAGGAAAAAGCAAGATTCTCAAATGCAACACGGAGAACACCAACACAATCACACTTGATGGCGAAACTCTGGAAGAGGTGGAAACATTCAAGTACCTGGGGAGCATCGTTGATAAACAAGGAGGATCGGATGCAGATGTAAAGGCGAGGATTGGAAAAGCAAGGGCAGCATTTCTACAATTGAAGAACATATGGAACTCAAAACAACTCTCAACCAATTTCAAGGTCAGAATCTTTAATACGAACGTCAAGACAGTCCTACTGTATGGAGCTGAAACGTGGAGAACTACTACGGCCATCATCAGGAAGGTACAAGTATTTATAAACAGTTGTCTACGCAAAATACTCAACATCCACTGGCCGGATACTATCAGCAACAGCGTTTTATGGGAGAGGACAAACCAGCTTCCAGCTGAAGAGGAAATTAGGAAAAGACGTTGGAAGTGGATCGGATATTGAGGAAATCACCAATGTGCATCACGACTCAATCCCTAACTTGGAATCCTGAAGGGAAGCGGAAAAGAGGAAGGCCAAAGAACACACTACGCCGAGAAATAGAAGCCGATATGAAAAGGATGAATAGCAACTGGAAAGAACTGGAAAGGAAGGCTCAGGACAGAGTTGGATGGAGAATGCTGGTGAGCGGCCTATGCTCCTCCACAAGGGGTAACAGGCGTAAGTAAGTAAGTAAGTAAGTAATTATTTGTTACAGTGGCTGATGCTCCAGAATCTTCTCTCACATATGATATGATATTTATTTACAACGCTCATTATATGCCTACACCCTCACTACTCAACCATGATGAAACATATCCATTTTCACTGTTATAAATATGTAAACTTTACAATAATTTTGACTTTAAAATAATATTATAGATTGTGAGTAGCTGATGAAAACCCAATGAAATATGACCAATGCGTTATTCTGCTCTATTGTTTGTTGTTTTTTTTATTAAGAAGTTTCCTGATTGATTCGATTTTCATACTGATCAACTTGTATGAGTAGATGCTATGTTAGAAGAATATAGATTGGATTAAAGCATGTTCCACTGAGGATTGTGTTGAGGCACTCTGATTATCTGATTAGTCAGTGATGCTAGTGCATACACAGAGAAGATTGTCTAATCTTCTTATGTGGAATGTATAAATAAAGTAACGTTCTTCTTTTGTATTTTGATTCCTAATTCCATTCAGCATTGTTTATTTCGGAAATGATTACATTCCTGTTGATCCGTGTTCTGATTTGTGGACTGGTCGAGTGAAGTAGTGTCCAAGAATACTAAGCAATAGGAGTAGTTGAGTTTTAATAAGAGATTTGATGACACCATTTGATGTCTGTAATTAACTTTCATTAAGGTTGGTGGTATACTATGATTTTTACCAATAGATCATTATTAAGATACTTTCTTATTTTCGAGCAATTATGTAAAATCGTTGTAATAACCTACGTTGTAAAAAAAATGATGGTTATAATTGATAATCAACATACTTGAATAGCGACATCTCCATAAATTGTTCCTTTTGTTTGAATTTGAATGAAACTGTCGGCTGATTTACTCATTGGATTCCCTGGATCAATTACAAACTCTGTTGCAAAATAAACACGTCTTAATTTAGTGCCCAGTTCTAATTCATCACCTTTTAGAAAGAATTGGAAATGTTGCATGTCGAATAGGCCTGCAGAATGACAAAATGAACATTCACAATGTTCGAAAAAATAATTGGTTAGTAACTTAATAGTCATGAGGTCTGGTCTTCAATGTATGTAATGAAGATGGTGTCGCAATGAGCGGTCTTAAATTAAATCATGGTAATTTTAAGATTGACTCTCTAGTTGATGCATCATGATGTCTAAAATAACTCATAATGTCATTGAATAAGAAAAAGAGAATTCAGCGAAGAAAATTTTCTTTTCGACGAAATCATTTACTTAAGCTGTACATTCGTATATATAGTGATATGGAAAATATATGTCTATAGGAGGCTAGAAAAGATTGCATTACAAAATTGGTTCGACAAGAAGAAAATTTTCTTTTCGACGAAAATTCTCTTTTTCTTATTCAATGGCATTATGATGTGTTTTCCTCTTTTACAAGTGATCGATTACTAGGTAGTGGCTGACATCATGCTTGTTTTTTATACTGATTGGATTATGCGGTTCATGATGAAATGTTGAGTTGATGTGTGATTAGAAGTAGCAGTCAAGAAACTTTAAAACTAGGTTTAATACGATTTGTTAGTGTTCAGTTAGGTATACTAGTACTCTGGAGGGGACTGATACATACTGTGGATTTCTAGTCTAGTTGCGTTAGCGTCACGGCTTTTGATATTACCACTGTGGTTGTTCGTTCACAACTGACTTACTGTATGTATGGCTGAAGTATTTGTAAATGGGAAATCACCGAGTAGTGACCAAAGTCATGTTAGTTTATTCTCTAGTGTCTATTGACTTCTAACGGTTCACGGTCCCATGGAGACTACTTCTAACCTCCGCCTAGACATTAATGAAATTGATTGATTATTTCCTTTCTGTATTGAATATAATGATTTATCAATTTAGTCATTGTTCTCATTTTCTTCATGAGATTATTCAGATTAGCCGTTTTTTGGCTAATGTATCTTGTACATTTACGGATTAATCGATAGAATGTACCACAATTAAATTTTGTTATTTTATCAGTTCAAGTCTAATAATCTCAAGATTCCATTGTCTTCAGTAGCCTATAACAATCGATTCATTGTGAATGAGTATAGGTAAATCTCGTGTCTGTGTCATTTTATTTCAACATCAAATGATAGATAAGATTTTAAAAACGAGTTATGCCATATGTTGAGGTTAATTATGTGCGTTCTCAAAGTCTCATCCACCATGTCTTTGACTGGGTCAGAAATAAAAGTTGTATATATGCCTATGATTTGAATACAATGTGATTCACTAGGGTAATTGAATTTTCCTACTCATTTCAGTTTACTCTACTACATATAGGATTTAATTTACCGTAGGAAGTATTTATCATAACTGAATCGAACCACAAAATGCAACACATTCACTATTCAAAAAATTAATTTAACCAAACGCAAAATGAATGAAGGAAATTCACAACTTACCTAATACATGATTACCGTAATTCTTTGAAATTTTTAAATGTCTTGCATATCGTGGAATCACGTATAGCATACGATATTCTTCATTCAATGGAACTAAGATGGATTACAACAGGAAACTAATTAGGATTTTTCCCAATTAATGAATGAATAACGGAAATGCTTACAAAGCAGATAGCTGATGAAGTGGGCGACTCAAAAATTTACAAATGAAAAGGCCATGTTGTCCTAACCAAAAATCTCCTGATTATAAGTGCATATGATTGACTGGTTGAATGATTACTTTTATAAGAAGCTTAAGTATCAGTATCAGTCTGAGTTACCTCAATGTATTATGGAACATTTTAACATTATCCGATTACCAACTTTTTTGTGATGTGACTAAAAGCTTTCATCTAGAGAGATGAACAAGATCTATTGTACGTGTTACTGACTAATAAATGAAGTCAATAACCAGTTATCGAAGTTGAGAAACATCCTAGTTAGTAGATTTAGATCTCAAAGAAAATCCATCATAAACCAAAATTACTGGTGGTCTAGCTTCAATTGACTCATGATTTCAACTTTGAAATATACTGAAATCTCCACAAATCCCCTTCTGATTATAATCATATGCTCACTAGTGACTGACTTCAAGATACATGTCCTGGAGTTCTAGTGGGAAGCAGTGACCAGTGGAGTTCAACCACGTCTGTTGGATGCCGGCCAGCTCAGTGGTCTATCGGTTAAGGGCTCTGGCTCGTAACTGGTAGGTCCTGGGTTCGAATCTCGCGAGTGCGAGATCGTGGGTGCGCACTGCTGAGGAGTCCCATAATAGGACGAAACGGCCATCCAGTGCTTCTAGGTTTTCAATGGTGGTCTAGCTTCAATTGACTCATGATTTCAACTTTGAAATATACTGAAATCTCCACAAATCCCCTACTGATCAAAATTACTGATTTAAAGGTCAAATAATTTACACGTAAAAGTCTATCCTATAGAAATTGTTAGGGTAATGAAATTATTAAATAACATTGATCGATTCATGATCTTAATCAAAAACTTAATAATCTCCACAATTGCATAATGATAATTATCATGTGCTGATGTGTGGGCGAGAATGATAATGATTGGTTGTCTCGATGAGTCAGACATTAGAGGGGATGACAGGTGTTATGTTATATATATTTCCCTATCCTTATTATGTATTGACTGTTCCTTGTTGGACACTTATTGATTAACTGTCCTTTGTGTCGGATTTTCGTGTGGAAATATATTGACGTCATAGTCAGGCTAATCTGGTGTTCTTGATCTGAGTTCTGTTGAAGTCCTGTAGAATAGACACTGGGTGGGAATCTAGTGTAGATATTCGTCTAAGATAAATTAACGTCCCACATACGTGTAAGAAGTAAAAGGACTGTTATAACCAGAAACCCCTAAAGTTATAACCAGCATCCTCTCTCTCTCTCTACGTTTATAACAATTGGCGACGGCATACATACGTTTATAACATGTGCTCATTAGTGATGGAAACTGAACTTGTAGAACTACTTACATAAAATAACAATAATTATTAAATAATTGACTTATCATATATTTAGTAGGAATATGTTCCTCGTATTGTAAACTTACTTTTTTGACACAATTTGTTATTATACAACTTTCCTAAATTATTGTCAACTAATTAGTTACTTCAATTATTTTTGCTATTCACCAGTCATATTATCAGTCAAATAAAGGTCTATGATCTGAAAGACTTTGAAGCGTACACATTATTAGTAACCTTTTTCATAAAACAAACTAATTATTACACACCCTCTAACAGGAAAAAAAAGAATAACCAAAAATTTTTTTTAAAATGCATTTTATGTGTATCTTGCTGTCCGGATAAATAATCAGTAAATTTGAACATTCAGAACAGCCCTATCTGAATTTATCGTTTATATTGTATTGTAATGTATTCTTGTATTCTCCTATTTGTAGGCTTTTTGTTAACACGGAAATCATTGATATGTTTTACATTTGACAAATTATTGTTAATTTATTATAGGCCTACTAATCAGTTCTCTTCCAATTACAACTTAATTATGTTCACTTTTTTTTTATTTCTTATTTCTGTCGCCGTACTGTCAAGGCTTTCGCTCTATATTATTTTATGAGTGATCCATAAGTTAGAATTGTATAATTAGTTGTCTGCTTTCTGGGTATTTCTCTATTTTAGCTATCTGGCGAGTAAACCAATGATGATTTACTCTTACTTCTGGCTATTACCTCATTGGTTAGCCGAAGTTTATTGGTATTAGATACATAGTCTAGGCGAGTTAATCAATACTCGGAATAGATTTATACAACTGTTCTCCTTTCTTACGGTTCAATCCCACGGGCCCTAGATAACTAAACAAGAAAATATGTTGATTTTCAGCAGCATCAAAAGTGTAAGATAGACCCAGTCAAAGTATAGATTTCTTATGGACCTGATATACCTCACTGGAATTCCATTACCATTGTTTGTAAACCATTAATATAAACTCTTATCAGTTAAATATAAATAAAATGAACATTGGATAAACCGATGTCATAATACTGGAATATTATTTGAAATTGGTGGAAAACGTTCATTGTGACAAAACTTTTAATTTTTCAGTTTTTGAATTTTTCTCATGATGTAACATTGACAGAAGTGTCACCAAAGTAAGATAATGCATCTGATCAAATGTTTCCACTAAAATTCTGTCATTATCGAAAGTTTTCAATACGTGCTTTGTAAAAGTTCACAATGTCTAATATGTATATTGAAACCAGAAGGGGTTTTGTGGAGAATTCAGTATTTTCATAGTTGAAATCATGAGTCAATTGAAGTCCCATAATAGGATGAAACGGCTGTCCAGTGCTTCCAGATTTTCCATGGTAGTCTGGCTTCGATTGACTCATGATTTCAATTATGAAAATATTGAAACTATTCAAATTCATTGGAAGTGATGGCCATATAAAAAGAAAAAAACTGAATGTATACATTGTTTCCGGTAAGGAGTGTTCAGATTAACTAGTTTTCTTATTGATAAATAACAGTCCTAACCATTAAGGAGTACCATGGTAACACATTTTATATTCATACGTCTACAGTAATTTCGCCCTTATCTGATTGGTTGTTATCACTTTTTGTTTGTTGAGTTTGTTGTATCTCAAGGTTAATGTATATTAGTAATCATACATATGAAGCTATACATTCTTAGTTAGGATTTAAGATGTTGGTTGGAGGGGGTCACTAAGAGACCCTAGACCCGGGTTTCGTGCTACATGATACGCGTCAGCATGGTGTACCTGTAATCTTGAGGGAACTGGTGCTCACCGACTGTCTCGATCCCGTGTCACCCAGCTTCACAGTCAGAGACGTTACCACTGAGCTATTCGGGCCGCCACTGACCTCCTGAAAGACTGATATGTAATCACAATTGATTGATCACCAACCAGTAATCAATCAATTGTGATTAGTTCAGTTGTTATTAGTTTTCTAAACTCTTATGTTTCACCTGGATTCCATAACATTAGGATAACTGTTGAAACGTCATGTATCTATCACCTGATCTATAGAGTTCACATTAGTTCCTGTTTATATTAAAAGTATATCAATCGTTCGTAAAACAGAAAAAAAATACTTACGAACTCTTTGAATTCTATGTTGTATAAAAGTACAAGTTGAATTATTCCCCTGGCAAACTCCACATTGATCTCTTCTAGCAGTGCCATTTACCTGACCAAGACAGTCGAAATTCTATACAGAAAAACATTAAATGACTTTTCAGTTATAAAATATTACATTTCATAGTTTAAATCATGAATCGATCTTAGCTAGACTATCATTGAAAACCGAGAACCACTGGATGGATATTTCACTCTATTATGAGAATTATCGATAGTGCATATCCACGATCCTGCGATTGGGGGTCAAACCTAGGATCTTCAGTCTCGCATTATTGAAATCTTCGAGGAAAAGTATTTCGACTTTAAGCTCACAACGAATTAATTTGTATCACTTATATGGGAGTTATGTATATAATTAGAAATATAATTCGAAGGTATCCATACACCGATTAAAAAGTACATTAATCTTGAAGGTTTTGGTTAATCAATTGAAGCTAGACCACCATGAAAACCTGGAAGCACTGGACGGCCGTTTCGTCCTGTTGTGGGACTCTTCAGCAGTGCGCATCCACGATCCCGCCTAGAGAGATTCGAACCCAGAACCTATCAGTTTCGCTTACGAGTGATTAACCTCTAGACCAATGAGTCGACCGGCATCCAATGGTGATAATGTCTAAAATATTTCTTTGGAGAACAAATTGCTAACAAGAGATCAGAATTTTTTGGTTTTTTCTTATTACACGTTAGTTGGTTATTTAGAAAATAACCTCGATCAAATTTCCTGAACTTATATTTCCATAATAACATATGTTGTTACGTGATTGGTTATCATCACTTTTAATTTCATAATTGTGTTGTGTACCCAAAGTCACTACATGTTACTATAAAGATAGAGTTGCTCCTTTACACATTTAACTTCGGTACAAAAAATGAATTTATGCCGACAGTCCAGTCTTCTCTATTAGTAGTATGAATTAATAACATTGAAGTGTGTGATAATCATCCAGCTTATTCGATTTCCTATTCGTTGCGTTATATTCGAAGAATTATTGACCAACTGAAAATTTAATACATTTCAAATATCTAACATTAACAAAATCTAATGACATTTAGTCATTAATATCAATAACGAGAAACTGCAGCTTCATCATAACGTCAAAGATGAAATGCTCTAGAGTTACACGAATAAGCTCTGATATCATTCATGTTTACAATTTACAATAGACAACGCTATTTTCAAATTTCATTTATCAATGTAATAAGTTTGTATACGAGGTATCATTACTTACAATACAAACTGATTGTATACAACGTGCATCAGGATTATCATATGTACATGGCGTTGAATCTCTAACTGACATTGATGCATCAAGAATTTGACCACTTTGTAATGAATAACAACTTAAACTACATGGTCCTTGGAAATGTGAAAAGAAAATACAGAGAAATATCAATAAGTAAACAAAACGACTTAAGTTTTCGAATGCAAAATAAGAGTTACGATGAATTGTTAATGGTTTAGTGGTAAATTCAAAAAAACTGATAAGCTAGTCACCTTCTAATGTACCAGTTTATCTAAAGTGGAATAACCATGTTAAATGTATTTAGAATACGAACGAAGAATATTCTTTTCAATAAATTCTCTCCAGGTTCTACAATTATATGTGTAAATTCACAGGCTATAACTTTACACGATACACTTTGCCTTCAACCTGGCCACTATTCGGAATATTAATTTGGATATATAATTGTAAAACCTGTGGGCAATTTATTGGAAACAATATTCTTCGTTCATTTATCTGTGTTTTAATTAAAGTAGCTTATACGTGCCTGTATGTGCACATGTGGGTATGTGTGTGTCTAGATAATGAAGCCAATAACTACTATGCTCTGATATGCAATAGTAACGATTCCTGATATGTCGTTATACTATCACATCATATTCCATTATATCTCGTACTAATATTTACTGAATGAATTCATACAGAGAAAGGCATCACAATTGACGAGCGGGTATACATGGAAGACCTAACAATGAAAGCGGGAAAAGCTACAAGAAAAGGAATTGTGAAACAATTATGTGATACAACAAACAAATCAACAGGAAAATATAGTAAACCAGAGCGACCGGTCAAAAACAAAGAAAGCAAGCACTGAGATTCAGGAACAGAGGAACATGTGGGTAGAACATATAGAACTCTTGAATAGACCAGCCACACTGAACCCACCGGACAACGAAGCAACATACACAGATATATCTATAGATGTTACGCATTCAACACTAGAGGGAATCTGAATGACCATCAGACAAATCAAGAATGAGAAAGTGAAAGGATTTGACAACACACTAGTTTAAGTACTGAAGTCAGGCATACTAGTAACTGCAAACATGCTCCATATTCTATTCAGGAAGATTCGAGAGGAGGAACAAGTTCTGACAGATTGAAGAGAAGGATGCTTCATTAATATACCGAAGGAAGGAGATTGGACCAAGTGTGATAACTCATATGTAAAGGCATCACACTACTATTGATACCAGGAAAAGTTTTCAACAGAGTTTTGTTGAACCGATTGGGAAATTCAGTAGACGTTCAACTTTGAGATCAACAGGTCAAATTCCACAAGGATCGCTCGAGCACAGACCAAATCGTGACACTACAGATTACTACTGAACAATCAATCGAATGAAACTCGTCACCATACAACAACTTCCTCGACTATGAGAAAGCATTTGACAGTGTAGATGGTTGAACCTTATGGGACCTTCTTTGACAATAGGGCATACTTGATAAAATTGTCACTATCATACAGAACTCTCACTACTGACTACATTGCAAAGTATGCAATACCAATTGACTGCATACAGGATTCATTTACTATACATTAAACTTCATTCAACTTTGACCGTTCTCTGGGTTACATTTTTTCCTTTAAAAGCATATATATATATATATATATATATATATATATATATATATATATATATATAATCTGAACAGAGAAATGAGAAGACAAATTTTGTGAGATAGTACCATTTCGTGCTTTCTCGTCAGTCACATACAAGCAACATGTTATTCGTGTAAATACAGTTTTGAAGATAAGGTCAAAATTTCTTATTTAGCATGACATTCACTAACTAGAACCATGGTAAACAAAGGTCAACGTACAGTTGTTTTTGAACACATAAAGTTGAATAATATAGGATCACGTCGATTTTATTTTAATAATTTTTTTTTGTCCCCCTTAATCAAAAAATTTTCATCCCATTTTCCAATTTTTTTCAATCCCTTTCGTCCAATGAAATTCCTAGTTGTAAATGCGTTGTAATTGGTTATGTAATTCTTGAAATTCGTATAAAAGCTCTGTACTTATCGATATAGATAATTTTCTTCACAATATGGACGTCAGTAACGTGCAAATTCGAGGCTCTGTTGTTCCTCACGTAGTCACAGAAGCGGAAAATGTATTTTTGAATACATTCTATCTGGTAGCGTTTCCATCACTGGAAGCGTTAAAGAGCGCAATTAGAACTTATGAAATAGCAACGTACTGCCATTATGCGGTGAGAGATTCTCATTTCCATGGAGATCGGAAGCCGTATATTAAATTTGTATGTTGGAGAAAGAGCTATAAAACACCAAGCGGTTCTTCGCAGCGGATTAGACGAAGGAGGTAATTTGATTAGTGTTATTATATTGTTCATTGAGGACTTCAATGGACACACAATGTCCGGCCTTCATCTTTTGTAAGTTTCTTGAAGGTTATTGGACTGTTGTTCGTGGGAATGTGCATCACAATCACGAGTGCAATTCCTTGAGGTACGACTGTAACACATGGATGCGACGATTAACGGGAGCGGAATTGGAATCAGTGAAGCCACTGCTGATATCTGGGACATCAGCATTCAATGTGATACACTACGCTTACCAATCAGATGGGAAACGTCTTACAGCTCAAGATGTTTTCAATATGCATTATAAAGTGTTCTCACAGGCCAACCTTCCTGGTAAGCAATGTGCATATTTATACTATTAACTGTAGGTGATTACGGTAAGTTGAAAAATCACATCACGTCACTTGGTGGCCTTTGTGATTATCAATTGGATGCAGATCATAGTCTGTTGTACTTCTTCTTCGCTACAGCAGACCAGATCAATCTGTGTAACAGGTTTTTAGATGTTGTTGGTTTTGATGGGACATACAAAACCAATAATGAAAACATGTTTCTTTATCACGTGGTGGCTCTGGACATGAATTTCATGGCAATACCTGTTTGTATTGCATTTGTAAGTCGCGAAACATCGACTTTGCTGTCCAGTTTCCTCTCGTTCTTCCGCCAAATGAGTAACAATAGAGAGGTTATCGGTATTGTTACCGACGATTCACCTGCTATAGCCGCTGCCATAACGCAGGTGTATCCCAATTCACACCACCTTTTGTGCCGCGTGCACCTTCTTCGAAATGTCATCAAGAGGGTAAGCTTTCCTTTCTTTACAAATAACCCATTCATCGTATTCGTAGAGGCTACGATCTGATCTTCTTCAAATGTTCTACCGTCTTATGCTAACAAGAAATGTGGAAAGGTAAATCGAAATATGCTTTACAATGTATTGTAGCTTCCAACGGTATGCGTCATTTATCGAAGCAGCAGACGGGAATTTCTATCAATATTTGAGAGATCAGTTATTGTCCAAAAAGCACAAGTGGTCGAACGCTTTTAGACCAGCTGCAATGCTTCTAGATCAAAGCAATACAAATTTCGTTGAGACGACCCATCGAATTTTAAAGTTGCATAAGCTGAACAGAAAAACACCCGTGTTCAGATCGATATTTAGTGTTCTGCTTCGCACTGGATATTGGATAGAAGCTAGAGTTCAAAAGTACTCCACTGAATGCCGTAGCAGGGCTGTGCTGGGTCGCGAGCCTCAACTACGTCGTCTTCAGGAAACACTTACACCTGCTGCATGTAAACTGCTTAAGCGGCACATGCGCATTCCTGTTACTGACTACGTATTGTCGGGGGAGTTTTTCACGGCCGTTGATACTATAGGAACTTACACAGTCTCCAAAAATCCTATTAGTTGTTCCTGTTTCTTTTATATAGAACACAGAGTCGTATGTCGTCACATCTTGGCATATTGTTCGCACGATAATGTCGAAGTTCACAGAGAAAGCATTGGTGACAGATGGCTGCATTCCAACAGCTTCGTAACCACAGTAACGATTGGCAATGAGTTACCGGTACAAGTCGGGCAGACAAACGTCCAAACATCGATTCACTACTTGTGTCGGCGTATGTCTGCTGAACAGCATACCGCTCTACTTAACTATGCTCATCAGTTGCTTAACGATGGAATACCTACTACCATCACAATGCCCGTCGTCCGAAATACCACAGGCACCAACCGTAAACAGAACGTAGATTTGGATGCTACCTTAAATGATGACGAAATTGAAGTAATATCTATGAACTCGGTCTCTACACAGCTCCTTCGGTCCTGATCGATGACTCCACTATGAGTCCGTGACAGTGCCGCACATGGGACAGTTGAACCCAGATGATACTTCTGTTGGGTCGTAGGCACAGAACGAATGAAACATAGCGTTGCATGGACAAAAAATCCAAGCACTTCCATCAGCTAGTTCACTGGGCGGCTGACATAGATGGCAAATATCACACAGTCGGTCATTGTGCGCACGTTCGTCTTCTTCATTGTCTCGGTCCGTAAACTCTTTTGAGTTCATAGATATTACTTCAATTTCGTCATCATTTAAGGTAGCATCCAAATCTACGTTCTGTTTACGGTTGGTGCCTGTGGTATTTCGGACGACGGGCATTGTGATGGTAGTAGGTATTCCATCGTTAAGCAACTGATGAGCATAGTTAAGTAGAGCGGTATGCTGTTCAGCAGACATACGCCGACACAAGTAGTGAATCGATGTTTGGACGTTTGTCTGCCCGACTTGTACCGGTAACTCATTGCCAATCGTTACTGTGGTTACGAAGCTGTTGGAATGCAGCCATCTGTCACCAATGCTTTCTCTGTGAACTTCGACATTATCGTGCGAACAATATGCCAAGATGTGACGACATACGACTCTGTGTTCTATATAAAAGAAACAGGAACAACTAATAGGATTTTTGGAGACTGTGTAAGTTCCTATAGTATCAACGGCCGTGAAAAACTCCCCCGACAATACGTAGTCAGTAACAGGAATGCGCATGTGCCGCTTAAGCAGTTTACATGCAGCAGGTGTAAGTGTTTCCTGAAGACGACGTAGTTGAGGCTCGCGACCCAGCACAGCCCTGCTACGGCATTCAGTGGAGTACTTTTGAACTCTAGCTTCTATCCAATATCCAGTGCGAAGCAGAACACTAAATATCGATCTGAACACGGGTGTTTTTCTGTTCAGCTTATGCAACTTTAAAATTCGATGGGTCGTCTCAACGAAATTTGTATTGCTTTGATCTAGAAGCATTGCAGCTGGTCTAAAAGCGTTCGACCACTTGTGCTTTTTGGACAATAACTGATCTCTCAAATATTGATAGAAATTCCCGTCTGCTGCTTCGATAAATGACGCATACCGTTGGAAGCTACAATACATTGTAAAGCATATTTCGATTTACCTTTCCACATTTCTTGTTAGCATAAGACGGTAGAACATTTGAAGAAGATCAGATCGTAGCCTCTACGAATACGATGAATGGGTTATTTGTAAAGAAAGGAAAGCTTACCCTCTTGATGACATTTCGAAGAAGGTGCACGCGGCACAAAAGGTGGTGTGAATTGGGATACACCTGCGTTATGGCAGCGGCTATAGCAGGTGAATCGTCGGTAACAATACCGATAACCTCTCTATTGTTACTCATTTGGCGGAAGAACGAGAGGAAACTGGACAGCAAAGTCGATGTTTCGCGACTTACAAATGCAATACAAACAGGTATTGCCATGAAATTCATGTCCAGAGCCACCACGTGATAAAGAAACATGTTTTCATTATTGGTTTTGTATGTCCCATCAAAACCAACAACATCTAAAAACCTGTTACACAGATTGATCTGGTCTGCTGTAGCGAAGAAGAAGTACAACAGACTATGATCTGCATCCAATTGATAATCACAAAGGCCACCAAGTGACGTGATGTGATTTTTCAACTTACCGTAATCACCTACAGTTAATAGTATAAATATGCACATTGCTTACCAGGAAGGTTGGCCTGTGAGAACACTTTATAATGCATATTGAAAACATCTTGAGCTGTAAGACGTTTCCCATCTGATTGGTAAGCGTAGTGTATCACATTGAATGCTGATGTCCCAGATATCAGCAGTGGCTTCACTGATTCCAATTCCGCTCCCGTTAATCGTCGCATCCATGTGTTACAGTCGTACCTCAAGGAATTGCACTCGTGATTGTGATGCACATTCCCACGAACAACAGTCCAATAACCTTCAAGAAACTTACAAAAGATGAAGGCCGGACATTGTGTGTCCATTGAAGTCCTCAATGAACAATATAATAACACTAATCAAATTACCTCCTTCGTCTAATCCGCTGCGAAGAACCGCTTGGTGTTTTATAGCTCTTTCTCCAACATACAAATTTAATATACGGCTTCCGATCTCCATGGAAATGAGAATCTCTCACCGCATAATGGCAGTACGTTGCTATTTCATAAGTTCTAATTGCGCTCTTTAACGCTTCCAGTGATGGAAACGCTACCAGATAGAATGTATTCAAAAATACATTTTCCGCTTCTGTGACTACGTGAGGAACAACAGAGCCTCGAATTTGCACGTTACTGACGTCCATATTGTGAAGAAAATTATCTATATCGATAAGTACAGAGCTTTTATACGAATTTCAAGAATTACATAACCAATTACAACGCATTTACAACTAGGAATTTCATTGGACGAAAGGGATTGAAAAAAATTGGAAAATGGGATGAAAATTTTTTGATTAAGGGGGACAAAAAAAAATTATTAAAATAAAATCGACGTGATCTTAATGTTTTTCTATATTTTATAGACAATTAATCCTTTTAGCACTTAATAAGTCAAGATTGAAAACTGACTCCATCTCTAAAGGTCATACTTGTATTAGTTCGATCGATTCCTAGTGAGGTCATTGATTTATTTTTCTGAAGAGTCCTAAACTATGAGGATGAATTTGTCCAATGTTCTCTATTAGTCGAACTTCAATCAGTCAGTGAAGTGAGATTTTAAACAATATGCAGAATGTCATATTATTTCATACAAACCTATTGTAGAAATGACTTACTTTGAGAATAAATATAAGGTAACCATTTATGATATATTCCTCTTAATTTAAATTGATCAAATCGTGAACATTGTTCTTCCCGATAATCTATGGATTTTAAATTATCTTCATCCTAAAAAAAAATTCAATCATATACATAGAAACAATAATTAAATGTTTTCAATGAAACAACTTAAAGGCGGTCTGCTTAAATATCTGAGCTACCTGTTCCTACCATCTAGATATTTCAACAACTTATCTAATTTTGTTTGTTTTAATACATCATTATGACTATTAAACGTATAACCTATTCAAGTGCATCTCTAAAAAAAATGTACAGATTTTCGTTGTACAAGTTACAAATGCTCTATCAGAGATATCGTGGTTGCTGGTAACATACAGCTAAAAGAATGTACATTACTTAGATGTTGATTGACTGGATTGCTAACTTCTAACTGGAGATCACTCAATATTTGTTGTCAGGATTGATCAAGAAGTAAGAAACGGAAACTTGTTGAAATGCATTGTGCTGAGAATTTTATATTGTACCAAAAATATAATATTAAATAAAGCTAATGATAATAGTAGTAATGATTTGAAATTCAGTGAATAGTTAATCCAAGACATCGTAATTGGTTAAAATGAATGGAGAATCGGAAAGTGATATTCCATTACAATGTTTCATTAATTATGATTCGCAAATGTGTATTCTACTTAACATAGAAATCAATCAATTTAAATAAAGCTACCTTTTGGATTATAAGGTACATATTAATGAATAAATCATGAGATGATGACCAGTAGAAATGAATGATTTTACTGAAAGAAACAGGTTTAGTGGTCCTAATGATAAAATGTTTGCCAGGTGACAGTTAACTGACTTTAAGTTTGTTTTCTTTATCTTCAACGGTACATTTTGAGTGCATGACCGTGATCAGTTTAAGTGTCATCGAAATGTGTGCCCTATAAGTTAAATTGTACAGTGTTTCTCACTGAAATAAGTAAAGATATAACATGCTGAAAAAGAAATTATTTTTGGCTGTAACCATGATCGAACTTGAATCTAAACTACTGATAGAGTGATAACTGGAGCATATTTTTACTAAAAAGATAATCTCTGAACAAATTGTTGGTTTTTATATCTATCTTAATAATAATCGATTATATTACATTATTGGACAATAGATTTGAGAAGTGGATAAAGGAAAAGATGTGAAAAGCTATTCACTAATGTGAGGGCAGATGTAAAAATAAATTAAAACTACAGTTGTTATAATGTTATTCATCTTAACCGCGACGAGAAACAGACCAAAGAGTACACTGTGTCGGGAATCGGATGCAGACATCAGAAGAACGAATAACACTTGGAAACGATTAGAAACGACAACCCAGGCTGAAGAAGATTGAAGAATCCTAGTTGGTGGCTTATAACCCATTAGGGGTGACAGGGGCAAGGTACTAAGTATTTATGTTCACCAAGAAACCGAAAGGTCTAAGGTTTGACTCCTGATGAACAAGTGGATGCACATAGTTGAGGATTTTCATATCAGAATGAAATACCTGCCTAGTGTTTCCTGATTTCCAGTGTTATCTTCACTGAGATTGAATGCAGTCTACTAATTGGACCAATCTTGAATAAAACTGCTTCAACTAGATTGATACAAACTATATTTTTTTATTCATAATGATATCAGTGTAAAGATAACGACTTACTGTGTTTTTACCGCATAATTCATATTCAAACATACTCTCATTATCATTGAATTCACATTTGTTTTGATTTCTTCCATAGTTGAATAGATTAAGCAAAACAAAAATCACATGTTAAAGGTAATTTTTTCCAAAAGAAATAAATAACTAAGATTGTCATAGTTGAAAGCGTGAGTCAATTGAAGCTAGACCATCATAGAAAACCTGGAAGCACTGGACGGCCGTTTCGTCCTATTATGGGACTCCTCAGCAGTGCGCATCCACGATCCACGATCGTCCTAATATTTTTCAATGTTCAACAAGTGTACTGAATCCTGCACTTTCAGTGTTTATCTAATGCAGATTACTGGATAGAATCTGTACTCACTCACCAAAGTGAACTGAAAAATAACTAAACATACTAGACATAGCACAATTATTGAACATCGAAAGCATTGTGGGAAACTTCGGTTAAAAATACTACCTGAAACTTTAACAATTACTCACCTAAATTGAAAACAAACATTGACATATTTAAACAAATGTCAGTAAGCCGATGTATTAGGCGAATATGTGAGAATTCAAAACTTTTCGCTAGATAAGGAGAGTATGGAGAGAAATGATCGAACGAATATATCTCCCAACAGCAATCAGTGCAACCTTGCATGTTAAGCTTACTGTAAACCATGAAGTTACAAAATATTAGTTTCAGGTTAATGGTGGATAAACTGCCACTGATCTGTTAAGTTGAATTTATTGCCAATTCTAAACCACTTGATTACTCACCTTGTCAGAACTTTTGACTATAGAGTTTTTGTATAACGACTTCACTGATGCTAATCGAACCAATGACCTAATGACAGTCATCAGTGACTAAGAAATCCTAACATACATTGGTGTACGAGCTATTTCTCTCGTTAGTGGCTACCAAGAAGACAAAGATAGCGGTCGGAATACCGGTATTGTTAAAACTCTTTATATATTGATTATACGGCCAAAACTTACCATAAATAAGAAATCACAATGTATTGATCATTAAGTTATACATGCTGCAAAACTGAGCAGTAGGGCCACAATTAATTAATGATAATTTTGGAAATGTAAAATGTATATCAACAATGTAAGGTGGTTCATGAGTAGTCTAAAAGAAACCCTGCTTAATCTAGGCTTCGAATTAGTCGCCACCAAGGTATGTCTGTAGTCTTAATGAAACTGATGAGCTCTGGTAGATTTGATTTATCATATAAAATACGATGTTAAGTATGATGACTATGTATCATACTTCTCAAAAACAGACTATTCAGTATATAACGAAAGAAAATAGTCCTTAACCAATCAACTGAAAATGACATTACACTAGATAGTTACTTTAAGAACAAGTTTCCATTACAAAGCATAGACATTTAGATTTCATGCGGATAAAGCTACTATATGAAGTCACTGGATCAGAATCAATCGGTTTGATTTTTTTTTAAACTAAAGACAGTTTTTGATATTATATTACTGTTATTCATAGTTTAGAATGCCGTTTACCGTATACTTTATATGATTAATGCTTTGGGTGATCCGTGACTCGTCAATGTGTGAAAATAGACATGTATAGATATGGAAATAAAAAGGAATATTTTATGCACAACTCTGATTCATTCGAGATAAATACTTTGGTTTCGAGGATGTGCTGACTGTTTATATTTGTATTAGTAAACCGTTGCCCATCTAATCTGTTTCTTAATCATTTGTCAGATATTGTGAAACCGTGTGTGCCTCGTTAGTATAACGTAGTGATCCATCGAGTGTCGAGTCCAGTTATGAGTTTGATTATTGTGTGGATCAAACCGCATTATCTATTATCAACTGCATAATAGCGAAAAATCAAGATTTGCAAAGTAATTACAAGAATATGTAAAAGACTGATCACTCACAATCGTAAACATCACAGAGAAGATCCAAACAACACATACATACAAATAATACGTATTTTCATACACCTAGTTCCCTTTATAATTTTGAAAAGAGCAAGAACCAACAAAATAAAATGAATTCATGCTATTCTGCTAGAATCTTTGTTCTTGCTCTTTTCATAATACGTATTTGTTGGGAAAAATTCCTTACTCTATATTCTTTATAGTATAAATTTGTCTAGTTAATAAATTATTCAGTGTTACTAACCTATTAGAGCATTTTCGTGTACGATAACGTGTACCGATCCCATTGGTTCGTGAACAAGCTGACCAGGATGTATACTGATTTGATCTTTGATTGATTTCTAGTTTCTGAGGATTCAAATCGATGCATTCACCATGGAAGCATTCCTAAAAGAAGAAAATGATGTTAAAACTAATCACTCTAATATTACATGTACAAAGTTTTATGCTTTATCACACGGAATCAGTCCAAAACTTCATGTTAAATACAAACAACAAATTGAAATCAAACTTCAGTATGATCCAAGATTAGTATAATGCTTGTATCAATTGACAGACAGAAAAGTGATAAAGCTATTTTGATAAAACATTTATTTAAAGTGTGATTAATAAATGAACCCTCCAATTATGAAATTAAACACCAATCACAGTGATTTACTTCGATTTCGGTGAAAATATACTTTATAAGCAGAGATGGGTGGTAACCATCAGTGTCCGAATTATACTAAGTTATAATATCATTTACTCATCTGGTTGGTTATCGAATCTGAGTATCATTGGAGCAGGGAGCTATTAACATTAATTGATAAATAACTTAATTCATGTATACGATTTGGAACGTCAATAGATTAGACCACTCTAACGAATAAAATTAAATTACTGAGTTATCTGTTTGTTACTTCCTAACAAGTTTATCATAAGAGTGGACTAAAAATCAACCCCGTTACCACTCTAATGTAACCACATGGTCAAAATTTCAACTTGTCTTGATAAAGATCTAAAACATGTGAGTGACCTAGATTTTATCGATTGAACTTTGGACTAAAATAAATTTCACATACGTGTCTGTCTTACTAAAAGTGTTGCTCAAGGTCATTTGTAGAAATATTAAATTGTCAAATCGATTTTCTTACGTAAATCAATGTATGAGAGACAGACAGGTAAAAAGCGAGAATGGAATGTATGATCACAAATACTGATGGTAGTTTTCCGGCCACAATCTTGTAACAGATTCAACACTTTCTGTTCATTTTGTGTATAAAATAACTTCTAACGATTCTTCAACTTGAAATTATCCAATACACTTTATTCAACCACAAAACTAACATAAAGTGTCGGGTGTGTGGAACAAAGTCACTGTCTGATAACTTTAGCCAAAACACTTGGAATAAATACTATCTCTCTTAAATGATGAGTTCTATGCCAGTTCTGGTAACAATTAACATATTAAACACATTTAATCCACTGAATCAAATTTAACGACTTCTCCAAAATATTTCACACCTATATGAAGGCTTTAAATATCTTATTTTTTGTACACTATGGGTACTTCAAGTATTTTAGTAATTCAACAGGTTCTTTGTTGTAACCGTGTCATCTCAGCCTTGTTCACTTCCTCACTGCTTATACTTGAAATTAGGAACCCAGTCCAATTCCCAAGACAAAAAGTCAGAAGATGGAAGACTAATATAACTGAAAAGAGTTTCAATCAGCTAATTTCTGCTAAAGCAATATGGCTAACTGTACATTGCGTCGTAAAAGTATAATTTTGAACATCCATTCAAAATGGTTTGTGCTTCGTTAATTGCAAATTATCAAGTCAAATAATGCACAAATTACAGGTAATTAAGTCATTTACATAGCCAACTAAACGTGTATTTGTAGATGCATAAAGAAACATTTTAATACCCAAGTTAACCACTCGTCTGTTTTAAGATATTTATAATCATTCCATTCAATTTTTATCAATGTGAATCAGCGTTCCCAATCACCAGTGTATAAATATCAGCCGTACACTTTGCTATCACCATATCCATATGAATTTTATGATGGAACGAAATAGAAAACTTAGTAATTTAGTTACAAATGTACATATTGTAACGTTATCTATAATGCCAAAATGCTCTGTAGCCATTTGGGTAAATACAACTGGGGATATTTGATTAGTTCATTCAGAAATTGTAATACCACTAGGTTAACGTTTGCTTCAGAATAGGGGGTTTAAGGTTTAGATATAGCATTAGTATCGATTTGCCGGCAAGACTATAATTTATGGACGAGCCAATCAGAGGCGCTCCAGGGATTTCTAGGTCACAGCGCCGATTTCAGTGCCTGATGCTCATGTACGATCGGTTCACAGAGAATTTTAGAGAAGACTTGACAATTAAGCGGTTACAACAACTACTACTAAGAAGTTCCTGTATTTGTGATTGCGGGTATTAAATGACTTGTAGACCCTGTGCAGACCACCGTGATATTGTCCTTCGATGTAGCATATTTTGAAGGAAGACGTTTGCTAGCATAGGAACCTTTATTGCTCGATCCAGATTGAGACTAAGGCATATTATAATAATTGCCACCAACTGTGTAATAAAAGCACCAGTATTATTGGCTGTAATAATCGCAGATGTTACCGAAGCTTCGGCTGTTCAGTGGTATGAGTGTTTTAGGGACATATCCATAATAAAAATGATGAACTTACACAACCGGAGTACCCACAACAATTTTGAAGCTATGTGGTGGAGGCTGAGAGGTTTTTTTGACCTATTCATGATTCCAGAGACCAACTATTATGGAACCATATGGATGTGTTACTCTACCTTATGCATTACGGTTTGGGAACCTTTGAACATTTCTCTAGCCTTGACAAGTTTTTGGACCATACAAAAGAGGTGTATTCACTTTAATTCTGTGGTTTTGTATAATATATTTTTACTCTATGCTGTCTGTTTACTGATTGGCTGATATTTCTCAAGGTTACTTAAGATTCGTTCAAAGGTCGTCCATAAATTATAATCTCGCCGATTTGCCTTTTATATCAAATCTAAAGAAACAGAATTAAGTATTCGATACATTTTTACCACTATCGTTTTTATTCTATGGTAGCAAAAAAACTTTTCACTATTATTTTGAACGTTTTGAGCGGTGTACAGAGGTATTTTTTTTTACATCTCTGGTATTTGAATTTCGCTCAAAATTCGAAAAGTCGCATTCTCGATTCTGATTGGTTTTAACTTAAAGCATACTGTTATTACAATCTCTTGTGCAGTTATTTTTAAAGTACTACAGTAACTATGATGTACGTTTGGTCAATTGAATAACTACAATATACGTGTATGATTGACCTGAATTAACTTGACAGAAAAACAGGATCTGATTAGAAGTAGATACAATTTTAAAAGATTTGTATAAGATCATAAAGTTATAAAAAACAAAATATCGTTTTTGAAATAAGTCAGAATCAAATTGATTTGCTGTGCAAAAACTAGTTTTCTTACCTTTTTCTCACCACATGGAGTACCATCTAGTAGACCATGATTTAACATTTTATCACAATGATCTTTTGAACCAGTCATTGAACACCATAACTCTTGACAGGCGTATTCTCCAACCTATTTAATTTGTATAATTATAAAAGTATTTATTAGAAAGTGAAGTAATAATATTTAGATGGAAAATCACCATCCGGTTTAAACGAAAAATATTTTCGAATAATTAGGTGGTTGTTGCTAGTCTCTCGAAATTTCTGAAACAAGGAGATGTGAAAATCCATGTGATCAAATGGTGATCAGAGTCAGCTCAATCTTTATGCAACATGTTGACTCTGAGTGTTCACACAATCAGATCAACTCAAAATTATATCAACATGTCAATCATACTATATATTCAACGGGTCGTTTTTGTTATTTGAGGTTTTTTAATGCTTTTGAAAATATGAGATTCAAATAATTCATATGCATCGGTTATTTGGATCTTCTCATTAATGTTTACGACTGTGATTTATCAGTCTCTTTTTAGTACATGTGCATTCTATGCGGATTGACTTGATAGCGCTATAAAGTCATAAGCATTTCAAGCAGAGATGGATGGTGTCTAATAGTGGGATCTAGGGTGAACATTTCATTCCATTGCAGTCCTAAACATCAATGAGAAGATTCAAACAACCAATACAAATGAATTAGACTTCATGGAGAGTGTATAAGTTATGGACGAATCAATGAGATTTAAGTTAGAGTCTTGGATTTTAATATGAGATTCATTTATTCATATAGCCATACAAGACTCGATAGAAAAGTAATTTTGAACGTTTTCTAAACGTGTAATGTGTTATCGTGTACACCTTGGAGTTGATATTTCCCAGCTCTATGCTTAAATTTCACAATTTCGGTATTCCTCGTGAATTTTAGAGCAGGACAGTTCATCTGGTGTATTCCTTCTAACAAGAAGCACGACAAACGGTACTGCGTTAGTATAATATCAAACAAACAACTGACCGTTGGAGAAAAACTTTATTAACTGCAGTGCAGAAGGTATTATTCACGTTAATGGAAGACGACTCCAGTCCCAAATTCACCTACTGTCAGACGTTTTCTGTTTAATGTGGAAGAGAACGACGAGTTACACAAGTTATCAATATCTAGAATAGCATGTGGTCGTTTTGTTCATACCATTTTGTTACCAAGCTATAATATACTCTCCAACAAAACCATTTAAACGATGGCTTTCAGAAAATGTTATACAACAGCAACCAAGCTAAGGTTTATACTAAAAAAGACGAAAAAACGTAGTTCGTGTCGTTTGGAACGATTTTGGTGGCTTTCAGATATCAATATACTGGAATGCAAGTACACCCAGCTGACGAGTCACAACCAGGACGAAACAAACGTCATGGATTATACTGATAACCAACATCCAACTCTTCTTATAGATTTACAAAAGTTGTTTTTCAGTGAAATCAGGAACCGACCTGAGTTAGGCCACGACTGGAAACCTGAAAGCATTGAACGGCCGTTTCGTCCTGGTATGGGATTCCTCAGCAGTGAGCATCCACGATAATCCAACTTGAATCAGTTAGCGATTTCTGTGAAATTCAATAATCTCCGCAACTCTAATCTGAATATCCAAATCAAATCGATTCAAATAACTCTCCATTCATACTTGAGTGTTTTTTGAATAAGGCATTTGTTACGAAATTTATTTAAATTGTAATATGATGTGTTTTGTTTATATGCATGAGTTTGTGATTCCTTTTTCAATCCCATCACCATGTGTTTTAGGTTATGGTGCTTATCGTTAACTCATTGGATGGTTAAGTTAAATGTAGTGAAAGGTTGGTCGAGTATAGACCCATCACGTGCATGCGGAAAAATTCAATGGCTTATGTCTCATCTTAACATCAAACAATTGATAAGATATTATAAGCAAGTAACCATATTAAAAGTCGGTTATACACCTATTCAACTTAAATATCTCTATCTAGGTCAGATTGATATTCTTACAGATGCTTATGATTTATGAGCCTTATAACTCTACTTAACAGTTAAACTTTCATATTCATTTCAGTCTTCATTTGTTTAATGGGTTCTGCATACCTTAGGAAGCGTTTATTGTAACTGAATAGGACTGTAGAACACAATAAGTAAGTTAAAAAAATGAAATATATAACTCCAAGGTAGTGATCAACCTGTTTTGCATAACCTCGAAATATTTACACTTATACTAGTATTTTAGTTCACATTTCCAACGAAACTTACTCCAGGACAATGTTGACTTATATTGGATCCAGATATAACAAAACATTGTTGATCAAGTGACCATTGCCAACCAGGCAAATCAAAACTCATATATTCCTGTTTAAATATTGGAAAATCTTGAAGACAAGTAAATTTCTGTGCTCTTAAAGTGAAGAGGAAAGAAATGAACAATATATATGATCAACTGAAATCCTACAATATTAGAAAGTCATATACATATTTGTTAGTAACCGGAATCTAAAGTTTCCAATGAATACTTTGAAACTCCCCAACAAAAGAAACAATTATAAGGATGTATTCTTCCTATGTAATTGTTCAATAAAACATGTAATTGTATTGCCATCGTTTAATAAATATTCCATGTTAGATTCACTTAGTCATGTTTGTTTGAATCTTCGCATTGATGCTTAGGACTGCAACTGGTCAGTCTCTAATCGTCATATGTGCATACTGTGAGTATTGCCTCGATATAGTCCTAATTCACAAGCATTGTAAGCAAAGGTGGATAGAGGCTAGCAGTGGAATCCAGGACGCGCGTTTCATTCTATTTGGGACTCGTCATCTGGATGTACCTGCATCTAACAGTCGATGTTCACTCTGAGACTCGAACCCATTGTACGAACCCCATTGCATAAGCAAGGGGCTATCAGGACTCAGTAGCTAGGTGGATAATGCGATGGCGTTTGAATCGAAAGGTACTGTGTTCGATTCCCAGAGTAAACATCAACTCTGAGATGTAGTGTATCCAGTTGACGAGTCCCAAATAGGACGAAACGCGCGTCCTGGATTCCACTCCTAACCACTATCCATCGTTGCTTACAATTCCATGTTAGAGTTTATTATTTCTATGTGTTCAGATTAATGTATTGAAATGTGTGTTATATCAGATGGCTTTATATTTTATCTTTATGCTAAACTGAAGAAAACAAATAGACCAAATCAATTTACATCATGTATAACAAATTTGTGTAGCATACTTCAGTGAAGATTTATTTAGCTGCATAACAATGCTCTGAATTGTTCATCTATCTAAAAATTTATCATCTACATGTTCCTTATCACTGTTATTTTGGTCCACTAAATATAGGATATTAGTGGTATTATTCAGTGAAGAAAACTACCCATCGGCTTTTTCTTATTATTTTGTTTATTTGGGTTGACTAAGTGTAGTTATTACTTAATTTCAATCTTGTACATACATACCGTTAGGATGTGTTAATTCCCCTGAATAGAAAATCTTCCGAAGAATGTTCTAATTATATTGTTGCCCTGTTACAAGTAACCTCTGATACATATTTTTCACTATCAAAAATAAAGTTTATCGTTCTTTGTATTAAATCTCTCTGACTGATGAAATTCGCCAATATTTCAATATAAAACGTGTTCTATTTTAACAAAGCTTACTCAAGACCATTTTGAAGTACTAATCGTGTACAATCACTCCAATGATGATTATGACCTGCGGATAAAATTAATGGAGCCATTATATTTCCTGTGGAACCTGAACGATCACAACTATTTCCTTCACCATCATGTTCAACACCAAGACTGAAAAAAAAGTAATTTCAAACAAACAAATATCTTGCATAAATTGAGTGTTCAACAGTTTATTCTCCTAATTTTTAAGATAAAATTCAATGTTTTACCTTAAGTGGTAAACTATATCATTGGATGGATTTTGTAGTTCGATTCCTCTTATTCAATCATAAATTTGATAATACTGTTTATTATATTTCCCAAACTAATCGATAATACAAGAAGCGTTCTCGACTATTCCCATGTATTTTTGAGAACACTCGAAATTTCACAACGGTAACAATTTTTGTGATTCCATTCATTACAAAACTTATCGAATATTTCCATGATTAATTAAAAGATACTTGTAGGATTGATTTTACCCAAATATATCCTATTCGAGCATTTTGCCTAAAATGCTGTTTAATCACAGTTTAGTCAAAGCTATGGTAGACAAAAGTAAACCATGATCTTCAATACTTGGTTGGATTTGAACAGTCATGGAAGATGAAATAAACGAATGAATTATGAGAGTAAAAATAATAAAGCAGTTATAATATTCACCCAAAATTGATCAAATTAAGATAGACTATAGTAAGATCATATTCAGTCAATAGTGGCGTTCAAAATAAAATACAATCGGTCTATCGTCTAGCTGTAAATATAACTAACACGGTTGTCTAGTCCTTCATGTAATGACTTAATTTTATACATCAATTTTCAACGTGGCCACTACTCTAAGCGACATGACATTAAGTAAACTAATTGAAATATTATGCGGTTCTAAGTGGTCGACAGGAAACTCTGGACATAGATTTTATACTAGCTGGTACTCATCATCAAGGTTTGAACGTAATCTTAGGGGAATAATGCTCTTTATGGGACTAGAATCCACATCATACAGCTTCAAAGTCCGAGATGTTGCCACTAGGTCATTCAGACGGGAGCGACCTCCAGCATTCGCATAGACTAGTGGCAACATTTCAACTTGATCAAAATAATTCAATCAATAGTTAATTCACTAGGCAAACATGGTAATGATCAATTATCAATGATCAATCGATTTGAAATATCTCAGTCCTACGTGAGGTCAGTCGCGGTTCAAGTAGCCTCAGACTGAGAAGATGGGTGACATTAGTCTAAATCTCATCAAGAGAATCATCTTCCTCAAGATTACAGGTACACTTTAGTCATAAGTGTCAGCTAACACGAATCACACAACACATGAATAACAATACTAACATTCACTGAACCTCGTAAACTGTACATAACGCTTTTCTTAAACGGATTATGATTTAAACTTTGGTCAAGATTCAATAAAACAATTATATTAAAATGAAAGTTGTGGATATTGTTGAATTTTATTCAGGGCACAGACTGATCTAAATTAGACAACCATTAAAAAACCTGGAAATATTGGACATCAGTTTCATGTTAGTACGGAACTGATCGTCAGTGAGCATCCATATTCTCACTATCGGGGATCGAACTCAAGACTTTCAGTCATAGGAATGGAGTAATTTTAAAACTAAATTTATGGAAATAAATGTTTCAACTCAAATTACCTGTGCATAATTTCATGTGCAATTGGATAAGCTGAAAAAAATCCACTATCCTCTGCTAATGTACAGGAATACTGCATACGGCACATTTGACTTAATGGAGATATACCTAATTAAAGAAATAGTGTCAATAAATAATACAATTTATAAGTAATTGGTGATATAACATGTGATGGTCAAATATTATACAATATCCTTTTTAGGTTTAACAACTGAACCGATTTATACCTCAATAGATAGTTATTTAGAAATACATTTCACCTCCAAAATAGTACTGTAGTAGTGAACGCGAACACCAAATCGGACAACCGAATACATTTTATTGCAACATTACAGAATATCTTGGTAGAATCTGAGAACTATACAATAATACTTCATTTGCGGAATATCCATCAACTGTCTCAGACTTTGTTGTTCCTTCGTTTCCATATCAATCACTCTCTGTTTTCGTTCTTTTCTCTTAGATTTTCTCAACCTTCTGCTGCCATGTAGTCCATTTCGATTGATGATACGTACTACTTATATCTGTCGACATCAACAGCACACACCACACTTTAACTGTTAGGTAATTCAAAATTTATCACAATCCTGTGACTTTTTTTCCAGCGACAATATACATCAGTATACCTAAAGTACTTCTCTGTTTATTTACATGTCAATTTTATAGACTAATAACTCGTCTCCATAAACTTGTTACAATTTTCTCTAATGCTAATGTCAGCTTATATAGGAACTCAGTTCAACGAATGGTTATACTATGGTTAATACATGTAAACAGTAATTTTGGTCATGTTACAATTCACTATATGTTATACAGTAATTTATTAATTAATAATGGATTCAAATGTGCACAATGTGTTTATTACAAAGATTTAAAGTACTTCTGTCATCTCATCTGAAGATACTTTTAGACATTATTAGACTACAATCAATCAGTTTGACGGTAACTTGTCTATCATCATTACACTCAAGTGGGAAGTAGATGTAGTGTTAAATGATGGAAGAAAAATTAAAATCTTATTAACTACTGATTCCTCTAGCTCAACTGAAGGAATTCAAATCCGGTTAGTCAGACTATATTACTTCTGTAAAGGTAAACAAATCCACAAAATAAATAATCCTGTAGGTCATCAACAGTGATGCTGACCTCATTGGTTTTACTGGATACACCCTAGTTGAAGGTGTTCGGTCACCTATACGCATCAAACCATGATTGAATACGCCGTACTACGCATATACCGCAACAGCTAACCAGTTTAGATCAGTTCTCGACATACTGGCCGCCTTACAAGTATATCTTTGAACTCTTTTATTCCTGACTTCTGATTTGACTGGGTTTGGGATCTCCCAATTATAAATGTGTTACGGACAAAGGCGTTATCAGGCCCTGAATACTCGTGATATGTTGACTTTTGAAACTATTGAGAGAATGAATTTTTTTTAGGATTTATTCATAATTCCTATGTATAGGAATGATAGTATAAATAGTGTTTTACTGTAAACTAGCTGCAACTTTAGTTATGGGTATTAGAGAATAAGTAAAGATTCAAGAAATCAGTCTTAACAAATAAACCGCTTTTATACTTAGTTAGATGTGATATTGTAAGACATGCAATTTATGAATAAACAAATCCGTATGCTACACTGGCATGACAAGTTTTCAGCGATCCGAAGAATCCTATTTTAAATATTCAACGTAATAACAGTATTATTTTGTAATACCATCGAGGAGCTCTGAATGTTGCAGTGTAAGTAATTAACCATGAACTATTAAAGCATACGTTCGAATCTGATTCTTGGTCCTATATTTGCTTATGACTTTTCTGATTGGTTGATAAGTTGTATTGATTTCGATGTATTTGCTATTTGCTGATTGAACTGAGTACCACAATTCTAAAAATTCTCTCGTATTCTTGATATTCCCTGTATCCACGATTTCAACATTTTTCCAGTTGAATGTACGTCCACTATTGTGGAGCAAGAATCAGGTTAAAGGAAGCGGGAGTCAAAACTATTTGCAGACAATGACATAGTAAAGGTTAACAATAACCAATCAAGATCAAGATTGACAAGACAAGCCGTTAGTCATATGTGGAGAAATTCAAATATCCCACTTTTACCTGTTTATGCTGACGATGTTGATCAAGAGAGTAATGAAAGCTCCACGACTAAACCATCCACCTCAGAGAATGAAACACTACCGAAACAATCCACTTGAGTCACAATTCTCTTCCACTAACTCATTGGCGTGGTTACCAAGTTACAGGAATGGTAACAGGAATGTTATTAATAATTCATTGTCTGTACTATTGCCAACGTAATGTTTATTACTCTACCATTACAGAATGGACGTATAATCAAAGACAATATCCTCACGGTTATCCAATTTGAATTATTTGTCTCAAATTATTACGTGATATGTCTAGTTAGACTGACCTGTGATTGGTCAATGTTTAAAAATAGACACATTCATCTACGTTAAATATTAGTTAGCACTTGGATTTAAAATTAATCTCTTTTTCGATTTATTTTACTATCCTCTTTAGACTTCTATCGAGAAGCTGTTTTTCTAGTGCTTTTCTCGTGACTAGGCGACAGCAGTCTTATATTACCTAATCATTTGGCTACGTCTTGGTTATAAGAATCCATGTCCGTAAGCCAAAATGGCATGTGTTTAAACATTTTAGAAGACATGAGTTTCTTCGATGATCTTGTACAATAAGCTACCATCACAGTCTTCAACTAAAAAAAACCTTTGTTAGATGGCTGTAGGTAGTCAAGAGGAAATCTTGCTTTATCTGCACTTTGTGCTAGTTCCTACAAGTCAACAAGTCGTGTCTAGAATCTTTTGGGAACTCATTCCCTCTGATGGATTCAAGCCCAAACCACCCAGTTTCATTGACTGGAAAATTATTACTGAACCAATAGGAACCACGATTGACCTCCAGTTAGACTAAGGTACCTACAATTAGTTACTTATCGATTAGTAATCAGTGAATTGTGAATATGCCTGTTCAATGTTAACATGAAATGTAATATTCATCTCATCATCATCTAATAATCAATTTACAATTAAATTATCATAAACATAATCAAAAATATGACTAGTTTACTTTACATACCAGCTGCCTGTACAATATTTCTTGATAAAAATAAGGCATGATCATAATTATAACGAACATAATGATGAGTTAAAGCCCAATTACAAAATCTGTGAACAGAACGAATTAGCGATACACCCCATAGAAGTTCATTTGACTAAAATTTTGGAAAGAATATAATGTAAGCAAATGGTAATGGTCATACGAAATATAAATAAGTTTTTTCAACTTATTAATTTATCTTAGCTTGTGAAAGTATAAAACTCCATTTCAAAAGACATACATTTGGATCGTCGATAGAATTTAACTCCTAACCTTTACTTCACGAATGAATTAGTGTAGTGACTTCAGGAACCTAGACTGTTGCAAGTTAAGATGGATGGCATTTTTTCTTCATAACCAGAATACAACAGCATCTCCCCGAATCTAATCTTTTCTGTTAAGCTTCGGTCCAATGTGTTTTATTTATTCCGAGAACTGCCAGTTTGTATTTCCTCATTTCCGTAGCTATTTGATTGGTTCTTCCGGTCTTTCACATCGTCCTAACATTCAATGTACCTATATTAACTGTTGCTCTGGTTGTTAGAAGGTGAGTCGTCCTCATGACTTCCGAAGAATCTCGGCTTACACCATTAGGCATCATAATTCTTCTGAATAAAATCCTTCATTTCCCAGAGCTGCAAATACTGGCGCAACAATTTAAGTGGCATGGTCTATGTTTAAAGGTGCAGTACACAACTTCCTCATGATAGTTGGGATTTACGAACATGTGATATAATCTGTATATATTAAGCCCATCAAGCTAATCTGTGACTGTCTAGTGAGTGTAGACAGAAATGCAGTTGTGTCACATATAAAACTAAATGGTTTATATTGTAAACTGCCACTTCGCATTGTACGGTCGTTTCTGTGTACGATGTCATATTATGAATATTTAGTTCGAGATTAGTTGGTGAAACTTTGAATACTAGTGTATCAGCTGATTTAGTCAGACCCAGTTTAGAGCATTTTTCTATAGACTAATATTTCTGTTAGTCAACTATAAATACAGTGGTACAGTTTCAGCGAAGTATATTATCGTAAAGAAACTTTTCCCTTCAGTTCTTCCCCGTAAATTTATTCAGTCGTTCAATATTAATAAATCTTTATTCACTAAAAGAAAAACCATCAACTTACTTCAGCTTCACTAACCCATATTATATCTTGTACAACTAGACTCATATTCACACCTAAAGATGGATGGTGAAATAATTCATCAGTCTAAAAAAAGAGAATAAAACACAAAAGTGAAGTAGGTCCCTTGTTAATTGTTCAGTCATCGATGGCTGAAGTTATCTACCACACTTTAAATATTCAAGTGATGTTTAGTGCTCAGAACTCGTGAGGACTTTTCCTGCACATTGCGCGTATAAACATTGCATATTGAAGTGTAACTTTTTGGGTAGCTCCAGAAAATACCATGAAAAAGGCCAAAAAAGGCTTTGAAAATCCTGAGAAACATCTCATCTAATCAGCATTCAACAGAAGTTTTGACAGAAACATCTAGAAAGTGAAAAGTCACATGTTGCGTTTCTGATTGTATGATTACCTATGCTGCTACTATGTGTAGTAGAGTTCAGAATTTTCCGGAAACTCGAGGCCATCTAAAGTGCTATAAATACCATAGATTTTCTGTGCATAAAAAAACCTTGGAGTAAAGCGTTTCTTCCATATTTCACACATTTTCTCTCGTGTTCAGGTTGCTGTGTAGATTTAGCCTGGGAGTTAATACAAGAGCTTAGGAAACCGAATTTAGAGTTGAATTAGAAGATCTATCATAACTACCATTGAAGATTCCAGTCTAAGAATTCAGAGTGATCTGCAGTGACTGTTGTGAGCACGTCAGTGTAGTGCATCTCAGTAAGGCAGATGAAAAACATAGGTACAGTAAAAATTAAGGCTTGTAATAAAATCTCATACACTCGCTAAATGAACAGAAATTAGCTGTTAGTGTTGGATTCAACATTATGCTTGAACATTAGAAACGTGGCAGATCACTTCAACCTAGATATCACATCATACGATGTTTTTAATTCACTGTCTTCGTGCTACCATGTGTTATATACGGTGGTAAAGTAATCTAGTGAGGAAAATTTCATTCTCAACACATTCAATGAAAGTTAAGCAATCTTACAGAATAACGCATAAAATTACAGTTTATTATTGCTACATGTACTTACTTGACTTTATTATATAAGTGGCTCTTACTGATTGTTGAGGGAATTACAAATTAATTACACAAACTGTAAATGATTTTATTCATGTTTGTGCACTTCGTAAATGCTTATCCATCATATGATTATTTCAAAGGTAAGAGAAATCCCAGTTATCATTATGGGATTTCGGAAATTGTCGAGTTTTTGGTTGAGATTGTGAATCGATCAATGTCAGACCACCACTGAAAACCTAAAATCACTGGACAACACTTTCATCCAGGTATGGGACTCCTCAGCAGACATGTCCAGTGAAGCTAATTCTTGTCGAGTGTTAGGCAATTACCCACTGAAGACAATGGAAGATGGTAGCGCAATTCCGTGGATTGGTTGAATTGAGATATTAACACCGTCGGACACAGGCTCAGTGGTCTAAAGTTTGAGCGTTCGCGTGCAAGACTAAAGATCCTGTGTTCGAGTTCCTTGTGAGGGATCTTGAATGCGCACTTCTTAGGAGTCTCGTACTAGGAAGAAACAGCCGTCTAGTGCTTCCATATTTTCAATGGTGATATAACCCTGATCAATTCATGGTCTCAATCAGGAATTCCAATTATTGTAAATCTTGAAATGTTGTCACCTGTCATCAGCCAATGAAAAGTGAGTTAGCTTACAGTAAACTATCATCCATGTTGACATTTTTGTTGTTGGTTATCTGAATTTAAATCCTGCAATCAACTGAAAATTTAACATGAAATCCTCAAGTTTTTGTTATCATATTACCATTGTAATTATTTCATGGTAGTATAGTTAACTTCCGCTTTAGAGCTTATGTTTGTGGTGAATCAAAAGTGTATAAGTCAATAATGTTTACACAATACACAAATGACATATTTAATAGGACATCCATTTGGTTTAAATCGCATAGCTTTTTAGCGAAATATCATTTTTTGCCAATGATCTACAGTACGACTATCAGTAGACTTATTCATTTGTATTGTCTTGATTATTCCCATATTCTTTAGTTGGAGATGTTTTATGGAGGTTGATTTCATTTAAGGAAATGATACTCTCTGTGAGATTCAAACCCATGTCATCCAAATCTAAAGTCTGAGTTTTGACCACTGAGCTGTTCGAACCACAACTGACCTCCGGTAGGACATAACATTTCAACACAGTTCACATACAGGCCAAGTCACTTAGACTATTGGGTACGTCGCACTATGACAGATT